AAGCAGATCATGTATGTAAGGCCGAGCAATACGATGATGCATGTTAATATTGCTTTTTGTGGCACTGGCGCTGGCACATGTCATATCTTTTTCTATGGTTGTTTTCTGCCGGAACAATGTCCAATGTAACTAGTGAAACATAACTCAATGGTAGTAAAGGTTTAAAAGGAGATGGCATACAGAGTCTACCGCGTCGAAAAGGAGGTAAACCCATGAAATCCACAATATCCATATAGTTAATCTTTTTAAAGACCCCTTTCCGAATACAGTCCAGAAGCTGGAAGTTGTCGAATGCAATTTAGACGATCAATTATGGACAACGTTGCAACCAAAAGAAAGAAATTAAGGCCAACGTAACATCAACACCGCAAGAATGCCTTTCCTAATTGCGCCTCCCTCTTAATTCTTCAATAACCATATGTACTAAAACACCGGCATGAAGTACACTCCGCATGCTATATTTTGAAGTTTCGATCAACTCGATTCAAATGCTTGGACATGGAGGGGTTCAGGCTTAGACGGATTCGAAGTTCGATTCAAGTACTCGAGACCAACAAATTCGCAACAGATCCAGCAAACCATGCATGAACACAAGGCCGAAAACAATCGGGAAGGATTGTGGACCGTCCCATCAATTTCTCTAGTCTTTACCAGATACAAATGTTGTCCATATCCCTCCAGATTATGGAAATCAATGTATTGCCCCAAGTTTAATTGGGACGGATCTTGGGACCGGGACATGGAAAGGCAAAGTGGGTCTGTGCAATTAAGAACGCAATCGGAGCACCGATCAAAACGCGAAAGCGAGACATTAACTCTACGAGCACGTTTGACACTTTAATCCCGACAGCAATGCCAAGCGTTCTCCATGCCCACCGACCTTTCTTTAACCTTCTTATCGTTGTAACAACCTTAGCTTCTGCAATGGGGAGACACCCAGATTGACATACGGGGGCCGATCGTCTCCCACGTGTTAGTATTTATTCGCTCTCTAACACTCAAAAACTCTTCACTCCAACAGTTGCAGACTTCGAAACCACCTCGTTTCTTCGTCGTCTCCATTCGTACTCTCCTTCTTCTCCTTCTCCTTCTTACTTGGAAGGAAGAAAAGATCACACTGGTAGTGACTAAAAGCTAGTTCGATTTCCCATGGCCTCCTTTTCCCATCTCTGGGTCCTTGCGCTTTTCTTGGTCACGGTGCTACGAGCATCTCATGTTGCAAGTGAGTTCAACGTTTGATTTCTCGACGTCTTCTGGGAATTTCTTGCTTCATCTCGATGTGTGCACAAAAAACATAATGCAGAGTTTTCCTCGAAAAGAACTTTAAAAGGCTCTGTAAGCTATGTCTAGGTGAAAGTAAAACTGGAAGTCATGAATGTTGCGTTGACATCGGCCTAACCTTTTGGTGGTTTTGCTGTTGTTCCTAGGATCTGATCAATCTCACAATGGAAGCCAAGGTGGTGACCATCTCGGTTCTTTGCCAGCCTCCGGGAAGCTCCATGATTCCACCTCAATCGGCAAAGTAAGACGTGAAACAAATATGATACAGGTTCGTTGCGTTTAGGCCCAACGGTCAATGTACACTAATTAATGATGGGTTATATCTTAAATAGAATTGGGATATGTATACTAGAAGTCCTAAAACTTGTCACAAAAGTGCAATTGAGTCTTAAAACTTTCAAAAAGTGCAAACAAGTCCTAAAACTTGTCACGAAAGTGCACTTGAGTCCTAAAACTTTCAAAAAGTGCAAATAAGTCCTAAAACTTGTCACGAAAGTCCAAACAAGTCCTAAAACTTGTCACAAAAGTGCAAACAAGTCCTAAAACTTTCAAAAAGTACAATCAATGGAAGGACTTGATTGAACCAATTTGATAAGTTTTAGGACTTGTTTGCACTTTCGTGACAAGTTTTAGGACTTGTTTGCACTTTTTTAAAGTTTTAGGACTTAAGTGCACTTTCGTGACGAGTTTTAGGACTTGTTTGCACTTTTTGAAAGTTTTAGGACTCAATTGCACTTTCGTGACAAGTTTTAGGACTTTGAATGCACTTATCCCAATAGAATTAGAACAATCACACAGATAATAGAAAAATTGACACACGAATTTACCCAAGTTTACCTTAGAATAGGGCTATGTCCTGCAAAGGGATTCTACCATGATATTTAGGTTTGCAACCACAACAACTCGTCACAATGATCTCATACGAGTACAATATATATATGACTTAAAATGGGCCCAAAGCCCAAGCCTATTCGAATCCCTTTGATCTCACAACAAACGGGTCAGCTTAAAATACAAGCCTAAAAGAAAAAAACCCAATGTTGTTTCGGGGGCGCTGTCCCCGAGCTCTGTCCGCTCATCGGGGAGCGGAACCCCCGCCCGCTGTTCAGACAGCGCGACCCCCGACATTCCGTGCGTGGGGGTTACATATCATCGGTTCATACTTTAATTTTCCTAAGTTCATGTGGACGTGTTTGGTATGAGAAACAAGGATTCCCAAAGTATTTGCCAACTCCAACAATTAACAGTTGCAAAATAAAGCTGCTGAAGACAAGAATGACTCAGCACATCGCCGGAAAGATAGCGAGTTCGTAGGCGCGTAAGTTGTTATAGCGAACTGTTCTAGCCTCACAATTCGAATGAATCGGATATCTAAGTGAAATATACACACGCTTCTCATGCGTAAAATGTTGCTTAGACCGATCAAGAAAATAAAACCCCATAGAAATCAAATGAACCCTCATAATCTCCCGTAGAAATCAGAGGCGAATGGAGGATCTTGGTGTTTGCCCCATGGCGGCGTCCCGGACCCTCAGTTGAAGGGCAATCTAGACTACGCATGCGGCCACGGCACCGATTGCAATCCGATCCAACCAGGGGCTTCTTGCTTCGAACCCAACACCATGCAGTCTCATGCCGCTTACGCCATGAACTCGTGCTACCAAACCAACAGCAAGGAACCTGGGAGCTGTGATTTCCAGGGCACTGGAACGCTTACGAACAACGACCCTAGTAAGCCTTCGCTTCTCTCATCATAATTAAGGAGATCTCCCACATACCTATGCCTGTCTTAGGACCTGACTGATTGGACTAGGAAGATGAACCTAGTCATTAATTGTGCATGTCTCTCTCTTATATACGCAGTTGCGCATTCATTCAGTCGATTTGCTTGGTTATATGGACTTGTTTTGTTCCAGGCTATGGAAACTGCAACTATCCTGGCTGAGTCGGGTCTGAAAGATCGATCGATGACTTTCATTAAGTTAATGTTGAATAAAGAAGAGAAAAAAGGAGAACATTACAGTTAGTACTACTATATCATTTGGACATTGCAAATGTAAACCCTCGCCTTCTTCCATCACGAAATTTTACTGGATTAGGAATCATGCTAACACTCTGGATGCTTATTAAGCAAAAGTCAATCCATATAGGAAACCAAAAGCTCCGCTTGCTATATTATATAACAAGTTCCGGGGAATATGAACGAATAAGGTACAGTTTGGTGGTTCAATCTCGTCAATCTCGTTGTCAAACTGAAAAACCTAATAGCAGAAATACGCGCCGAAGAATCAAAACACACCAGACTCGTTTGCAGTTTGGTTTGGGTTGGAAACAAAACAAAGGGTTTTTTCTTCTTCTATTTTTTCTTTCTTCTGGTAAGTTCAAGAACTTAAATTTGCTGAACTGGGCTAGAAAGAATTAAAACCTACCCTATTTCGAACTAAGGGAGAATCAGAATAGGTTACTTTAAATACAAGAGATAAAAATGTAAATAAAGAGATTAACAAGCAACATATTTGGTTTAAAAAAAGTTGTTGTTCGCTCGACCCAATTTGAAAAAAATTGTTTGATACGGTCGTTAAACATTTTAATTTCCGGAAAAGGGCTCTTCCATCGAATCAAACCGTACCAAATCCCACTCGGTATTATTTATACCAAAAGGACAGAAACAACCGTGCTCTCGAAGAACCTTACCAAAAAAACACTGTGCTCTCGAAGATATCTAAAATCGCAAATGAACGAATATGATAATTAATATATATAAAAAATCCTCAATAAGGAACAACGAATCCGTTGTCGTCCAGCGGTTAGGATATCTGGCTTTCACCCAGGAGACCCGGGTTCGATTCCCGGCAACGGAACTTTTTGCTTTATTTTCTCTCTCTTTTGGCCTAATTTCACTCTCATCCCACCGGCTTGCAGCTCACTTTTGATGGAATCTAAAGACCAGCCTCACATGGAACTGATTATTGACACAAACTAGTCACGGTAACGCGAAACCTCCGACCATAGTGAAGTCACGAACCTTGCATATGTACGCATTCTATGTTCATACTTGTGCAAAGTTCGATTTGACCTTACATCGAGAAAGATCCGCCCCTACTCGAAACTTCTGGCATATGTTGTATTATTTGGTAGGTTTTGCGATTCACTTTATTAAGTTTGATCAAGCTGATCATGCGATTTAAACCAAAGAAAAGGTACGATGCTTGTCAATGATCAGGTGTCCTCTCTTTTGCATGAAAAAAAATATGTTCCGTTTTAAGATATGAGTGAATTGAATCGCCTTTTTTCTTTTCCTTTGATGTTATTATCATGTAAATCTCGAGTCGGGTTTTGCGTAACACGCAAAATTTACTTCTTGAATCAAATGGGGCCGAACACTTTCATAAAAGCTAAAAGATTTGAGAGGAATTACCCTATTGCCGATCCTGATCCGATCCTTATAATAATTGATACAAAATGATATATGGTATCTGAATTTATGAGATATAATGTCTTGTCTTTCTTTGCTTGGTGCAATTTCCGAAACCTAACATAATTCCAAATCATATATGCAACTCGTATTGAGAATCAATCTATTAATACTTTTTAAGAAGTAACCAGAGGATATAATGTTTAGTAATTAAATGAGAAAAGGAATGAAGTAATAATGTACAGATTCTTTGTGAGATCTTTGTAATTAAGTGATTTTCAAAACCAGACATTGTCATTAACTAGAGCAACTCCTTTCTTAATTCGGTAATCAGAATCTAGAGATTACGTGCTATTGAATCAGCCCACCTGTGTTCGTATATATTCAATCTCTTCCTCTACCGCTCTCGCCACACCAGCAATTCCTTTCTTCTTCTTCTTCTTCTTCTTCTTCCATGGCGTCATTTTCACATTTCTGGGTCCTGACGCTCTTCTTGGCCACGGTGCTGGAAGGTTCTCGATTGGCAAGTGAGTTTTACCGTGATTTCTCGACCTTTTTCCGGGAATTTCTTGCCTAATCTCGACGTATGCATGAAAGCATGAAAGCATGATGCAATGCTCTCCTGGAAAGAGTCTAAACATTTGTGAATATGTCAAGGCCAAACATGCGCTCACTGTGATGAAGGAGTGTGACCCCTACCGACTTGGGCGGTTTTGCTGTTTTCTGTAGGTTCTCAATCATATGATGGAGGGCGGGCCGCCCAGGATCTGCTGTCTTTGTCGTCGGCCACCAGGAAGCTCCTCGACGACCCCACCTTAATCGGCAAAGTAAGATGAGAGGGGGAAAGAAAAAAAAAATTGAGGACAGGCTCATCTGATGGCACTTGTGCAAAATACAATGAACCTCAAAGAAATCCCCAGGGAAATAAACCCTTGTTCTCCCCTGCAGAATTCAGTGTTACCAGCCAGTGGGGAGTGGTGCGTACCTGCGGATGGCGTCCCGGACCAACAGCTGCTGGCGAATCTAAACTTCGCCTGTGCCAACGGCGCTGACTGCATCCCGATGCAACCGGGCCGCCCTTGCTTTGAACCCAACACCCTGCTGTTTCATGCCGCTTACGCCATGAACGACTACTTTCAATACCATGGCAGGAATCCCCAAGCTTGTAGTTTCAGCGGCACCGGATCGTTTACAAACAAAGACCCCAGTAAGCCGTCGTCTCTCTCGTTACAGATATTGAAAATCTCCACGAATTTACGCTTGCCTTAGGACCGGATTGATCTGACCAGATGAACTTAGTCATTGCACATTCATAATCGTTCAGTTGATTCACTTGGTTTTATGGATTGGTTTCTTCCAGGTACCAAGAGATGCAAATTTCCTGGTTGAGTTGGGTTTGAAAGATCATTTTCTCCAATCGATACTAAATAAAGAAGAAAAAGGAAAGTTACATTGCACTAGTCAGGGTCTCCATGATCATTCGGACTATGCAAATGTAAAAAGCTTCGTTTCTTCATGATTTGATGTCATAAAATCTGACCTTTTGATCTCCAAAATGTCCATAACTCTCTGAGATGGCCATCGGAAGGAATGACTATGATGCCATCCATCAAGTAATAACGGCGAAATTCCGTTGGATTATGGGTCACGCTAACACTCGAAGGCTCGTGTTATACATACTCAAACTTTACTCATCCAAAATTTCAACGTGAGCCGTCGTGAAATAGAGGAAAGCACGATCCGGTTTGGTTGAGTTTGGACTTTAAACCAAATCAAATCGCATTAATATGATTGGAGGAAAAACGGAATCGTATCGAATCAAACCAAACTCTGCTTTCGGTTGAACCGAACCCAACCGATTTTCCTTCTTCTATTTGGTCTCCTTTTTGGGTAGTTTCGTTGACTAAAATAGCTTAGAAGAGTACTGATTTCATGAAGAAACCAAAGCCCTCTGCTCATAACAAGTCAAACATCCACACAAAATGAAAAATCAAAGCTATTTCGAACTGAAAAAGATAGGCTTCTTTAAATATATACAAGTGACAAATATTTGAAAAAAATTTAACAGGCGGCTTGGTTTGGTTTGCAAAGATTCAATACCAAATTAAACTCTACAATAGTCTGGTTTCCCTTCCCCCCCTCCCCCGAAAAAATCCTCTTAAATTGAAGATAGACAGCACCATGCTCTTGAAGATAGAAGAGAAAAAAGGGTTATCTTCGACATGTACAACGGATCCATTCCGATCCAATGTATGAGCCTTCAGCCGAGAGACTCGGTTCGGTTCCCGACAAAAGAACTCGTTTGTCCTTATAATATATTTCTCTCTCTCTTTCTCTCTCTCTAAAATGCATTGAAGTCTTGCCATCTCCCGCGTTTTCAATTGTCCCCGAGATGGTCCCTCCGTTTTCGTCTATTCCATCGAATCGATTTCGCGATGCATGTGTGAATCGCTTCATTTGAGGCACATATTTCCTTTTCCACACCATAATTAAGGTCAGACCTATTGAATCATCGTTTCCTACTCACGATTCAACGATTCGATTTCCGCAATTTCAAACTCCTGGTGTGGAGAGGAATCTTTAATCCCTTTGACTTTCTACCGGTCGAACCCCCCCCCCCCCCCCCCCGCAAAAAGAAGGTACACATCATATCGTGCGGCCAAATCTATCAAGCCAATCGTGAGGCGAGCAAAGAAATTATATTTTTTCCAAGTGTGAACTTCCGGACCATGGCGAAGTCAAGAACCATGGGAACACACGCGCATTCCATGTTCATATTCGTGCACAAGTCAACCCCATCTCGTCAAATTCATAAATTGATCAAATTTTGATCAGGCAATTTAATCAAAAGAAGAAGATGGGCCATGCTCGTGTTGATGATCTTCCACGCGAATGACTTTCTCCCTTCTAATTGCAAAGGCGAAAAGCTGATTTCTTATATTATTTCCACATAAATCGCGAATCTATTTCTTGCGTGGCGAACAAAATCACCTTGCGAGCGGGATACCGACGAAATATTTCTATTCAATCCCAAATGATTCGTGAGGAATTATTAAATTATAGGGAGTCCAACTTGATATTTTTAGGGCAGATACCATAAAGAGAAAAACTGCAAACTATACTTACTGTGACATAAATATCCAAAGTTTTGTGTATCACAAAAAATCCTAAACTTGCCCACTTTGACACAAGTATCCCCAACTATTTTTTTGTGTCATGAAAAAATCCAAATTTATACATGCATGACATATACATCCTCTGATTCGGTTTTATTCAATAAATATTTGTCATACTGGTATAAACTCGGAGTTTTTTTTATCTTTCCCTTTTCTCGATGGGAAAGATGGACATCTCAGAGGCTTGGTTGGTCTGGTAAGATATTTAGCAATGGCTCCAAAAAACAGGACTTAGCTTATCAAAAAAGGCCTCGATCGAATGGAAGACAAAAGCAAGATCAAAGCAAAACGCTACCGTCGGTGAAAAAGAGTAGACTTTTTATCTGGATTGGCACGGAGAGAATTAAGAACTCCTAGCGAGTATAAATGATTAGGTGGCCGCACCTCCCATTGTTAAAGAATTCCGGATAAAAAAGAAAGAGGATTTTCCGTGGAATTAACCATATTTTTTTTATTTTATTACGTGATGGCTGTAAATAGTAAAATGAGAATCAAACACGATTGACTAGTACGACTCATTTTCTTTCCTTTTTCTTTTTGTAATTTCCAAAAATTAACCGGGGTCAAGTCGGGAAAACCGGTGGCCGGTGAAGAATATACGTGCGACCCCCGCACGACCCGATGATAATCATCGAAATTTCCCACGGCGGCAGCAGAAGAGGCGGTGGGCCCGGCGGCGTCAGTCAATTCAGTCCTCCCTCCCTCCCTCTCCCTTCCGCCTCCGTCTCCCGTCTCCCGTCTCCGTCCCGCGCACCTCCTTCAGCTGTTCGTTCAGACGCCCTCCAATCGATCGGTGCTTCGATTCTCTCTCCGCCCGATCTCTCCTCCCCTCACCTCCCCGGTCCGTACACCCCTCGCGAAACCCTACCTCCGAAGCTCGCTCCCTCCTCCGATGCGGCATCGCCGCCGGAACCTGACCCGCAGCTCTCGCCGGTGAACCGAGCCCGGGGGCGATGACGTGACGTGCTTCTTCTGCTCAGGGAAGGGGGAACCTCTGCGGGGGGGCGGGCGCGCGCGAGCGAGAACGATGTCCGTGGCGGAGCTGAAGGAGCGCCACAAGGTCGCGACCGAGACCGTCAATTCCCTGCGGGAGCGGTTGAAGCAGAAGCGAGTGCAGCTGCTGGACACCGATGGTTGGTGTTTCGTTTTGATCGATTTCCCCCTTTCTTCTATCCACGCCTTCGCGGCTGGTTTGTGTGTAGGGGTTTCGCCTCCCTTTCCGTGCGGGTTGTGACCGAGCGCTTCGATCTGTTTTGGTTGATTGCGTGCAGTGGCCGGGTACGCGAGGGCTCAGGGGAAGGCTCCGGTCACTTTCGGGCCGACGGATCTGGTGTGTTGCAGGACCTTGCAGGGCCACACTGGCAAGGTAAATAATTGGACGGCTTGGGATTTGTGGTTGCATGTGTAGTGTTCGTGCTGCTGCGGAGGATTTATCGGAATTCGAGGGGTCGGACTCTCGGCGACAATGAACTGCTACGTGCTGTCGAAATTCCCAATCTCCGCGAAACTGCCGCGTCTTAATTCCTTGATTAGTTCATTTGGACACACAGGGTTTTGTTGCCATCGGTTCTTTTTTTTTCCCCTTTTGATTTTTTCCTTTCCAGGAGTGGTATCTGCAGTTCACCAAATGGTGGTGAGAGTATCCTTTTCAAATTGTCTCTTTCGGACAATTCAAGCATGCTGCCGGTCTCGTGTTACGATTCTTTTACGGTTTCATTGTTGACCGAAAGGCAATAAATAAAAACAGTAGCAAAAGCATTAAGATTTAACCGATTGGCTAAAAAATTCATGAATAAGGTGAAGAATGAAACCTGTTGTCAAGCTTCTTAAGGGGTTCTTAGGGAGATTGCGTCGAACTCTCATCCTGAGCTTGAGTAATGGAAGTATGGCCTGTTCAGCTGGCAGATGGTGGCTTGTAATAGTGAGGTTTCAAGGAGTCAAGTGAGTGATCGAGTAGAAACAGTGGAAGTATCCACGATTGCTGCCATAATTGCATCGCCCGCTCCCCACACGTGCGCGCGAATGTTTTTGTCTTTGTTTCTTTCCTGTCTTTGCTTTCCTGGTCGAAGGATAATTTCTCTGACTCTCCTATGTTTAAAATTGATCTGCATCCTCTCATGACATAACTTGCAGGTATACTCACTAGATTGGACTCCTGAAAAGAATCGCATTGTCAGTGTGTCTCAAGATGGGAGATTTATAGTGTGGAATGCTCTGACCAGTCAGAAAACTCATGCCATAAAGCTTCCTTGTGCATGGGTAATGACATGTGCTTTTGCACCGAACGGTCAGTCTGTTGCCTGTGGCGGTCTTGATAGTGTTTGCTCTATCTTCAACCTCAATTCCCCCGTTGACAGGGATGGGAACCTACCAGTATCAAAAATGCTCAGTGGGCATAAGGGTTATGTGTCATCATGTCAGTATGTACCAGATGAAGACAGTCGCCTGATTACAGGATCTGGTGACCAGACATGTGTCTTGTGGGATATTACTACGGGTCTTAGAACTTCTGTCTTTGGAGGAGAATTTCAATCAGGGCACACTGCTGATGTTTTAAGGTACCATATTTGTCTATGCCGAATCACTTTGCCCCTTTAATCTACCGGAATTAGGATCATCTATTTCGTCTGTACGCGGTCTTGCAAACTGAGACATTTTGTTGGAAATGAACTCATAAGTCTGTTAATTATGCTATTCCAGCGAACTTTGTCTTATGCACTCAAGCATCTGAGGAGGTGTCTCTTGTCTAGAAACTTCACATTGATTTAATAAGTTCCAATGGATTTGCTTGTGCAGAGATTTGTGATTGCCGTTTCCTTAATCAGAGAGTAGCTTATTTCATGAGTGTATTTTCACAATGCTTGTCACCAAATATTTCTCAATCCCCTAGCAATCTCGTGACCGATGCCTAGAGAGTTAAGCTTATGTAAAATTCTACTACTGAAGCTAATATATGTTTGTACTTTTCAGTGTGTCAATCAATGGATCAAACTCAAGAATGTTCATTTCTGGTTCATGTGATTCAACTGCCCGGCTGTGGGATACTCGCGTTGCAAGTCGAGCCGTCCATACATATCATGGACATGAAGGCGATGTAAATGCCGTAAAGTTCTTTCCAGATGGAAATAGATTTGGAACTGGGTCTGATGACGGTACTTGCAGGCTCTTTGACATCAGAACAGGGCACGAACTTCAAGTGTACTATCAGCAGCATGGCGTCAATGAGATCCCGCATGTCACCTCCATTGCATTTTCCATTTCGGGGAGGCTGCTAATTGCTGGATACTCAAATGGTCACTGCATTGTGTGGGATACGTTGTTGGCCCAGGTAATATGTTGTGGAGTACAGAGTGCGAAGGTCTGAATTATTTGCTTTAGATCCTTGTCTGGAATCCCATTCAACTTATCATTTTGGGGAGAGAGACTTGCAGTTCCTTGTTGAAGACCATTGTGATAAGTTGTCCAAAGTATTAGTCTTAGACCTGGCAAATGGATTCTTCTTGTGAGTCGTCACTAAATTCTATGCAAGCAAGTTCCTTTGCTATAGGGGGACATGATGCACATCCTGTATCATCTTTTAGGTTGGAATGGAGTAAGTTTGATTTATTCGTTTATCTGTGCAGGTGGTGTTAAACTTAGGCTTGTTGCAGAACTCACATGAAGGTCGGATCAGCTGTTTGGGTGTGTCTGCTGATGGAAGTGCCTTGTGTACTGGCAGTTGGGATACAAACCTAAAGGTTAGAATTGTGCTAAAGCTTCGCCATTTGACATTGCTTTGGGCCAAACTGATACTGATATTAGTATTAGAAGTGCAGTGATTCGTCCTGCCTTCTTTCTTCAATTAGTCGGCATCTGAGCTGCATTTTGGTTGAGGTCCTCCTCTACTCCTCTGTCATCTGCTTTGTCAAAATGATAATTGTCCGGGGTCTTTTCAAACACTCTGTCATCTGATATACTAGAGTTCGTGGTGCTTTGTGTTAATCCCAGTGTTGTCCTTGTTAAAGTACTTCCCAACCAAACAAGATGTCGAGAGTGTTTTGGAGAAGTACGGTATCCGGGCACTCCCATTTAGAAAGAAGTGTCGAAGGTTTCCTTTCTATAATATTTATGTATTTCAACTCAAGATGCTAATTATCTGGAATATTTAGTTCTATATTTTATTGAACTTTTGGAATTTGGTCAACTGTTCATGGTCTTCCTGCGCTGAGCATGCAGCCTGTTCCTTGCTTCATTGTTTTTCTCTAAATTGTGATGCTTTGATTTTGTCGTTCTTTCACTTTAAGTCTGTCAAAAGTTTTTATACTTTTCAGGGTAATTATGCTTCCATGTGTGAGTCATTACTAGCTACCTGTAGTAGCATCCAAACTAAATGCTTTCATTTTCGACCAAAAAATAAAAAAAAAACTAAATGCTTTCATTAATTTCGATTGGAACAAGTCATATGTTATATGTTCCAAAAGCTACTACTATTATAGAAGCCCTACATATGTTGCCCAGGAGGTATCTCTGAATGGCTTTTTTGTTAGTTTTCCGAGTTACACATGTTTGGCACGGACTCATCGTGTTATTGCAAGGAGTCTTGCCAGACATGGATGGAGCTTTGCGGAATTTTCTGTGTTCAGAACCTGGGTCAAGTCTGTTATTAATTGCTGGGTTCAGGATAGCTCATGCGAGTGATCATTCCATCCTTTTGTTGATGGGGAAATAAGCTAAGCACATTTCGTTTCTCTCCTTCCGACAGATTTGGGCTTTTGGAGGGATTCGGAGGATGACTTGATTTCTCCAGGAGCCGAAGCCTATGATTTCCTCAAGGTTTCTCTCATTTCATGGCATCGCGCCCGTTTCATTACGTGCCCATAATTGGTGGAAAAGTATATTTGAGAAGCCCTAATCCTGTAATTGCACTGTTGTCATTACGATGCTGAAAGAGAAAATGACATGGATTCAATCAATCGTCTCATGATAACCAGAACAAGGCTTCCGTGGTTGTAATTTTATCCTCATTGTTTCTGTGCTTGCTCTGTTCCCAAGGTCCATTCTCATGAACGTCTTGTTTCTCTGTTGTAAATTTCTTTCGTGCATTTGTATTTCCGCTTGCTTTTTATTGAGATTTTCATCAGATGCAGATCCTGAAGTAATAACGTTTGTACCCAAAATAGTCAATGACACACCGCCGTGGAGCTCCTTAGACTGTAGGGGTGGAAAATGGGCCGCCCCGGCTCCATCCATCCCGGAGTTTTTATTGGAAGAATGGTTCGGTAACAGATGGATCGGGCTGGCCCCTCGCAGCCACAGTCCTAGGCGGAATCTTCCAAAACCATGAGCCGCCACTCCCACTATGAACTGGGCTGGGACTGCTTGTAAACAGTCCACAGGCCTGGGCCTGCACGTCCCAGTATAGGCCTATTGCGTGATTCCATCTGCATGGCCCACCGTGGCCAAAACGCTGGCCCGATGAGGCCCAAATTTGGGCCCTGATGAAAGGGCAAAACAAAGCCCTTGGACCCTAATTACAGCGAAATAAAGGCCCAAAGAAATGCCCATCGCGAGCATCATAAACCTGGACAGGTAAAGGCCTATTAACGGCAAAACAACAGAGCCCGACTGGGGACCCAATAAGGAACCACGTTGGGCCCAAACTAGGCCTTACGGGTCCCCAGTTGGGCCCAAACATGGGCCTTTATAAAGCCCAAAACCCTGGATCAATAAGGCCCAAACGAGAGCATAACTTAGGGCCAATGTAGGCCCAACGTTAAGCCCATAAAGTCATGTCAAGCCGGGGCCCACAAGGCCCAATTAAGAACAGACAGCCCAATAAGGCCCACACCAGAGACCAACTTTAGAAACAACAGAGGCCCAAGTTGGGCCTCAACCTGGGATCCTACGAGGCACAAGTTTGGGCCCAACATCAAACCCAATAAGGCCCAAACAGGGTCCGTAAGCACATCCCAAGTCTGGACCAACAAGGCCCATCCCAATTAAGGTCCACTCGAAGACACAACTTCAAATCCAATAAAGGCCCACGTTAGACCCTAATCTGGGCCCAATAAGGCCCATAACCAGGCCCAGCAGCACAACCCAAGGCTGGACCGATAATGCCCATTCAAGGACACAACAGCCCAATGAGATCGCAATGGAGGCCCCCCCACCCCCCGTTTGGGCCCAAAGCTTGTCAATATAAAGCCGAAACTTCAAACCCCATAAAGCTCAAAACGGGACCCAGCAAGCACATCCCAAGCCTGGACAGATAATGCCCATTACCAATAAGGCCATCCCCAGAGCCCAACATCAGACAAAATAAAGATACACGTGGGGCCTAACCTGGGCCCTACAAGGCCCAAATTGGGGCCCAACTTCACGCCCAATAAGGCCCGTGACTTGATGGGCACACCTGCCCAGACGCTGCGCCGTCCTGTCACTGCCCATTATCGTGGGACGGTGTGTCCTAACCCGGGGCCGTGACGTGCTGTTCCGGCCTGCCTTTCACGGCCCACTAACGATTGGGCCGATGGCAGACCACAGGGCTGGGCCAACCCAGGTCCACGACGAGAGGGGCCAACAAACAAATGGGCCCTACTGTGCCAGAGGCTGCCCTATTGGGTGAACCATGGCCGGTTCACAGCGTCACCGCTAGAAAATTAGATTAAACAGTATTCACTTCTCCCAACCATTTCCGCTTTGTTCGAGTCATAACACGAACTGCATACACAAGTAGGCCTTGGGAAGGCAAATACATTGCGAGCAAATTAAAAATAAAATCTGAATCGAGTAAAGAAAGGCAAAGACTACCAGTTGGGACAACATTAAGCTGTGGCTAATTAGCTCAGATCTCATCACATTCCTCATGAAAAATTAAAACGGGCACGAAACTGCTCCGACCATCTGCTTTTCCTACCTGGAAGTATGACTTTACCGATGTGCCTCCGTCCACCTGTAGTGTAGTCTCTTTCGATGTACAAAATTGCAAAGGCTGAATATCTGACAAGTAGTACCTCCACAATAGCAAAACTAGCCCGCCACAATCTCGTGAATGGTGTTGCTGACATTTTCATCCTCGGACCTGACCGCTAATTTCATTGCAACATCATTTTGACCACTGATTCCGAAAGATAATCGCACAAGAACCTTCACGTTTCCGATAAATACACCAGACAACAGGCACGTATGTGACCTAGAATTGCTCGGGACAGCCTCGGTGCCCTAAAATAAGGAAAAGAACACTAATTAAGTCCACTTATAGACAAAGCATGAAAGCCTAGAGTGAACTCCATGTGCACACCTAAAATAAAGCTAACAGAGGTCCTCGCACGTGACTATTCAGCCTTTTCATTATTTTTTTTATGGATAGTGAACGCAAATTTTTGACATTCACATCTCTAGATCTAGGATAAGTCCCTTCATAGTACAAGTCAATTCCTCCACCAGCATCGCCTTTTACAGGTCAAATGAGGTAGATGTTCTAATGCTCGGTGAATAAACCTCCATCACGTTTATGCCATTTGAAATAACATTAAAAAATAAGTCGCATGACCGCCAAGAGACTCAATTATTGCAAATAATAGTACCTCGCATGGCTGCATTCCAAGAAGGTTGATGACGGCATTCACAGCCTCAGCAAGACTTTCCCTTGGGCCCAGGCCGTATTCATCTACCCGCTCACACTCTGGGTCCATGCTTTCCCATGCATTACGGAAATTGGACACCCCAACTTTTTGCATGTAATCTGCTGCAACAACTTCAAGGTCCTCCAGCTGATATTCATCTTCTACACCATCTTCCTCTGCCTCACCACTAGCTGGATCCACCTGATTCAAAATCAAGATTCCATAATGACGAAGGAAAAGGGTCCTCAAAACACTCACCCTTGCGTTATCTTTGACAACAAGAACTGAAAACTGGTCACGCCCAAAGATTAATAAGCTTTTGGTTGAGAGCTTTCTACGAGTAACAAATAAAAAGCGGCCAACTGCATCCTTTTCTCTAACGTAATATTGCTAAAACAAGTTCAAACCGTTTTCTACCTATGAGGGATATCTACCTATGTTCAATTTTTACATTCCTTGTGCATGAAAATATAACTGGTAAAAATCTTTTAGTGTATCCTTGTCCAGGACTATGTGTTCGCAGAACCTATACCTCTTTAACGATGAACTTCAACACATTAGAGAATTTTCCTACAGCAGGAACTCCATCTGGCTTTTCAAATGCCGCAAAGGTCTGTCCAGGTGAATCACAAGGAAGAGATTTTAGTGGCTTGGATGCAACTTCAGAGAATTCCTCCGCTTCTGAGGCATCCACAACAACTGTGACCTGCAATATGTGAAAGGAAATAGGTCATAATCACAGTTAGTCTTGAGCAGTGCTGGAAACAAAAGAGAGGCGGTAACAGGCTGAACATTACATTCTCCAGTAATTGCTCTGGGATAGTATTTGTGCAGTTGTACTGGAATACGACATGGTGATCAAAAATGTGCTTAACAACATTAACGGCATACTCAGTTTCTGCTTCCGTCAGTTCAACCGGGGCAGATGACTGGCAAGAGAGAATGACATTGCATGTTAATTTTATTCTTAAGAATTTCAATTATAACACTTGAATGCTTCAAAGAACAGCCAAAGGACCTTAAAGAGTTTGCCATAGCTTGCAAATTCGGGAATTGAAGAGAGCAGCCTGTCGTAAGCATCAACAGCAGCAGAAGGGGCAGTGGGAGGAGCACCAAGACCTATAGGCTTTTTCCCTGGTGCTTTCTTTTCAGCAAGTGGCTGAGCTTTTATCTCCTTGGGTACAGAATTAATATCAAATGGCTGATCTGATGGCTCCTGTGTTCAAAAAATACATTGAGTTGACATTTAACAGCTGGCAAAAGTAAGTGGGGCATGTAAAACTTACATAATTTCTCAGACTTGTTTCTAAGTTGACAAGCGGAATGTCCAGTGAACCAAAAAGGAACCCTTTTACATCATTATCAGTTTCAACAACTGAACCATCACCTCCAAGTGAATTCAAGTATAGTGTAGCCCTATCACGAACCTTAAGAGGAAGACAAAATCATAAGAAAATTTTCCAAGTAATACGTTTCTCAAGGGAAAAGGGCATCAAATATAAAGAATTACCGATTAAGGGTGCAAGGATAAAGGGAGCAAGTACCCAGAAAACATACCTCATCGTCACTGTCTAAAAGACAACGCCTCAACAGGACAAGAATGCGAGGCTGCAGTAAAAACTTTCTACAATGTCAAATAGAGAAGTCGAAGATCCCAAATAAGCAAAACAAACATGAGGAGAAGAAAGCAGTTCACTGCACCTTCAATGAATCAACCATGGCACCGAACTTAGCCAATGTGCTTACAGCACAGGCACGAACAGTTGCATTCTCGAGATGTACACGATTATAGATGTACCTAATAAATTTGCCAGGATCCGAGGTTTTTGGCCCTTCAATCCCTAGGAAATGGAGAATCTAACAATTGCACGAATAAGAAGATTAAATTTCGACACAACTAACAAAACAAGGGAAAACCAGAATGCCTTAGCACAAAAAACAAATGCTTATTGACACCTGTGTTGAGAGGTAAGTAAATTCACAGTCTTCAATGAATTCACATAGATGAAGCAACCCAATTTCTTTTGCCTCTTGTATATCTCTTATGAGAATCACAATTGAATCGACAATTGCCTTTTTATACTCAAATCCACCTTCTTCCCTGAGTATATTACTCAGGAAGTTCATCCTGTCAACATAAAGCACCAGTGAAGAAAGCCATTAGTTTGTTCGTTACGAATGAATATAGAAAGCGAAACGTGTGGTGAGACCTAATTCAATTGTTGGGAAAGGAAGAAGGGTGGAAGATATTACTCACAAGGATCTATACTTCAAGGGAAATTTCATGCACAGCGATCTTATGGCTTCAACCACGACAATTTTGAATTCATCAGCAATGTCTGACATGAAATTCGTGATCTGTTTCATCAGACGATCAACACTCGATTCATTTCCAGTCTTCAGAAGGGTGGTGATTGCAAGTGTGGCAATGCTTCGGTTCTGGTCAGAAATTAAACTCTCCATATCTATGTTGCAGTTAGTGACAGCCATAGGATGGGTCATTGCCACCTGCAGAAAAGTTCTGCCATATTCAAATCACTTATAGAAAAGCAAAAGACAATCAGAACTGCATGGGGAAGGAATGCAATGTATCTCGATAAGCATGGTTTTTTGGACATTCTGTAGCTTTCCTTCGTATGTGTAACAGTCTTGTTTCGAAATATTCATTGAAGATACAAAAGAGAAATTATTATGACAAAACCCATATAAGTGACACATGTACTAGACAAGAAGATTGGCCTCAAAAGAAGAGTCCAAGGTTAACAAGCAAAGAAAAACTTAGAAGTGTTTGTCAGAATAAATGGGTGCTGGAAAGCCATCCCAGCACCCATTTAGAGCTTTTGGAAGTTAAGGGCATCTGTAGGAGAAAGAGCATTGCTTACCCAATGAAAACGAATGCTCATTTGCTTGCTAGCACAAAGCACAATAATAATTTATTTCCTAATCTACTCACGGTTTTCTTTCTCTTTCATACTTGTTCCAATCAAGGTATTGGACATTTGCCATTGATTTCATTGAATCCCCATGTCATTTCTCCACCACAATCAAACATAGAATTGGAATAGCCATTTCATCAAATCTTTTTCCATTCCATTCCTTTATCCGGCTTCTACCTCATACGTTTTCCTCGCATTAAATGTGTCCTCAAGATTCGGATACGTTGGAACTTCGACCACACAATCACAAAACAGTTACTCAATAACCTTGTTATCAACAACTCCTTCATCTGTACATTATACTATGGGGGCACTCCACAGTATTAATGTCTAGTTAATTATTTCTTGCTTTTCATAAAAGCAATTATTGGTCGCTTGTAAATTTTCTATTTTTCTCCATACTTCATAAAAATTCAAAATCGCATGCTTAAGAAAGTCATGACAAGGAAAGAAGACTTTTTGGAGCACGAAGGAAAACCGGGTCATACCTTGTTCAAAGTACGTACAGCTGCAAATCTCAAAACTGGCTTTGAAGAACTTAAGAAAAGCTGGAGGACAGTAATTGCAGGAGTCAATTCACGGTTTGTCACACCACTAAGCTCAGTAATTGCTCTTGCGGCCTCCAAAATCACCATTTCAGCCTTATGGCGAAGACAGCTTTCAAGATAATCATAAAATGGCCTTTCTCCAGTTTGGAAGTTATTGGCTGACTCACGAATAACCTGCCGGAAGTATTGTCCGTAAGATAGTGACGGGAACTCAAAACGGTACTTCTATGTCTAAACAGAGGACATACCTGGCTAGCATAACGAACTAACTGGCATTGTGCCAGAGGAGAGCGAACAGTTCCCCTGGTCAAGCTGGTGACTAACTTGCTAACAGCAAGTCTGTCATTCTGCCGAATCTGCAAGTTATAGGAAGATGTGAAAAATATTCCAGCAACTAACATATCTAGGAGAAATACTCATCAATGCATAGTATTTATTTGGTACATATTTTCTCCATTCTCAAGAATTCTATTTAGAATTTACACGGTAACAAATTCAAAAGCCAAAAATAAGACAAGCTAAAACAAATCAAATGAGAAGATCAACATCTTTGTTTCCATACAAAACTACAAAAAGGACACAATTAAATCAACTGTGGGATGTTTCATGGTCCATAACTATGTCGAAAATTATACAAACTTAATAAGAAGAACCCAGTTTTAGTGCACCTATCACTTGCCTGTCGATTTAAATTAAAACATTTTATTCATACCCCAACCTTTTTTTGTCTCGTCTATTTCCTACATAATTCCTATCCTAAGCTATAGTCATATTAGTCCTTGGGTTATGCTGTGCCCACAACAAAAGGCAATAGCTACTTTCACACGTTCAAAAGCTGAAAAAGTGATTCATTTCGGTTTGCGGATCTACCTAATGGAGACTTAAGCATGCCCTTAGACATCCTTTAATGTGGAAACGACTAAATTTAGTTTTATGGTGGCTACTCATAATGGTAGTCTTAGAAAAAATATATGAAGGGGCGAAACATGGCATGCCAAAAGAGTTTCTGTGGATCTTTGATATTTTACAGGAACATAATAGTAAAGGGAATATCCTGAATAGTTGAAAACAAGGAAACAAGATGTGCCCAAGCAAAAACAGAAAAAAATGAACGAAAAGAACACACTTAGCTGCCAGCATTAATAACACTAGTCACCACTACTACTCTGAAAGAAAATCAGCTCAAGGAATCAGATTGTTCAATAGTTGATCAGGCTTCTGAAAATGAGTTATCTTCCGGTTTTCATTAGCAACACAAAAAAGAAGTTATTGAGGAAGAAGGTGTCAAAAGGCAGCATGCCAGTTCACTGCCAACCACGGCTAATCAGATGTTGCAGACATTCACTTCCACCAGAGAGGAACACATGCTACAGAGACGTCCAAAAGGTTCCATTTGCTCATACAAATGGTGCAAATGCAAATATGCATAATAAAAAAAATAAAAGAAGAAACCATCCATCAAATTGGATGTGACAACCAGGAATGAGCATCTAGCATACCTGATGAAGTAAAGCCAAGGCATGGAACTGTACAAGGGCGGCCCTTGATTGGACAGCTTCCTGAACTTCATTACTCCACCTTTTCACAATCTCGGGATTTGTCTATAGAAACAAAATAATTGCTAATGGGGCACTTCTCTTATAATAAAATCGTGTAAACATGTATTCTAGACGGTGTATATGTGCAGAACATGAGATATATATTTGTATGTTCAGTAACAAGTTAACAACAGAAAGAACCTGAAGTATATGGATCCCACTGACTAAAGCTGCACTAGCAACCACAGGATTCTTATCAACTATAGCTTGTTTCAAGTATCGCTCGATTTGGGCTAGAAGGGTTCCATCTGTGATCCGACATAGAACACGAATAGCATTGGCTCGGTACACATCGGTCCTGCTAGTCATGTCTTTCATAAGAGAGCTTGTCACCATGATGACCTTTGATAAAATAAAATTAAAAAAAAAGCTTGAGCAAGTTAGTAATACTGCGCAAGATGATATCATGGCATTCAACATCAGGTCTGCTGAGGCATAATAAATCATGGCACCTCATCAGAGGAAGGAGAGATCTCCTTGATCATCAGATAAACCATTCTCCTCAATCCAATATCTCTCGATTGGAAAAGTTTCGTGACAGCAAAAAATACTTCTGTGGCTTCTATCTGCATATCAGATCAAGATTTTAACAGAGAAGAACAATTTCACCCATCAATAAGATGAGAATGAGCGGACAAACACCCAATGCAGGAAACTTGAAAGTCATGAAGAAAAAAAAAAACAATATCAAACAACAAAGAAGTATCTGACCTTTGTGAATGTTTCCCCTTGGTTCAGAAGATACAGAAGCTTCGTAATGACCTGAAATTCGGGAGAAAAAGGGCCACAACAGTTAGCAAATCCACACTAAGAACAAGCACGGATACAACTGCAAACACGCAGAAATAAGGCAGGTTGGGCTCGACCTGAGAGCATCTCCTCGGATCTAGCTGGGGATCATGGAAAACCCTAGCTTCCTGAAGAACAGCTCCTTTCTCAATCCCGAGAAACGGAGAGTATTCAGCTGGCATCACATTCAAGCAACACAGTCAGAAAGAAGTAGAGCTCACGGAAACGAAGAGATAGCAACGCACCAAAAGCTAGAAAACTAATCCCAATCAACAAAGGACGGGATTGATGAAGTCCCGCTTCTTTCGCGAGAATTCCAAAACGAATTCCGATTGAATCAACAGCGATCCCAACGATCTTCAACCACCTAAACCGGTGACTTCTACGAATCGAACGGCCTAAGAGCAAGGAATTCGCGGCAAATGCTAATCGGATCGATGAAGATCCACCAGATCAGCCGCGATGACTCCGATGGCTCATCGAACCGAACCCTCCGCCAAAACACGCGTCGCGACAGAAGACGGATCTAGAAGACGAACCGAGAAAAGCTATCCTCGCAAGCCCGACCAACACCTCGAGGGGAAAAAGGCAATACGGATCGCGCAAACGGTACGGTCGGCGAGCTTACCTTCTTCGTCGCGGTCATCGTCCTTCTTCGCGAAAGGCTGAGCCATCGCCGGAGCGAGAGAGAGAGAGACACACACACACACAGATCTGAGCGAAACGCGACAGCGACTGAGCGAGCGAGCGAGCGAGAGCGAGAGCGAGAGAGAGAGAGAGAGCGAGCGAGCGTGAAGGTGCAGTTGGTGGTGAAGTTCTTTGAACAGGCTCGAAGATGAACTGCCTCCAGCCCCTCCGGTTCAGTGTGCTCCGGTTCAAAACGCACTCGATTCGGGTTTTCTTTTTGGTAAGGCAAACCATGTAAACCAATTCGTTTTTCCTTCTGTTTTTTATGTAATTATCGGATAACATTATACATTTTCATATCCATATTTCATTAAACTTGGCCTCGCAGCCCAACACGAGAGCATGACTCGACGTGGACATGAAGTTTTGATAGAGTATAGTTTTATGTGAATTTTGTTTGTATTATAAGAATAGTTTTTTGCGCATTTAACGACAACTTTATAAGTTATCTACAAATGACACCTCATGAACTGGCAGGATTCGAAATGATGGCTTCATTACGACATGAATTAGGGGAAACTGACTTCATATAATTGCTTTCGGGTATCGTGTGTGTTGTGGTGACCCATAACACGACATGAGGTGATGATACGAAAACATGATCTGATCCTGATGTGAAATTGGTGAATGTGGATTTACGTCGAATCGTATCGCTATGCTGAAAGGGTTGTTTACAAAATTGTGATCTCTAACAAAGATGAGGTTGCCGCGCATGGACCTTTCTCTAGGAAGAAGTTTACAATCGAGGGCAAAGGAGATTTAGAAAGAAGAAAAAGTCGACGTTGAAAAGGCTAAATCGTCACTCCTTGCGCATCTTAGGTTGAAAATGGTTTCATTTTTAGTTGATTTTGAGCGTTTCAGGTGGATATGAGAATTTAGAACCGTAAGACGGAAGGACAATTTTGCAAAGATGACGGCAATTCCACCCTTGAAAGTGGTAGCCTTTCCGAGGCAAAACTCGAGAATGTATTTGGTATTTTCAAAAGTAGAGGTATCTAAGTGTTAATAGGGTAAAATGTGGGTTTTAATTTCTATATCTGCACATGAGTTTACTGAAAAGTACTTCATCTGTTACTTGTTATCTGACCACATATCAAGACCTTTTCTCCGGCCAAAATGGTAGGTAGTCACGGGTTGGCGATACAATAACCCTGAACTGCATAAGATCTACGAAAACGCCAGTGAGTTCTTCAATGATGGGATGTAAATCACATGCAAAAAAAGAAACAGATTTCGGTGTTGATCGAGAACTTTTCAGGATTCAAAGAGAAATGCAACATTTGCATTGCTGAGTCTACCACATCGAGAGACGCTCGAAACAAAGATCAACTTCGTTCAAAAGTTCTCCTTCCTGCTCATTTCACGCGAATTGCTGCCGGTCGAAGAATTAGAAGGGTTGTATCCGTAATCGCTGCTGACATCTACTTCGCCTTTGAGAGCGCTTTCCCTAAGCATTTTCATGTCCGAAATGTAGGAACCTGCTTCCGTGCTGCCACCTCCGAAAGTCGAGCTGTTGCTCGGCTTCGCCCACTCGTGCACTTCATCTAATGATACATCGCCTTCAAGCGCCCGGACAATCTGTTTCGAATACGAGTTCTGTTAGCTTCGCGGTTTCTTAATAGCATGATAATGTTATCTTCGCTACCTGTACGTGGTTCAACGTATTGAAATTATTGTTCTTACCTGGCTCATCCTGGGTCTTCTCTTAGAAGAGCGTCTGATGCATGCGCCGGCACAAGCGACCATGCGCACCATCTCCTGAGGGACATAGTTGTCCTGTAAACGTGGATCCACCAACTCACTGTAATCTCCCTCCGCCAGAGCGGTTGTGATCATCGGTGTTGCCTGGTCATGCACAAACACAACAAACCTTGTCAAATTCAATCTAACATATGATGAGCAAACACATTATATGCGAATGCTCGTTAAGCCAATGAAGCGAGAGGATTGCGAACCCAATCCACGAGGCTGTCGTCCATATCGGTGTTGACGGGGTGTTTTCCGGTTATTAGTTCCAAGAGCATCACTCCGAAAGAGAAGACGTCGGACTTCTCGGTCAGCTTGCCGCTCGCTGCATACTCCGGAGCTAAATATCTGTATCAGTAGACTACTCAGTAAAATGGATGCACAGATCGAAATCTCCAAATAATTCGGATCAATTGATCTCCTAATGTACATCGGTTGAGTTTATCAGTTATCATCAATAAAACGAAGTAGATGTTGCCCTAACTAAGTCAACAGCTATTTCACGAGACGTGTGTGTGTTATTGCAAGAACATAGATTGATGCTTATTCTCACCCAAATGTCCCCATGACCCGCGTCGACACGTGAGTATGATTGTCCGTAGATAGCTTGGCAAGGCCGAAATCAGATACCTAAAGTACGCATAGTATGAAATCATCAGACTGCCAGCCCGAAGCTGAAAGACATTGTACCACCTTCTTACTGGTTCAGGGACTTGAAATTCAAGTTGAGCAACCATTTTTCCTACCTTGGCTTCAAAGTTAAAATCGAGTAGTATATTTGCCGCTTTGATATCCCGGTGAATGATTTTTGGGTGACCTAATTAATATCAGTTGAACAAATTAGATACAACTGAGGAAGAGAGCGTGAAGAGTCAATTTCTGAGTTCAACTATCAAGCAAACTTACAATCTTCATGTAGGTAAGCAAGTCCTCTGGCTGCACCCAATGCTATCCTAAGCCTCATCGGCCAGTCCATGACAGGTCGATCCTTCCCTATATAGATTTTTCGTCGAGCAACAGATCAATGAAGCTCATCAATTATGCTTTAGATTGTAACATTCAAAAACATTGTTAGTGCATTAGCACCGGGGTAGGAATTTGTGGAACATACCATGGAGATGATATTCAAGGGTGTTGTTGGGCACAAACTCATAAATCAATACCCTTTGGCTCTCCGAGATGCAATAACCCACGAGAGTCACGAGGTGGCGATGATGCACGCGGCTGATGATCTCGACCTCTGCCTGGAACTCACGGTCGCCTTGCCCGCTACCGTTCTTCAGCGACTTCACCGCTATCTCCTTCCCATTGGGCAACACCCCTTTGTGCACGTAGCCGTACCCGCCTTGTCCCAACAAGTTCGCCTGCGAGAACCCTCCAGTCGCAGCCGCTAGCTCGTCGTACGTGAAGGTACACTGCGTGAACCCCAGTGCAAAGCACGGAGGAGGCGGCGGCAATGGCGGGCCATGCGGGCCTGAGAACTCTGAGCTCGCCTGGCCACTGCTTAATGACGGCGGTGGATGCGACCAACCACCATACCCCGTGCTCATCGCCCCAGGAGGTGGAGGTACCTTGACCATGTGTTCCATGGGTTGATTGTTTTGCCAATTCGCGTGTTGATGCTGAGGGCCACTGTAATAATCACTAACTGTTTTGGAATGGTGCCAAAAGTGAGGAATGTATTTCATTACTTTAGAAACTTAGAAGCACTTGAGGACAATGTAGAGGGGAGAAACATAGTTGCGATTTGGTTTGAAGATTGATCTTACATTTGGATCCGTTGGAGTGGTCCCTATAATAGTTCATTTGATCGTGCGGTCTCCTCCTCTTTCTAGCGCACGACCAGAGGAACGCAATCATGACTAGTAGCAACAATCCTCCTCCAACTGCTAATCCCACAATGAGAGGTACATTGGGAGACGATGATGAGCTGGGGCTCGAAGAGGAATGCGATGATGGCGTGTGGTGCGATGGCGGTGCTAATGATCGTCGTGGTGGAGGCGGCGGCGGCGGAGGCGGGGGTGGTGGCGGAGGAGGAGGAGGCGGCGGCGGGGAGGATGAGTTGCCATCATCATCAGATGGGGAGGGAGGAGAACTGGATGATTTAGGAGGCGGTGGAGAGGATTTCGAGTCCTTCGGGGGAGGGGGTGAAGAGTTTGGCGGCGGCGGCGACGACGATGGCGGAGGTGGGGGCGAAGACGATGGCGGCGGCGGCGGCGGCAATGGTGAGGACGAGGATGATGGCGGGGGCGGCGAAGCCATCGGGAGGAGACTCCGATAAAAAGGAAACCGTCGGAGACCACGGCGGAGAACTCCTCCTCCTCCTCTTCCTCCAAAAGCAATAGAGTCCTGGTGAGGATAAAGGGAGAGATGAACACGGGAACTGGTCCCTCTAGGATCCTGGCGACGTGAACATGAACGCCATAGCCATCAACCTAACCCATCCCATTCCCAACACGAACGCGATCTGTCGAATTCTGCAGCAAATGAACAGGTTGGAAGGGAGTACCTGTCAGAGAAATTTCTCAAAGGGAGTGGAAAGAGAGGGAACGCTTGGCTGGAGTCTCTTCAACGAAAAGAGGGAATCCCGCGTTCGTTTCTCGGTCTCCTCAACTGCTGGAAAAGGGGCGATCTTGGGCTTTCAGGTGTTTGCTATTTTTGTGGCAACTTCCATTCCATTCCATCATCGGACATTCTCGTCTCTCCACATTGCGCACCCGACCACCCTCTTTTTCTTATTCCCCTCCTCCACTCCACGCCTTCCTTCTTTCGTTCGGGCATGCTAAACGATTCCTAGCCACAAACGTTTTGACATTAGGGAACTGTTGGGTTTGAATCCCTTGGTCCAACCTGGAATTCCCAAGCATTCGTTCGTTGTCTCCTTGTTGTTGCCCTTGGCCACTTGTTTTTCTGTTAGGACAACCGTTTCCCTGTTAATTAACCTTCTTCTTCTTTCGTTGCGCAATGTCGGGACATGATTTGAAAAATAAACTTGAGGTGTCGTAGACATATTCCGTGTTGTTATTTAAGATATCTAATAGTTTCTAGCATACCCTACAAATATCAATCGACATCATCAAAATACTGATTCTAAACTATGGCATTCAAAAACCGGCTCTGGATAAAGACACGCTATATTTCAATAAATTGGTTAGTCTCTTATCCAATCTATTCTCCGATTTTCTGAGAATCGCATTATATTTCTAAGAATGTAGAATGATATGGATAAATAATTTTAATTCATTATTAGTCAAGATTTTTTTTTTTCTAATCTTATATTTGCTCACTTTTACTTAAAAATCATTCGATAAATTATAACAACAAATTACGTGAATGAAAGCAAATCCTATGTATAGGTTTTCAGTTTGTAGAATAAACTAAACTTATGAAATTACTTATTGATAAATTTTTTCATGTGTACTTAGACTTATATCCCTACACTCCTAAATCATGCACGTCAAACTTTTTAATCACATTATAATCTATGTGAGCTTATGATCTTGAAAATAATTTACAATACTACAAACACTAATAATTTGAGAAAGGAAGAAAAAAATAGTGAAGAGAGTTGTCCAGAGGAAAGAAAATGAATGGGAGGAGAGTTCTTGAGATGGGGACCCATGTTCCTCTCCCTTACCTCTGATTTGGTATACAATACAGATATAGATATATTTCTCACATAACACAGTTTTGCAGCCCTACTGAAATGGATTGGGTACATGACTACAACTACGTTCACATCTCAGATTCAGATGAGATGTAACCCATAAATCACGGAAACTAAAGAAAGAGGAAATGTAACCAATGGAGGTATACATGGCTAGTTCCTCGCTTGATCTCGTGGAAGTAGATTAATTGCGAGAACGTAATCGCATTCGCATAAACTTTCATTGAGATTAATTCTGTCTCCACAGAGCATGTTTACATCCTAATAAATTCAACCTCCCGCAGTTGATGTGGATACAAATGGGTTAGAAGGGTTGGGAGCCACGTTTCCCGGCGGTCTCAGAAGAGGTGGTCTTTGGGAAGGCATGCTTGTCGGGGCTCTTGGAGCCAGGTTTGCCATATTCATGGGAACTCTATTGGTAGGCAGCAACGCCGGGTTTGGTCTAGATGAGGAACCTGAATAACCTAGCCGAGCTGCAATTATCTGCGCTCTCTCGTGGTACAACCTCTGTCTTGCCCTCTCCAATTGTTCTCTCACTCTCATCGTCACGTTCTCTACTTCATTGTAAAACGCCAGCTTCATCTCCACTTTATGCAACTATTTCATCAAGGAACGGTCAGAAAGAGATGCTATGGCAAATTGCAAGAGGCTACAGCTTATTAACTCGTATGGATAAGAAAATACCTGCTTTTCTGCCAATAATATAGCAAGGTGTCGGATTTGATCTACCTCGCGGTCTGCGAGAAGTTTTGCCTTCACTGCAGCTGCTGAAAGAGCGGAAGCTGCAGCACTTTTGAGTTTGTCCATAGAGTCATATTTTGTTGCTGCATGCTCATGGTCTCCATTTTTCCCGTCTTTAAGTTGATCCTCAGTTGCTGAAATAAGAATAAAGATGCACAATGAATAAATAAAAGCATTCTGCATCTCCAATAGTGAATTACTAAAAAAATCCACTAGTTCTGCTCCTCACTAAAAATGATGATTAATTTTTAATTCTACTCATTCCAGGACTTTTATAATCAAGTTCACAAGCATGTTGAACAATCAGACTAAAAGGATTATCATAAGTAACTACATGATAGCCCATAAGAGAGGAGGCCACTTTCCCCAGTCCACCCATTCCATGAATTCCTAACATTGGAAAATGATTCTGGCTTTCCAGCTTTATGCAGCAAAAATAACGTGTGTGTGTGTGTGTGTGTGTGAGAGAGAGAGAGAGAGAGAGATACTTGATCCATTTTCCACCACAGAATGTGGCTGCTCAGTTCTAGTGGTCTCAGAATCAGAAAGATCCTTAGGTTTATCCTTAGGAAGGGACGACTCGGTAGCTGCAGATTGATCCAGCGGCTCAATCTCGTTTGATGTAACAGGGTGCCCATCGTCATTACTTATCGGATGTTCATGTCCTGCGTCATTACTCCTTGATGCCTCTTGAGATGATGAAGTTTCTCCAGCTGAACTAGATTCTGGCTGCGCAGCCTTCTCTGAAGGTAGGGAATCATTAACCAAGTCCACATTTGGAGAATGAGAAGGCTCTCCCTGTTTATCATTCTCTTGTGATGGTGCAGAACTGCGCGGAAGCTCTTTATCTGATGCCGAGTCATTTGATTCCTTCAGCACACCTGATTCAGAGTTCTTCGACAGATCAGAGGAGCCCACATTAAGGCTACTATGTCTGAGTTGCTGCGCTTTAGAATCTAGCTCTTTTGCAGCTTCTACATTATCTTCTGCGGCAGGATGATCACTATTTTCGCATTTCTCACCATTCTTTAGATCCTCCTCACTGGTGATTGAAGGGATTATATCCTCTTTCTGCTCCTTATCTGTATCATTCTCAGGAACGGCATCGCCCTTTTCTTTTACAAGACTGCACACATCTCACGGTGTCACACACAAACAAGAAACAAAAATCCTATAACAGAAAAAAGCTTTCCTCACATACTACCTACCTCTGAGAACCTGCCTCCTCATGATCTGGTGGGTCTTCCAAAATGAAGCAATGTCTCATCACCAATTGCGAGCCAGGAGAACTGCCAGAAACTGATTTTAGAGAACTACGCGCAGAGGCAGCTGCAACATCAGATCCTACCATCCGCGCTAGGAATCCAGCCTGCAAAAGGAAAGCCACATCATTTTTCACTCATCATGACTCAGGAGTAAATTGCAAGTTGTTCAAGATCAAAAGATGAAAGCAGAATAAGGTCATAAAAAATTCTGGTGCTATAGAAATAACAGGAACGGGATATACATTACTGAGCTGCTTTTATTCCAAATAGATTTAGAAATCAATTGTGGAGCAATGTAACAAAGAAATTGCTGAAGCAGAAAGGAATCGAGAATTTTGTGGGGTCATTAATCATGTCGAGAATGTAAGCAAGAAGCAATTGTTTTCTCATATTGGGTACTGGATAGGCAATTGCCTGTAATATCTGGAATATACAAAGTAACGTCACAAACAAACTCATACAACAACCTGTTAAAGTTCAGTAAACAATATGTTGGCAAATCCAGAAACAAGAGATCAAAGGTATGGGATGCAACAAAGAAAAGAAACAAAATTTGGTATATCGAAAAGATGTACACAGTCTTCTGTACGTCATTCAACCTAAAATGTGTGATTTCATCAGTTTCTAGCACTAGGTTGACCATACACTTCTTTCCAACTGAAACTATTAATCAATTAAAGAAAAAGCAGCAGACACAGCCAGGCACTGTGAAGAGCCAATAAATGAGCACAAGTATATAATGGAGGACAAATTTAAAGAAAGCAGGCCCAGCTCCCACCTCCCCCCACTTGGCAAAACATGTAAACGATAGACATCTCAAAGCGGTAAATATTAACAAAGTCAACACAGTGAAAATTCATCACCTCACGCTGCATCTATAAGATGAAGCCAGCAACAAACATCTTGCAGTGTAGAGGAAGACGCCAAGTGATACCCACCACAAATTATCACAGGACCAGAAGCCAAGAAAGGGAAGAAAAGGAGAGATAAATAATGGTTTTTCATTAAGAGAAATGCCAAGTTGCACTGGAGGCACTCACCCTGGCAACCTTTGCAAATATAGGTAAATTTCATGTTTTCAAGGACATTCCAAAATAGGAGATGAGATTCAACGTATTTGCTTACACCTGCTAGCCCTCATAGAACTGTTAATGCCCTTCCCTCTTTCTGGTGCCTTCAAAGTTCCAACCATACTACAGGTTCATTGCAATAATTTGCAAACTTAGTAACTAAATCAAAAGTCATTTTTCACTTCACATAATCAAAACTCAGGTATAGTCTAGTCAACCTAAAAATGAAATTTATAGCCATTTCTGCTTCAGAATAATCAGAACCCATAAATATTCCAAATCTTAGAGACATAGAGTCCACCATACCAGGGCCATGACAGGATTGCCCGCTTCAGCAAATGAAAGAGAACTTTCAGGTGTTGAAAAATAACCAAGAGCTTCAAATGCGTCTCTAAGAGCCTTCAAAGCAAGATCTTCCTTTATGTCCTTAACTTTCACTTCTGTGTCCTCAAGCTTTGGAATATCCTGAGCAACCTTTGATTTATTAGCTTCTTCTTGACTTGAAGTTTTCTCATCAACTTTCCCTTCATGAGTATCTTCTGCCCTTGATATATCCATAGGTGAAGTCTGGGGCTGATCCTCAACTGGATCAGTCTTACCTTCTGTCCTTTCTGGGGTATCTCTACTAATAGGTGCATCATCATTTGTTGTAGTAAGATCTTTATTTTCCTTAGAAGTCGCATCAACATCATCATCACAATCAAGAAAAGCATCCTGAATTGGCATTTGAAGAAAGTGCAATATGCACTGAGCTTTTGTTTTTGTTGCTACATGCTCAGCAATCTCGCTCCAGTTTTCTTTGTAAAGTTCCAATGCTTCCAGGAGAAGCAGTGTCTCCTGATCAGTCCAATTTCCACCAGTTACACCATGTAACTCAGCAGGTTCCATTAGAATGAAGTCTGACGAAGACATGCCTGACCCGAACTTACCACTATTAAAGCAGTCAGTGCACAAATCAAAGTCTGCCTGCCATATAAAGCATAATTATTGAGAAAAATTTAAAGATAAACATGTAAAGCACAAGCTAAATTCAATGATAGTAGTCAACAGAGTTCCCATTCCACATCATCATTTAAGTTGCAGAAGAGTTCCCAGAGCTTGTTGAAGCACATTCAAGGGACTGCCGCTGAAAGTTGCGAATTTTGCATTTCATTAGATGCGGTCCTGTTTATAGATACTTTTCTGATGTCTATCCAAAAGAATTAACTCCAAAAAAATGAAGAACAGACTTTTGTATCCTTAGACCACGCAGATAATGAAGCAAGTTCTGGAAAATTTGCCATGCAGCAAAAACCAAATATTCCAGCACAAGCTCAGACAAACCAAGACCACATTTTAAAGTATGCTACAGGCTATAGACTGGCAATAAGATTATGGACCATCTCTCTCCCAGGATACATGCGGGCGAAGCTCAGTCAGATTCGCTGTGTCATTCAGTCAAATGCACGAACCTATGTACTCAGATCAGTAGCCATAGTATTTAATATCAATAAATCAGATTTAAGATTAGTAACCAGCATGGGCGGCGTTATTTTATGGTGATAAGTAATTGCAGATAATTTTCAACTTCTCCCTTCCAACCTAGTTGGAGGCATTAATCTGGTCTTTGATTGGTGGGTGACACACTCAAGCATCGCCCATATGTGACTTTTAACAAACAATGAAAAGAAAACCCTAACCCTAACTCTCTCTCTCACTCACACCCATTTATCGTGCCAAAGATTGTTCAACATTTAATACTAGATCAATTCCTATTGTATCTTTAGCAGATTATGTGTTATCTTTTAGCTGTATAAGTGCATCAATTTTTGTAATGCAAGATGTAGAAGAACCAAAATTTGGGACAAAGAAGCTGCAGCAGCGGCAGTTTTGAGGGTACAATATATACCAAAGCAGGTGAAGGGATACGAATGGAGGAGTAGAGAATAGAGAACTCATGACATTAGACTAGACAAAAGTGACAGCTACCATCCTTTGCCTAAAGACTCAATGGAAAGGAACATATAAATGCACCAAAACCTCCATGCACTACGAAATTACCTGCTTTTGACAATGGTAACGCTTCCGAGAGCAATCAGCGGAACAAGAATTGCAGTGGTACTCCACAGATGGCCCTTCTGGTTTTACTAAATCTTCAGCAATTGCAGATTCTGAAAATAACCCAGATGGCATAGGTGGAGCAGCTTGGTTATTTCTTGGGGCGATAGGAAGACATGGTTGCGTTGCCTCAAAGCGGTACAAGTTTTCAACCATAGGATCCTCCTTTGCAACTCCAATGACGTCAGCATCGGTCTTCGATGAGTCAGATGGTAGGAAGGGATGGAAATTAATCAAACCCCAGTAATCCAGAAACTCTAAAACTTCCTGCCTAGCTTCCAAGTCCCCCACTTCAAGATCTTCCAGGTCCTTCAGTTCAATCAACGATTTTGGGTTGGCACGGAACTTCTTCATAATTTTATTGCGTATCTCCAAGTACATACTATGTGTTCGACTTTGAGATTTCCCATTGAAAAAGGAAGCTAATGCACGCTCCTCAAGAGGATGAACTTTTGTCCATGAAAACCAACCTATAAAACCCAAAGAAATGCTTGTCTAAACAAATCTTTTTTGTTTTCCTAAAGGGAAGAGCTTAATACAACAATATGACCTCAAAAAGTAGCACATTATCACTCATTCTCCAAACTTGCAGAAACACAATGACCAATTTTCACCTAAAAGATTTGAACCAACATAGGACCTCATCAAGAGGGCTCTGCTACATTCCAAAATAGTGTTGCAGAGAGTGGCTAAAAAATGCTATGTGCTGCGCTACAAATCTCATTCAACATGTTTGAATCAAGACGAAGGGAAGGCCCGAGGACGAAATATCTGATCTGAATCAGAAAGAATGTACTAGTTGGTGTATCTCGTGAAGAAGGAAGGAAGGGCTTGGCGAACCGAAGAACAGTTTTGAGGCAATGCATCTGAATAGTGAATTATAGAAAGAGATAGAGGAAGAAGAGACATCTCCATTCAACAAAAACCAACAAGAAAAATTTACAGTTTTCGAAATCTGCCCTCATTACTTACAAGTCATTACCCTTTACCACAAAACAAGAATGAACTTATAACAAACTAGTCGCAGAGGACAAACTAAATTTCCTTGTTAACGCAAGTGAAATTCAGATTCACACATTGCACTCCTTCTCTAAAGAAATCCCCATCCACAATTACTTCTATATATGACGATTAACACTCGGGCAAAGGCTAAATCATCTGAAGTGAGCTCTCAAGTGAACTCACCACAGTGGTTAGGAACTGCATGAGCATCAGCATTTCGAGATCTAATGGCCTCGAAATCAGCTTCGATGGCCGCCTCCAGCGCCTCCCACTGCTCGCTCGCCCTCCTCGCCTCCTCGGCCTCCAAGACCTCCTGCGCAGCCTTCTTCTCCTCGCTCTTCACGGCGGCCGTGGCGAGGCCGCTGGGGCCCTGGCGAGCTCTGGTCAGCGGCCCGTTGTGGATCTGGGCGTGGTGGGAAATGGAGCTCTTCTCGCGAGTGACCCGCTTCGACGGCGCGGACGAGGAGCCCGAGGCGCCGGCTTTCCTCTTGTGGGATCCCGCCCGGCGGCGCGTCGAGGCGGCGTCCGCCGACTGGGGCTCGGCGGAGGCGGCCGGCCCCGCCGGTAGGGTTCCGGCGTCGCGGCGCTTCTCTTCCATTCCGGAGGGGAAGAGGTCTTCGATCAGTGCGGAAGGTGAAGCTGCCCCACTCGAAACGAATCCTCAGAGAGCTAAAGGATCGTCACCGCCAGCGAGCGAGCGAGAGCTGGTCGCTGACGCGACGGCGACGAGCATCTTTGCCTTTCGAGTGGGGGGGGGTTCATTGACTGGCCGCGGCCGGTAGGTACCGGGAGATAGAGTACCGATGGGAGGGTCCATCTTCGGGACGGGCCGATCCGGGTCGGGTCGGGCCATGTCGGGGGATCAAGCCCGCCCAGTTGCAGGACCAACGTGTTAGGACAGGGAAGGGGACGTCGGGCCGGGCCATTCATAAGATCCGCTTGCCCGTATCAATTGGACGAAGAGACTCGTGCCAAAAAGTGAGCAAAGGCCACACCTTTTATAAGACTGATCTACGAAATTAATTCATTATGCGATTATCGACCTATAGGCTATAGGCGATCCAATTAAATAAACGGGTCATACTTAGCAACTGATAATAGATTGAAATGTCAGCTAATTAACCAGTTTTGTAAATCAATTATAATAAGTGTTACGTTTTTTTGAATCAAATGACATCATGGAGAATTATCGAATCAGCTATTTCTTAAGTAAGTATCGGCTATATGATTTTCATTAGCATGTTTTGTCATTTCTAAAGATTAAATCCGAGAAACATGGAGAGAAAGCAATGCCAAAATTCGAGTTCTGTCAAGAAAAGAACGTGTTGGAGGGGGAAGATTTTGATGCACGACAATGGAAACTGTAAATCTTGCACAAGATGGCCCGAGTGCTTCTGCCTAGTCGCTCCATTATTAATTCAAACGAAAAGGCATTTTCTAAATAATGAGAATGCAAACCGAATCCATTGATTGTTCCGTCTCATAGCATATGAAGTCGCAACGGACGCATCGATCCTTGTACAGTCCATTTTTGCTGGTGGATGATGTGGAAAAATCGCATGGATATGCACAAAAAACGACAATTTAATGCTCGTTTTCATAATTCATGACATCAGGACGCACATAGGACCCATGTCCTCGTGGAGATCCATCATTGGCATTATTTTTATAGCCAAGAATAAAAGCCACAAAAAACTCCAAATTATACCCGCAATGACATATTTATTATAATTTTTTCTTTGCAATGTAAAAAATCATAAACTTGTACCCACGTGACACATTACCCTCTGTCAAAGTTCCGTTAATGAGGACTGTTAAAAATCTATATACATTGACGTCGGAAATCAAAACGTTGCTGCTTAAGTGAAATAAAACGACGTTATTTTGACCGAAAAATCATCTTATGGAACCTTGAGCCCGAGGGATCTCTTTTGTTATTTCTAAGTTAAACTCGTCAAATAGGTGGATCGGATCGAAAATAGTTAGACCCAAATTGACATATTTAACCAGTTTTAACAAATTTCTATGCAATACAAATCTAGTGACCCATACTCGATCCATATTATAAAAACACTTTCATATTTAATAAAATATAAGAAAATCCATATCCAGAGTGAAGTGAGAGCATGAAGTAAACGAGTTTGAGATCAAGTGAGGGCGAGAAAAAGTCATAGATATGGATTGGGTCTAAGTAAGTTATGAACCTAATAATCACTTATCTTATTTTGAACTTTACCATTATAAATCCATTTACCGAATAAGGCTAGCCCATGTAACAACCTTACCTAGCTCATCAAATGAGTTTATGACCCATTTTGACAGCTCTATTTTTAACAATTAAATTTGACAAAAAAGTAGAGACATGGCATGCCAAAATTCGAGTCCTGTCAAGAAAAAAGATGTGCAATATCTTCGTACAGGAGGGTGAGGATTTTGATATCTTTCACAAGATGGGCCCGGATGCTTCTCTTGAGTCCCTCTGTTCATTCAAACGAGAAGGCGTTCTCGATAACGAGAAGCGAAAACCAAATCCATTTAATTGTTCTTGTCTCATAGCATATAAGTCGCAACGAATGCATCGATCCTCGAATCCTTTTGCTGGCGCATGATGGCGTGGACAAGATCGCACGAATATGCACAAAAACAACGATATTTTAGTGCTCGTGATTCATGTGTTGTCCTCGTGGAGATCAATCATTGACATAATTTATTGCCAAATGCAATTTTCCCAATTTTTTTTTCATAAATTTTCCTTTGCTTTAGGTGAGTGAGATCGACGATTACGGCGGACTCCACGTGGGTAATTTCTCTTTTGTAAACCGAAGATTTTATTGTTTGAGAGGGCCGTGCTGGAACAACTATTATTCAATTAACTGTTTCTAAATATGATTACGTAATTCCTTTTCTTTTGCCCGGTGTTTTTCTAGATTATACGTACATAGATATGATTATGCGTACCATCAGTCTATTATGCTGATTTTACTAATTCTCAAAATCAGCATAATAAGTCCAAGAGTATTAACAAGAGCGGTAATTCGTGTCAATCATTCTTTTTTTTCTCCTTAAATCGAACAAATTTATAGGTCAATCTATTATCTTCATGTATCCGGAATATGAGTTTTACCTCAGGCTCCGTTCGTTTTACGAAAAACAACTTTTAGAAAAACGTTTTTCGGATTCTTCGACATTCGTTTCATGGAAAATAAACTAGTCATGAAAACATTTTCCAAATCTTCTTTCACATCATTTTCCTTTAAATAACACATTTTATTTTTTATTTTTTTATTTCCTTTTTATAAAAAAATATAGTTTTTAATTATTTTATTTTATTTACTTTCTTCTTCGGCCAATCGCTGGCCACAACGAAAGCCGGCGACCGGCCACAGGCAAGCTTGAGCCTTGCCACAGGCTGGTGAGGCTCAAGCTCGCTAGATCGGCGATGCTTGAGCATGGCCTAAGGGCGGTGAGGCTCAGGCCTCGCTAGAAGCAGCAACTTGAGGTCTCAAGCCTCAATTATCTACAAGGCCCGAGCTTTGCTGCCCTCTGGCGACGCTCAAGCGTTGTCGATCTGGCAAGGCTCGAGCTTGCTTGTGGTCGGTCGCCAGCTTTCGCCATGGCCCGACGACCAGCTGGAGAAGGAAGTTAAAAAAAAAAGAAAACAAAAGAAATCTTAAAAATTATTAAAAAATTGATGAATAAAAAATAAAATAAAATATTATGAAAAGGAGTGCAATGAGGTTTTTGTTATACGGAACAACGAAAAATATTTTCTAGTTCATTTTCAGATCTCATCCGAACACTGAAAAATATTGTCATTTTCCTGAAAAATGACTTTTTCGAGCAGTATTGTAGTAAGTTGAAAAACCATCCCTGTCTATAAAAAAATGCGTCCGTCAGTTATCTAAATCAACAGTCGTCTGTATGCATAATGAGTCCGTTGATAATTATTAGTGATAATATCACATTTTTCGCAAAATGAGTGGAGCCAATACATCAAGAATCTACCGGAAAACTCCTTTGCTTTAGTCAAGAAATGATTGAAAGGGAAAATATGATTCCCCATTAAGATTAGAACCCTTATTAAATTTCCGCGAGAACGAATTATTTTTGCAGAACAAAGGTCAAATCGATGTCCAAAGGATAAGAAAACAGCCTAAATAATTTACGTAATCATTCGACCAAAAAAAAATTTACGTAATCCGACTCGTAGAATCTTTGAAAGAAATTCATAAAAAAAGAAGACCTTGTTGGGTCATGAACAGTTGACATCACTGTACAGTTCAAGACCATTGCAAAAGCCTTGCCTTCTTTACTCCTCCGAAAAAGTCCAGAACTCGGCAGTTTCTTTCTCTGTCTTTCCTGGAGATTCACTTCTGCAAGTTCGAGTCTTTGGACCGAAGAGTGACATGGGTGTCGCCGTCAGACAGGCTTCTCGGATCATCCTTCTTCATCTGCTACTTCTAGTGGTAAATTCCCTCTTTCTGTGATTGTTTTGATCGTGTTCTCTGTGAAAAAACCCACTTCCCTTTTGAGGAATGAACAGTATGGCATCGTTGATTCAACTTTTCCTTCGATCTACCTCTCCTTGAGGAGCTGTAAAAGACTATGAAGACTTGAAGCTTTTCTGAGACTGCTCTACAATTTCATTGACTTTTCAATTGGTTTCGACAGAGTTGGTGGGTTCATTTCAACTGTAGTAATTTCTTAGTTTTCAATTTACTTTGCAGAGCTCTCATTGCCATGGATGTTGGGCTAGATTGTTGAGTGAAAATCGCGGGGAGAAATTCATGGACCACCGTTTATCTGGATTTTCTAAAATTGATGATGATGATGGTCATGTTCATGCTCATGCTAATGGCATGTCCCATATGGATCATCTCCTGATGGACCCTCGATCAATGATCTTCTTCACCTTGGATGACCTCAAGCCAGGCAAAACAATGCCCATCTATTTCCCCAAGAGAGAGCCATCATCGTCCCCTCACTTCTTGCCCAGAGAAGATACTGAATCCATCCCGTTCTCATCCAGAGACCTCCCTCATCTTCTCGATCTCTTCTCATTCTCAAGCGACTCTCCACAAGCCAAAGCCATGGAGGACACCTTGAAGCACTGCGAGACGAAACCCATCGAGGGAGAGACCAAATCATGTGCCACCTCATTGGAGTCCATGCTCGACTTCGTGCACGGCATCTTGGGAGGCAAATCCCCCCGTTTCCGGGCCATTTCCACTAGCCACTTGATCGAATCGAGCACCCGCTTCCAGAACTACACTATCCTAGAAGCGCCTAGGGGCGTGCCGGCCTCGAAGATGGTGGCGTGCCACACCCTGCCTTATCCTTACGCGGTCTTCTATTGCCACAGCCAGGAGAGTGAGAACAAGGTGTTTGAGGTTGTCCTAGGGGGCGAGAATGGGGACAGGGTAAAAGCCGTCGCGGTCTGCCACTTGGACACGTCGCAGTGGAACCGTGACCACCCATCCTTCCGTGTGCTCGGAGTCGAGCCGGGGACCGTGCCGGTCTGCCATTTCTTTCCCGCAGATAACCTTGTCTGGGTTCCGATTGCGCCAACTCCGAGCATGATGTGATTGTGTCTGGGAAATCTAATTCTAGATCATTAGGCATGTCATTTCGCATCTTCTTCTTCTTGAACTGTCTGGAATGTGTGTGCTCTGCACAGTATAGCTTATTAATAAAGAACCCTTCATCCTATGACACTTTTTGTGATTCCAATTGCCTCTCCAGTCCACGTGATCCTATTAGCTCTCTGGTTTTCTCGCCCAAAATTGAAACTTAACGAGCTCAGCCATGGACGGGGCTATTCGCAACATCGAGACTTGTGGGTCAGGGGCCTCTCACGAGCGACAAGAGAGAGAATGGTAGTTTGGGGCCGCGTGACACAGCGTGATAGGGATTCGGGTAAATGGTGGTTGCGAAACCGCTATAGAGCGGCGAGCTAAAGTCAGTGCCGCAGCTGCCGCTGAACCAGTGGCGGCAGACATAGTGGTTTGGTGGCGAAGGCATGCCGTAAGCACCGGCGAGAAGAGGAGATGGGGTTAGGTCCTCTTTGTCTAGGTTAAGTTCCCTGAGCGTGTGAACACGTTTCACCTGGCCCCGATATAGATACTGTTGCTCGGTTGCAGCATAACTCTTTGACTTTTTGTATGGGGCAACCATTTCCTTGACTTTTCATAAATTAAGGTTGAAACTGAAGCAACATCTTACGACCATACTGACTTATTTAGCAACGATCGGTCAAAGCTAACTTAAGAGGGATTTGCTTGAATTGCAGGCACGTTATTTTCACCGTCTCCTCCAGTAGACGCTGGAAGAGCCCGTGGAAACTCGTCTTTAGGAAAAAAAGATCAAACTCATCAATCGATAATTCGAATTAATACAAAAAATCAAGATAAGAATATTGAGTCTTGAGAGAATCTCATTGATGTCAATAGTAGCCCGAGCATTTAGATATTCTCTTGACTTGCCTAGATAGCGGGAAAAGTGCCAAAAAAATCCTAAACCTTTTGCATTAGTGCCAATTTAGTCATAAACCTTTTTTTGGTGCCAATTCAGTCCTAAACCTTTTGCATTTGTGCCAATTTAGTCCTAAACCTTTTTTTGGTACCAATTAAGTCCTAAACCTTTTAAATTGGTGCCAATTCAGTCCTAAACCTTTTGTTTTTGTGCCAATTTAGTCCTTCCGGCCAATCTTGACCGGAATTTATCTACGTGGACGCCTGCCGGCTGGCGGCCGGTCACCGGCGCCGACGTGGACAACTTTAATAATATTTTAATATTTTTTTGAATTTTTATTTTTTTTCCTTTTTTTTCCACTTTTTTTTTTGTCTCTCCCTCCTTCCTCTGGCCGGTCGCCGGTCCGGCGACCGGCCAGAGGCCGGAGGCCGGTGAGCTCGACCTCGCCGGCCACTGGCGAAGGCGTGCCTCGCCTTGGTCGGGCGAGGCTCGACCTCGCCGGAGGCCGCGGCGAGGGCGAGCCTCGCCATGGTCGGGCGAGGCCCGACCTCGCGACCATGGCGAGGCTCGCCCTCGGCTGCGGCCTCCGGCGAGGGCTCGAGCCTGGCCTTGGTCGGGCGAGGCCCGACCTCGCCGGATCTGGCGAGATTGAGCGTCGACCTCGCCGGATCCGGGAGGTTGGGCCTCGCCCTCGTCGCGGCCTCCGGCGAGGGCTCGAGCCTTGCCTTGGTCGGGCGAGGCTCGACCTCGCCGGATCTGGCGGCGAGGCTCGCCCTCACTGGGTGAGGCCGCCCTCGCCAGTGGCCGGCGAGGTCGAGCTCGCCGGCCGCTGGCCGGTCGCCGGACCGGCGACCGACCAGAGGAAGGATGGAGAGAACCAAAAAAAAAAATTGGAAAAAAAGGAAAAAAAAATTCAAAAAAATATTAAAATATTATTAAAGTTGTCCACGTCGGCGCCAGTGACCGGCCGCCGGCCGCAGCGTCCACGTCGGCAAATTCCGGTCAAGATTGGCCGGAAGGACTAAATTGGCACAAAAACAAAAGGTTTAGGACTGAATTTGCACCAATTTAAAAGGTTTAGGACTTAATTGGCATTAAAAAAAGGTTTAGGACTAAATTGGTATCAATGCAAAAGGTTTATGACTGAATTGGCACCAAAAAAAGGTTTAGGACTAAATTGGCACTAATGCAAAAAGTTTAGGACTTTTTTGGCACTTTTCCCCCTAGATAGCTTTTATTGTGTTATTTTTTTGAAATATTCTACTTTTCGTGTCCATGTCTTTTCATATCGTTTCTAATCAAGTCCGTGTAGACTACACGGTGTAGTTTTAATTTATCTAATAAATCATCTTATTTTGGAAAATATTCTACTCTAGTCTTTCCACTATTGAATCCGGCATATTTGGCCATCGAAGAATGTCCTGCGTAATGTGGATAGAACATTTTACAAAGTGATTGTCCACACGGCACAACATCGGCAAGAAAGAGGATTTTTCTTTTGCCTTTATTTTTCTGTGGTGGGTTCGGGTTGCATCTACACCAGCAAAATTTTTATCTATGTTATATTCTGGCATTGTCCGACGGATTCGATACTGGAGAAACTCGCTTAGATAAACAAAGTACAAGAACTTGATTTGAAGAACGTGTAAAAGTATATAGACGAGATCCTTTTTTTCTCTTGTAAATATCACTAAACCCACATAAATTATTAGGTAGAAAAGTAATATCCTTGCGAAGAATTATCAGAAGCTACTAAATTTTACACTCCGAATTTCCACCACCCCAAAAATCTGCTGCGGATCTCAAGCTTCCTCAAGCATTCTTGTCAATTTTTTCAATGCCTATGCACGAATATGGACTAAAGTTACTTATTTCGGATGGATTTTCCTGTCGTAAACATACAAAATGATGAATGCCCAACCTTTTCTTTTGACGTGGAACTCTATCTATGGATAGACCTAGACACATGCAACAATCCCGCAGTTTCCTTATCAGTTCCTTTGACCCTTTCCGCCAGCAGTACGCTCGAAAACCACGGCATGTCTGCTGCATAAACACCAGCATTCAGATCAAATTAGATCGAGCTGTTTCCATCTATTTTGTCCGTTCGTTGGCTTCTTTCTACAAAAAAACACTGAAGCTTTCCTTCAAGAACGGTTGCCTATTTATGAAGAAGATCAGAAGAGGAGGGTTTTCCTTGACATGTGTATTACGCCTTTATATTATTTGATACATCGTATCAATTGTCCATGTCCAGCTATGCAGTGAACGGACAGGATGATCGAGAAGTAAATGAAAAAGATCAGACAGAGATAGCAAAATGGATAATGATCATGACATGCTCTAAATACAAGCGTATTGCATAATAATACTGTAACAAAAGAAGTTCTACATATGCACCAGCTGCAGAAAAGCATCTACCACATAATTTTTTTTATTTTTCCCTTCTCTAGTTTCAAGCTAAGCAGATATCTCCATCTTCTGATCTTGATCATCAGGCATCTTCAACCGCTCATCCTCTCCTTTCTCAGCATGTTCCCCACAGTGCTTCTTCTCCTTGGCATCAACATGGCCGTGATATATGATCACATTGGGTCTCATGTCGAAATCCCTCACGAAATCAATGCTGTTTTTCTCATTCCCGGACGAAGACTCTGGGTGAATGAGATCTCTAATCGACTCCGGCATGGGCTGGTCCTTCATTATCTTCTTCCAGTATCCACCTGGACTCCCTCTTGCATCATTGACTTCTGCAAGCTATCAACACCAAAGCAAGGGATCAAAAGAAATCAGAAGATCAAGTACCAAGAAAGAACAAAATTGGGTCATCAAAGAAGAAAGAAAGAACTCTTACCAAGAGAAGAGAGAAGAGGAAGATGAGAGCAACGATAGGCTTCATGGTCTCCATGCTTCCTCACTAAGCAACACTAGAAAGATAGATTTGGCTGCTTGGTGACAGGTGTGGCAGGCTTGTCCACGGTGCTGACTCTCCTATTTATAGTCCCACAACGATGACCAACATTGTAAACTTTTGATTCGACATTGAATTCATATAAAAAAGGGGCGAAGACATGTGTATTGACATTATTGTTGTTGATAAATAAATAAAAACGAGAAAAGGAAGCAGGCAAAAAAATTGCGTGTTGACACACAAGAGATGATGTAATGGTCGGTGACCCCAGCATAGCATTTTAGTCAAACCGAAGGAAAGAGAGATATATATGCCCATGAGAAACCATACTTTAGGTGAGGTCAATATCCATCGGGCATTATGTGGACCTGTCTCATCACACAGTAAAACAATTACGTAAACGATAGCAAACCACAATCCAAAAGAATTGTGAATGATACGGTGGATCATCTTTCACTGGATGTGCCTAACATTAGAAAGATCATCGCTCAATATATTATACCGATCATACACCATTTTGTTAATGTTGAAAATCTCGATTGATAGTTCTGGAGTGACAGATGGCGTACAATAGGCGACCAACGACAAATGACACGTAATTAACTCTTGCTCTAAGCCACAATAATTGCGATTGGGGAAAGACATCAAAAGGGTTTTCATTGGTGAACTTCTGTGGTATTTTAATGAGTTTAAGAGAGGGTTGTGACTCACCCTCACCTAAATTTGATTCTCCAACACCTTGAAGTTAATATGTCCTGCGATGTTGTAGAAGGAAAGTTATCATCTCAATGGAAGGAAATCCACTTATATAGACTAACAAAAGAGTGGAAGAATTAATGAAGAGTGTGCAAAAACCATTACCTCCTTGGTCCATCACTTGTTGGAATATCTATCAAATGGAGAAACGCTGCCATACTTAAACCAATTGACTAGGATTTTGTTTATGAAGATATGCTACCAAAGGGCAAACATTAAAGCAAATACGCCATATGAAGGTAATTTAAAAATTGTGGTATGACCCAAAAAAAAAACAATCATGGAGTTTCTCTTTGTCGTCGTATCTTATCACGAACTTACTTATTTGATAAAAATAATGAAAAATCATTTTCATAGATTCTTTTAAATTACTCATTGGAATGCTTCTCTTTTTGGACCCCGAAAACCTTCTTGCTTTTTCTTGTCGTCGTGCCTTACTGTGAACCTTCTCTCTTTGAAATCCTCCTTTTGGTATTTGACCTAAAATGGAGGTATATCAGTGGGTTGTTTCCTTCTCCAAGGCTACTTTTGCTCTAGTGACAGCCATGATCGTCAGAAACAGTCGCTTAGTTAAAGGCGCATTATACATGCATGCTTTAAGACCTTTGTACATGGATGCTTTCTCTCTTTTGAAATCACTTCCTCTTATATGGGACATGCATGGGTGTAGAAAAATATAATATTTGTGGAACATGGCATATTTCAGAAAATAAGCAAAAACAGAGAGCAGGATTACAAAAAAGAAGAAGAAGAAGAAAGATGATCCATTGCATGCAGCTGCACTTAGGCCTTGCTTCTCCACCTGCTCTGGCAGAACCAGACAGTCACAAAATTATATTTATATTGCAATTGTCAATCTGAATATTATATTAATATTGCAAGTAACTAGCTAAACCGTTGTGAACGAGATTTTTTATATTTAATAGCATCGCTTTCTAGCTAGAAGGAAGAAAATAATGAAGTGAAGACACCTCGAGAATAGCGATGCGGTACTAAACTAGGGTTATATATAAACACACATGCGTTCCCTACATTCAGTGCCTGGTGGTTTGGATTGTCATTTGATTAAGCTAAATGATTAAGCACTTGATCACCTTCACCGGTATGCAGCAAAGTCGTCGACATACTTGCTAGACATACTGCCCCAGAACCTGTATTACCAGATCTGACTTGGAAAAGGTCAGGAGCTAACTATTCCGGAGCGAGAACTTTGAATCATGAAAAAATAAGTGACGCTCTTATTCTTGGAAAAAAGTACCAAAAAAGTTTTAAATCTATTGCATTGGTACCAATTCAATCTTAAACTTTTCAATTTAATCGATTTAGTCTTAAATCTTTTCACAACGGTACCAATTGAGTCCATCCAGCTAATTTAGGTTGGAAATTACTGATGTGGACGCCGATCGTCCTACATGACACGACTGGCGTTGACATGGATATTTTTTAAAAGTAATTTTTAATAATTTTTTTCTTATTTTTCTTTCTTGTTCTTCCATGACCTATGTCGGTGGCCGTGGCTGGTGCGGGCTGGGCTGGCCTTGGCACGGGCTGGGCTAGCCTTGGCATAGGCCGGCGCTCGCCCTTACCCAAATGAGAGCGACCCTCGTTCCATGGAAGAAAAAGAAAGAACAAAAATAAAAAAAAATTACTAAAAATATCCACGTCAGCGTCATCCGCATCAACAAAAATTGCCCGGACGGACTCAATTGATATCAACGTGAAAATGTTTAGGACTAAATTGATCAAATATATTTAGAACTAAATTGGTACTAATGTAATAAGTTTAGAAATTTTTTTTTTCACTTTTCCCATAGTCTCGATGAGTAAGCTTTTGAATAGGCAGATTTTTTTTACGACAAGAAAGCTTATCTTACTGACAAAAGTCTTGATTCCTTGAAATATCCTACTAAAATTTATTGAGGTTGGATTTTACCGAACTAGAAAAAGAAAACCTACATGCATGTGTAGTAATATTTTAAGAGAAGACAAGAATAAAAGCATCTTCAAGGTGCTATAAATGACACTTTGTGATCAAATTCAACCATCCCTTTTCTTTTTGATCGGACAACCATACTTGAAAGGGAGACAATTCAGTTGAATATACGTGTGAAAGCACGTCGTGTTATTATCACTTTACTCCTTTACAAGGACTTGAGATCGAACTATGTAATGGTCCGGACATGATTTTTACGTGATGTGATAAACGGGGAAAAGCAATTTAAACAGCGTTATTTCTTTTGGGATTTGAAAATTTAAAAGGCAATGATTCTTGGTCATCTATGTGCAATTGTCATGCTGCCTAAATATGCCATTTTGACCTAAATGTACTACTCTTCCATTAAGAAGAAATGACGCAAGTGAGAAGCACTAGCTAAGCTACCCTTTTGAGTCGGCACCATTTGCTTCAAAGCTAAGAAAAAGCAGAATATACCGAAGACTAATATTTAACAGTACATGCATCATCATCATTGTCCAAAATTAGTCTGAACACTCTCAAAGGTCGCGCAGCTGCAGAAGAAGGGCCATTTTCAACCATCCTTGTTTGCTTTTTTTTATGTTTTTTTTTTATGGTAAGGTCTTAAAGGAGATCGAGATTACAAAACCCCACAAAGAACCAAAGGGAGGATCGTTGGAGATCCCGTTGACTAAAGGGCAAGAATATGCCAAGTACTGCTTTTTTGACTCTCCATGCACTGAGAGCCTTACGTTTAGGGTTTCTTTTCCATAAAATTTGTCCAAGGCAGCCTTACACGATTCGCTTAAAGCTGCCACCCACAGAATTAGGTGTGGAAACACAAGTCTACAGCCCTTTTCTTGTTTTTCTTCATTTCCCATTTCTTTTGGGGAAAGTCTAGCTAGTACTCTAGAATTACCATATGTTAATCTAAGACATATTCTTCGACCAAAAAAAAAAATAAAAAATCTCAGACATATTCACTCATTGATTTGAGAGTATATATTCTAGAGTACTCGCTCACTAATCACTACTGCTGAAGAGGGATCGATCAAAACCCTTTCAGCCGGACAAATTCAACGTTGTTCATGTGATAATCACCTCCACATAGGAGTGAATGATGCAAATTGGAGTCATGCTGACATACCCATCTAAAAAAAAGATTTAAATCTCCTTTATTTTCCTTCAAGTTGACCTTTAAACATATTTCTTGTTATTATATTGTGATGTGGACGAAACTGTCCTACTCCTACCCACTTATATTGTACGCACATATTTAAAATGACATGAGAGCTGACCTCAAACGCATACCGAGAAATATGCCACAGCCAACATGTCAAAACTTATCTTACACGTACTTTTCATTTTCCATCACAATTTCTATGTGCGTGATGATTGATTTATAAGAACAGGAAAAAGGTCAAACCCGAGCTTTAGAGGGTTTTTCTTTTCAATGAAGTTCCAAGGTGTGGGTCAGTGTACTCCTACTTTAGCAAAGATTCCGTAGTTTGATCATCAGCTGACTGTCTAGAAAAAGCCATTGCATGAGAAGGTGGTGGCTGAACTGTGCATGAGAGAGAGAGAGAGAGAGAGAGAGAGAGAGAGAGACTGTTGACTGCAATAGGTGAGATATTGAGATTAGATTCTGGATTCCATGAGGGCGCCAGGTTGGCGCATTACCGTAAAGTCAACTACAGATGTGCATGCATCGGTTTTCTTTTCTAAAGAAATGTGTCTAGTTGGGTTTTAGTAAGTTCAATATCTAGGTGTACTTTCTTGTTTGCATTGGCGATATGCATGGTATCTACGAACTAGCTTTATATAATAAATGTATGTGTTTCTATATCGTTCGCGTTCATTTGTCCTTTTGGGGATTTGACTGCCATGGCCAGCTTATTACGTACGTGCATACGAAGTTTTGGCGTTCTGGAGGTTTATGTTTCCCTTTCCTTTTAGGTTGGTGGTTTACTAAGATGATGGCTTCATACATGACCCCTTAACTACTTTCTTCTGCACATATAATTGTGTACGTGACCTGTTACATTGATAATCAATTTGGATGGTCATGATGCTTCGCAAGGCTATGTTAGAGTTTGCATGAATTAAGCCGGATACACTCGTTTTTTGTATCTTAGTTAATCATGATTAGAAAATTCACGTCGTGTTTCGTGTCACGCAGATAGCATTCGCATATCGTTATGCAAGTGTAAACGAAATTAATGTCGCTGTGTCGAGCCAACCAAATTATCTAATAAATGAGACATACGCACTAATTTCTATTGACCTGATCTGATTCTAGAAATAAGTTTTTGTTACCCACGGTTTTGTAGCGGCGACTTGGTCGCTCATGATTCAAAGGGCTAATCAAGATGACCTAATCAAGAGCACAGTCCACGCTAATTATGATGGTGACTATTCATGTAGATACAGATTGATGGTCTTAATATAAGTCGTGTGGATGGTATCAAGTCAAAGTGTAATCATGGTTTTTTTTAAAAGCAGTCCCTCGTGGGTGAGTCATTGCTTTTTCAGACCCTAGTGATATTGCGTAACCCTTTGTCTCTCTTGTAGATGTCGTCTTCAGTTGACTTCGCTACAGAGCCAACCTCTTTGGCTAGTGAACCACGTAACTTTGGGATAAAGATTGATTTCCAACTTTATCTTTTTCTTTCCCACGTTATTCACACACAAATTCATATAATATATAACTATGCACAGATATTAAATTGAAAATTGTCAAATCTCAGCGGAGTAAAACTAAGGAAAAATCGACAAAAGACATGCTTTTCACTTAGTCAATTTGTATTTATTTATATTATTGTTGCGATAATCCCATCAACTGTTCGAAGGGCTCACTTTTAGAAAAATCCGCAACGTGAATTAGGCAGCACAATCCATTTGATAAAAGTCCAAAAGAGAAGTGCCACTTTTAATTCCATAACACCTTTGGCATTCAAAAGTCAAGCATGTGAAGTTAATGGAGTATCTACCTAAGATCGTATCCTAAGAAAAGACAGTATAAAGTCGATGGTAGGATTTTTCCATGGCTAAGGGTCCGTTCTTGTGTGCTTGCGCTGAGAAAATTATCTTGATAAGGAAAATTATTCTCACTAGATTACTATATATATATAAATTTACTCTCGATATTATCCGCTATTTTTCAGCGTAGAACCGTAAGTGGCGAACCATTAGGTAGAATGAATTCTAAAGATTAATATCGCTAGCTAGATAAGAATAAGATCGAGCAACAATAGTTCTTGGCTCCGTTCATTAGTAGCAAAAGTCAGAAGTGCGAGCACTAGATCTGATTTTTCCAGGGACCGATACTATATGGCTTTTAAGAATGTCGTACTTATGCAGATGACCCATCTCCTTAATTTCGTTGAATTGCTGATTGAAAATCCCTTTAATACTTGGAAAGTATGTAAGCAAGTGAGATAAGCGATCGAATATGCTCTGTGATAATTTCGAATGACGCGATTGAAATTGAACAAATCCATGTCGAACACGATTCTATATCATGTAGGCTGAGTTCATTTGCGTATTTTATTATTATGTATGGTTTTATTGCTTTCATTTTCACGAGTCCAATGATCTTCGTGCACATAATTAGGGTGATAATTTTCAATATCAGCAACTCTTTCTTGAAATCGATTGTTGGAAGATTCATTCCCCTTTCAACACAATCTCGTAAAGACATTGAATCAAATCCTTCTCAATAGTAATCTTGGAGGTTTTGCCATCATATTTAAATTTTAGTGTAAGAGATATCTATGTTTCGGCTCTATTGATCATGAATCGTACATATCTATTTAGAAATATGATTGAGTCAATTAAGAATAAAGCGAAAGAGGGATTTGATTTTTTGTGTGTGTATATTTAGATGTATTGAAAAGAGTACATAGAGAGCCCATATGTAAGCTTTATTAGATGACTATCTAACAGAGTCTATGCACCGGGATATACAAGTATAATTTTACTTACCTTATATCGTTTTTGGATAAAGCTTACAAATATTTCTTATACTCCGTATTATTATGTATAAAAGGAAATTATACAAAACACTCTCTTAAGCTTGCTTAGAACTTTTGAAAACGTCGTTCTCTCATTTTTCCGTGGTTTAAAATGTCGTGGATTGATCAATATCATAGTAATTCCACTAGCTATTGGTCAACCTATTATCATCTTGTTCCCTCACCAAAACACAGCATCAAGCAACATGTAGGAACGAGCTATTACGTATAGAAGAAGTCATTTTATATGTTGAAAAAGATAACCCAGATCCATGATTGCACACGAGAAGTCCAAGTACATCTCTTGCTCGTCAAAGACAGGCACTTCTGATTCGAACTCATTACAATTTCTTCGTTTTATTATGATTCCACCATTTAAGAAGGTATCACATACCCAAAATCACCGAGAAATCATTTTGTTTTCTCAAGACACCAAATCTTAAGCGTCTTTCCTGCTGGTATAGAAACTATAACACAACACGTTATATGTTGAGAAATTATTTGTGTCATTTTTCTTAACACGAACATATTAAATGTCCTAGAAACTTTAAAACCCTAGGGTCCCTAACAAAACTCGTACTGCATGTTATCCTGATAAAACTCGTACTACTTGTATCCCTGGTAAAACTCGGTACTACTTGGCCATCGCAAAACGCCTGGCTGCCTATATCTGAGTTTTTAATAATCTTGGACGGTGGCCTTTGATGTATCGATGGGTGGCACGAAATCAACCTTGCTTCTTATGATTATCTAAGTGCGACGGGCCAGATTGATGTCATCAGAAAAAATGAAAACTTGCTTAGTTGTTGATGCGCATCTGGCCAAAGCAATTGTGGACGAGAGTTTACCCGAAGAGCATGCGGCGCCACCTGTCAGATTTGAAGAGCAAAAACTACGTATAATAGAAATTGGTGGACTTGTTGGCTTTGCAAAAAAGAAACACAACTTGAAAGAACACTCCAGAGTAGGCTCAATAAAACGTACTGGGAGCTTATAATGCTCTAAATTTAATGATGCGTTCAATAATCTAATGTTTGAAATTGTTTGGCCGCACAAACACCCCATTGCTTGTATTATATTGCGTTGTCCCCCCCTACGTTGGATCCAATGGTCGTTCCAGGCAGTAATATTACTGCCCCATTGTCTGATCTGAATGCATTCGACTAAAATATTAAAGCTGTCCCCGATAAATATAGGGCATTTTCTTTAATTTAGTAAATCACACCTATTGTCTTCCGCCACTTATGTTGCTGTCCTCGATCTAATTTCATAAGCTGGATCACAACATACTGTTGTTCCAAGAAAATTATGGGTCTTCTTCGTCTTTCTTCCTTGAGCCTCTTCTGTCAACTCGCATTCCTGGTAATGAAGATCTTAACTTTGCTGCCATCCCTCTCGCTCTTTTTTTTTTTGTTTTTTTGGATGCCTTTTTTGGCCATCTGTGGGTTCTTCACTACAGCTCTTAACTCTGGGAGAGATCAAGAAATTGGTTGCAACTTTTCATGTCGTGATCTTCTAGCTACTCAGGAGAAACAAGGGTCGTGTCTTGAAGTTAGAGCTTAACTTGCTTCCTTTTAGTGATTATGCTTAGCTAGCTTCCAAGGAGATTTAACTTCGACATCATATATAGAGCCTTTCACTTGTTTAGGGTGCTCGCGCCCATCTGTTGTCATAATTGAAAGTAAATTCATCTTTTTGATCTCACCCTTTTATATATAACTAGCATGGTGTTGATTTTCAGTGTGCTCAAGGCAGGGTGATAGCAGGACGGCATTGGGGATCAGATGAAGAGCAGATCATGCCCAACCGTGTTCTTTTAGTGAAGCCTAAACAAGCATCCCTAGTTGCTCACAGTAAGGTTCCCATTGATCCTGCTCTAAATGTCTTCTTCACATTGGACGACCTCAAAGCTGGGAAGCAAATGCCCATATACTTCCCCAGCAAATTAGCAGACCCTTCCAAGTCCTCGAGGCTCTTGACCAGAGAGCAATCCGACTCCATCCCTTTCTCATCAGCTCAGCTCTCGCACCTCCTGTCCTTCTTCTCCATCCCCGAGGGCTCTCCTCAGGCTAAGGCCATGGAGTACACGCTCATGCAGTGCGAGCTCGAGCCCATCGAGGGAGAGACGAGGTTCTGTACCGCCTCCCTAGAGTCCATGCTCGACTCGGCCCGCGAGGTCTTCGGGCCAAAAGCCCAGTTCAGAGTCTTGACTACCACTTACCTCCCCAACAAGAAGCAGAACGCCAGAGACGACCCATTGCAAAACTACACAATCTTGCAAGCGCCCAAGCAGATTGATGAGACTAGGGTCCTGGGTTGCCACACCATGGCGTACCCATACATGGTGTTCTATTGCCACAGCCAAGCAAAGAGCGAGAACAGAGTGTATCAGATTTCTCTGGGTAGTGGGGGTGGAGAGGACGGAGGAGGAGAGAGATCGGTAGAGGCGGTGGCCGTCTGTCACATGGACACGTCGCTGTGGGACAGAGACCACGTCTCGTTCCGAGTCCTCGGTGTCGAGCCCGGGTCCTCCCCGGTTTGCCACTTCTTCCCCCCGGATAATCTCGTGTGGGTGGCCCCTTAGTACAGCCGTATAAGTCACTCGTTTAATTATCAGGGCAAGTATATGTTTGCAACGAACAGTAATATTAATTACGTAAGGTGTCGTATCTTGTTCACGCGGGTGGGTGTGTGTGTATGTATGTATGTATGTCTGTATGTGTGTGTGTATGTATTGACCGCTGCATATGAATCCGTGTGAAAAATGGTGGGTTCTTATATGGTCCATCTGCTCGAGTCTTTGATATTACTTCGGAGGTGTCTAGCCAGTAGCTACACATTTTCTGTCCATGGCGCGACATTGATGTTATGAGGAGAGAGTGAGAGGTAAAAGAAGATTTGCATGATCATAGAAAAGATAATAACATTGGACCCAATTAAAAATGTGTAAGTGGGCAATTCTTTCTTTCTCCGTTTATAACGGCTCCTACTGATTGGAATTATTCTCGACACCAAGTATTTATATTATGGATTTCTGTTATATTCAAGATGTGTGGAAATGAAATATTTTCATCTCGATGTCGTGATAATTCTTTTTCGGGGATCGCGGCGCAAGAGCACATTGTGCATAGGGGCATTTCTTTTTCGGGTGCCGGCTTGTTTTGCTGACGTCTAGGATCAAGCTTGTGTAGCAGCATGGTATCTTCTCTCTCCCATTGCTAATAGGTTGATGGGTCGCACGCCCGGCGTACATGTTCTGGATCCCGGGATTAGAACAATAGTTTCTCAAAGAGAAAGCAACCTTTTTAACAGAGAAAAATCTCCTTGTTACTTGAAGTGGCTGGCCTTATTAAAAGGGATAAATCATTTTATTTGCCGAAAAAAGAAAACTTTGCCATCAGCAACTATTCATTTATTTGCCAAAAAAATAAAAATATACTGGCATAACATTAGATTGTTTTTAGCCAAAGAAATAGATCACTCTAAACGACTGATATGATTTGTCATTTAAGCTAAAATTCAATTGAGCTTGAGAATCGTTCAAGTATTCGAATATATTGAATCGAGGCAGCATGACCTCAAGATTGAGTACGCTGTAAGCCTAATCATTCAAGTATTCCGATATCGGGCTCGAGCTTTACTCGGAAATTTGGAATTCAATAGCTCGAGTTGACGAGATCGGGCTGGGACTCAAGCTACTTTAATGATCGGGTTAGGTCGAGCTCGATCAGAGGGTGCTCGACTTGATTTGACTCCGAAAATGATGAGAAATTAAAAAGCCCCAACGACCCGATGAGATTTTTTCATCCCACGACTTTCTCACTAAACCGCAACAAACAATAACAAACTCCCCCGATGACTTCGAACGAGAACCATAACAACCGCGGCGGGCGCAACCGTCTCTCTTCAACTCCATCATCTCCATCATCTCCATCTCCATCATCTCCATCTCCGATCAATCTCTCTGAGATCTCCCCCCGAAATCACCGCCGTCTTCCTCCGTGACAGACCCACGTCTCCGGCGGAGCAATCCGTAGCTGTTCTCGTCGTCCGATCGCCACCGGAAGGTGTGTATGGCAAGTCGATGATGATGAACGGCGGCTCCGCATTCAGCCGGAAGAGGAAGAACAGCCAGCTCGCCGCCGCCAGCAGGCAGTTCTCCGACCGTGACGGCGGCGAGAACGAGCCCGATCACCACCACCACCACCACCTCGCCCTCTCGCTCTCCATTTCTCCCGCCCCACAAGACCAGCGACAGTCGGAGCTCCTGTCCGCGAAATCCCTCTCGCCTCGGCCTGGCAAGCTCGCCGTTCCTCCGAGGCGCCGCAGAGCCGCCCCACGCGGCCGCGGCGGCAGACCCCTGCCGCTGACCCCGGGAGGCTGCGGAGACGGCGAGGAGAGCATCCCGGCGCCGTTCCCGTGGGCGACGACGCGGCGGGCCACCGTCCACAGCATGAGCCACCTCCTCGCGAACCGGATAGAGAGCATCGCGGGGGAGGTGCAGTGCAGGAGGTGCGAGAGGGTGTTCGAGATCGAGTACGACCTGAGGCAGAAGTTCCTGGAGGTCGGGGCCTTCATCGCCGAGAACAAGGGGGCGATGCACGACCGGGCTCCGCAGGAGTGGATGAGCCCGGCGCTGCCGCGGTGCGCGTCGTGCGGGCAAGAGAACGCAGCGAGGCCGGTGATCGCGGGCAAGGACGGGATCAACTGGCTGTTCCTGCTGCTGGGGCAGATGCTGGGTTGCTGCACTCTCGAGCAGCTCAAGTACTTCTGCGAGCACACCGGGAACCACCGGACCGGAGCCAAGGACCGGGTCCTGTACTACACGTATCTCGGGCTGTGCAAGCAGCTCGACCCGACCGGACCGTTCGACCCGTGAACCGACGGAACGGGGACGACGGCCACGAGACCGGGACCCGATTTGATTCTTTCCGTTTCGTTTCCGATCCACCACCTTTCGGGACCGTGGGCGAAGTGTTTGTGATAATGACTGTGTAGGGAGATGTTTCCTAGTGTAGTTTTGCGTGCTTTTGCATCGACAACTTTCCAGAGATTCTTTTGTAATTCGCTTGGCACACAAGGCATGCATGTGTACATGGCTAATGAATCAATGAAAATATTGCATGGCACTTTAGTCGTATTACATGATATTGAGACTCCGATTCTATTACTCGAGTCGTCGATGGACCTTATTGATGGATTATATGATTGGATGGTGTTAATATCTCGATATGCATGAATTGTTAGGTATACTTTTTCGAAACCTAGATTGACAAAAGTCGCCAAAGAGAAATGTAAATGCGCGAAACAAGTAGCTTGAAAGAATTGAAATAACCGTACATGTATCGAGGTTCTTTCATTTCATGTCAGTAAATTGGGAGTTCCATTCTATATTGATCAGAATGAACTACGAATATATATATCATCTATAAAATAACCGAGACTCGAATAACACCGTCATTGAGGATAATTTGCTACAAGAAGCTACTTCATCACGTCCTCTTTGGAATTTTTTCCCACCTTTCGTGTTGTATGTGAACCTAATTTTCGTATCTCGGTCATATAAATTACGGTGGTACTAAATTAGTCAAAATAGGAGCAAGCAAAAATGAAATGCCACCTTAGCCAAAGATGGCTTCATCTACATCGATAGATGACATCCAGTTAGCTTTCCCATTAGCATTTGTAAAGCTGCAAAATGTCTTCTCGATCTCATAATCGTTCATTTAATTCGCGAGTTCGACATGACTAATTAAGACTAGGGTTCACATTTCCAAGCAATACACACACGACATTAACTCCATACTTTGTATCAGGGACAAGATTAATATCTATAGATATCCTCTCTAGGGTCTCTTAATTAACAACCCCAAGACAACCTACATTAACACCGGAGTTAATTATCCGGTTTTTCTTTTTCTTTTTCTTGGCCAAGAGTTAGACACCGTTTGAGAATCCAAAAGTTCATTCATTATCCAGAAAGAGAACTGGTAATGACTATCCCTATCTGGAACTTATCTAGGGAAATTACCAAAAATATCATAAACCCATTTGCATTTGTGCCTATTTAGTTTTAAATTTTTAAATTTGGCTAGTTTAATCTTAAACCTTTTGACGATTTGTCAATGTAGTTCTTCAAGCCAATTTCGGTTAGAAAATTGCTGATGTGGACGTCAACCGTCTTACGTGGCACGGCCGGCGTTGACATGGACATTTTTTACAATTTTTAAATAATTTTTTTGAGTTTTTAATGATTTTTTTCTTCTCTTTCTTTTTTTTTTCTTGTCATTGTGGTCATGTCAGCAATTTTCGACTAAAATTGGTCAAGAAAATTACATTGTCAAATCATCAAAGGGTTAGGATTGAATTGGGCAAATTGAAAAATTTAGGACCAAATTGGTAAAAATGTAATAAATTTATAAATCTTTCGGTAATTTCCCCAACTTATCTTGTTCATTACTCATTGACCTCATTATCATTATGGAAAAGGGTACCATTGTAAACTTTTAAAACTTGAAAAATGACAAACTAATCGTTTTTGTTAATATTAATCAATAAAGGAGTCACAAAGATGATTGATCAAAAAACTTTCCTAATCGACCTACATGAGCGTGTTTTGACACCCACGAATTGATATACAACATCAAAAGTATAAGGGATTGGAGGAGAACTACTTCAAATGAGTTGAGAAGAGTCAAAATTGCGAGAAATAATAGGGATTTGATACTTCAATCTTCATTCGAATGGTTGTAAAAACAAATGGTCGCACCCCTTTGACCTTAGTTGACTAATCCCCAAGCTCTCTCCCTCTCTCTCTCTGACTTCAACAAACTCTGTCTCCCAACTTCAACAAACCCTAGCTAAAGACAATTCCAACCAACCAGAAACGAAGAATTTGAAAGGTCTTCTTGCTTTCAAATCTTGAAGAAATTCTGATAAACCGGGTCACGATAACATTCCTTACACTTTGAGTCTGTTTTCCCGTCTTTATCTCTCCAAACCCCTGAGCATAAAGTGCTGGATCCTCCATTCAAACCCTTCTGCTTCTTCACATTCTTGCCTCGGAACCCTCTTCTCTTCCCTCTCTCTCCAGTCCCTGATCGCCCCCAGAACAGCTGTCTCGCATCATGAACATCAACTCGGAACTCAGTAGAAAGAGGAAAGGTGAATTCGAGAACGACAACAATGATCGAAATTTCCGCGGGTCCGGGAGTGAAGGCGACGACGAAGATTTCCTCACTCTTTCGCTGTCTTCTCGACCTTTGAGACCTCGAAAGCATTCTCCGCCCCCACCCCCGCCTCCTCCTCCTTCCCCTCCTTCAAAAGCTAATCCTGATACACACCAGTTGCCAACTATGGTGATGTACGAATCTCCGGCGTTAGTTCACGAGTCGTCTATGGTGATGTACAGTCCTCCGGCGATGCTTCACGAGCCATCCTTGGCGGCTGTGCTGTCGAATACCGATCAAGAATCCCTCCCGCACATGCTGTCGCACGGTGGCCGCCGAAAGCTTCCTCAGCCAGTGAGGGACGGCAAGAGTGAGACCGTCCCGGTGCCCTTCCCATGGGCGACAAACCGACGGGCCACCGTGCACAGTATGAACTACCTCTTGTCGAACAGGATCTTCACCATCAGTGGGGAGGTCCAGTGCAAGAAATGCGAGAAGGTCTTCGAGATTGAGTATGACCTGCGAGGCAAGTTCCTCGAGGTCGGCAATTTCATTGCGCAGAACAAGGCAACGATGCATGATCGGGCTCCGCAGGAGTGGATGAGCCCGGTCCTCCCCAAGTGCAGGTTCTGCGATCAAGAAAACTGCGCGAAGCCCGTGATCTCGGTCAAGAAGAAGAAGATAAATTGGCTCTTCATGCTTCTAGGGCAGACGCTCGGGTGCCTGACGCTGAAGCAGTTGAAGTATTTCTGCGCGCATACAAAGATTCACCGGACGGGTGCGAAGGACCGGATCTTGTATTACACCTATCTAGGGTTGTGTAAACAGCTTGATCCTACCGGCCCATTCGAGATCAGTCGATGAACTTTCTTGAATTAAGTAGGGTTTTGTTGGGTTTTCTCAAGTGGTTATCACTATGAATGTTTCCAAAATGGTGAAGAAAAGAGCAGTTTCAGTGATCACAGTCCCCATTGTATCAAGTTACATGTGTAAGTTTTTTTCTTAGGAAATTTAGGTTGAAACTCATTTTCGATAAAAACTCTGATAATTTCCGGTGATTTTCACCGCACATGAATATGATATAAATGTTCGTTAGTCACTTTGCTACATATTGAAGTTGATCGGGACCCCATTCTGCTAATTGTTGAGTTCTCTGTTAGTTTCGCCACATTTTCGGTTCTTGCTAATCTTTTCTCCAAAGAAATGTAACATTCCATAAGTGTTCCAACTTCCATAGGGTTATTTGCAGATTGTTTCGGATGGATTGTTTCTTTGGATAGGTTAAAAGGGTTTCTTGATCGTCAGAATCCTGTTTGCCAAATAATTTGGCAGTTGTTCATCCGTGATAGCATACTTGTTTAAAACAGAAAACCAAAGACTGCTACTTGCACTTTCATATGAACTCGGTTAAGGATAAAGCAAATCCTTCCAGGAATATTTTTGAACCACAAACACTTAGCCCGTGGCAACAATCGACATAAGATAGACATGGCCTTAACTTATTTATTGACAAAATCTTCGATCAATCCCTCACGTAATTTGAATTCTAGATTCCCTGATCTCCAAACATTTTTCAAATGTCTTAGCCTTTTCGTTTTCACAAATTGGAATCGTCATCTTTATTGTTTTGCGCACTCATTCCAGCAAGTGTGCTCTTTTACAATTCATGTTTTATGGTTGAAAAAACTAAGTTAACTTAGTCTTAGTATCATCTCTCCTCCTTCCTCAGTCACCCTCTTCTCTTAGTTCTTCTTCCTCTCTTCCTATATGTGAGATAAAACCTCTTACTTACAAGGATTTAAAGAGATGAACTTAACTAAGATGAAGAGAGAATGCAAACCGAATTTCCGCAAGCCCAAACTTTCGGAAAATAGGCGATACTTCCGAAGTTTTTTATTCTTTTTGTTAAGATATATAATATATCTCACGAGCCTCTCTCTCACCGCATAAACTTTTAGACAAATAGTTGGGCACTCAACTTCATCCTTTCTAATATAATAGTAAATCATTGCAGCTCATTGGTCTGCCTCCATAGTTGAAGTAATTTTACATGGATTTTTTCATGACTTGATACGATTCTACTATTGCTCATAGTGCATCCTGAGAAATTTACATGAATCCAATTATTGTCATGGATTTCATGAAAATTACCGCTGCTAGAAATAAGAGAATAACATGGGACAGATAGAGGTGTCAATATGGGTCAGAAACCCATTATTAACATATTTTTAGTGGGCCTAGGTTGATTACGGGTCACTTGAAATTTTGAAAAAAAGTCAAAATGGGTTTGCAACATTAAAGCGTAAGTTTATATGGATTTGTTGCAAACCCATATTCAACCCATATTTGACCTATTTAAGTTATTAACTTGTAGGCTATACAGTTTAAGTGAATCATAACATTTCATTTTATAAAAAATTATTTTTATTTTTATTTTTTTAAAATCGAATTTTTAATTATTATTAATTGTCTTTTCTTTTTTTCTTTTTTTATTTCCTTCTTCTTCGGCCGGCTACGGTGACGACCGCCGACCGGCCATAAGCAAGCTTCCAACATGCCAGATTCTAGCGAGCTCGAGCTCGTGCAGATCGGCAAGCTCGAGTTCATCCAGATCGCTACGAGCTTCAACCTTGCTAGCCTTTGGTGAAGCTTGCCCACTCTGGCCATTGGCGAGGGTGAGCCTCGCCAGTAGCTGGGCGAGGGTCAAGCCTCACTAGCCATGGGTGAAGGCTCTTCCGATCAAGAAGAAAAAACTAGGGTTTTAGAAATTGGCTCTTCCAATCAATTGAGTTGAGGAATCAAAAGAGAGCGGAGAGAGAAGACAAAGATGATAGCGAGAGGTAGATGCAGACAAAGCCTAGAGCTGGGGCTTCAAATCCTCCTCTTCCTCCTACAAGTCACGAGGGCTGCCCTTGCACCCTCTAGCGAGGTCGAGCCTCGCCGGCCCTCACCCCGGCGACTGGCTAGAGATAGGAAAAAATGAGAAAGAAAAAATGAAAAAATGAAAAAAATAAATAAATATTAAATATATTATTAAAAATTATTCAAGTTAGCATCGGCCGTGCTACAAGGATACCTGGCATTCACGTTAGCGATTTCCAACCAAAGTTGATAGGATATATTGAATTAACACAAATGCAAAAGGTTTAGTACTCAATTAGCCAAAAAAATTATGACTGAATTGACACAATTATAATAAATTTGTGACTTATTTGATAATTTTCCTCCTTAAGATGCGTAACGAGTAACCTACTTAGCCTAGAATCAGTCTGGGCTTTTTTTCCCTCGTGGACCCTGGTTATTTAACGACACGCTGGATATAGCATGTGAACCATGAAATTCAAACAAGGCATGTGTAATGCATGAGTTGATAACAATCCTTTTTCCTAAGTAGTGCATCACATTCTTCAATCTTGCTCCATGTGTCCCATCACTTCTCTCACTTCCCTCTTGATGGGAACATTACGAGGATAAATTTATGGTGGATATCCACATTTCAAAAGCTGTCGTGCGCTAACATTTTGGTGATGGAAGAGAAGAGAACGACCCACTTGGGCCCATTTAGGCTCAATGGAAGTTGCCGGGTCCTTAAACACTTCATTGTATCGTTCTAAGATTAATTAACCAAATTTAATCTCGTTTTCCCCATGGATAGGTGAGATGAGCTATATCCTCGAACAAAGAGAACGCATGTCGGGTTGAAGTAAGCACGGATAATAAATCACATGAAAAAGAACAAATTATGGATACATGGCTCGGCTTATTTGATTCGGTAGTAGATCTAGCATCATTATTTAAAGTAACTCAGAATTTATTTCAATTAGTATCACCCAAAAGTTATTTTTGTTAAGATAGAAGAAGGGGTTAGAGCTGGATTGGTCGGAGATAAAATAATGGGTGAGATGAAGTTAGAACCATGGAAATGGAGAAGCTCTCTCGGGTCGATCTCATGAGGGACATCAAACTGAAACCAATCATTCACTCGTGGTCCATCCTTCACGGCGCGACCCAGGCCACAAAAAGCATTATTAGTTTGCTTTAGCTTTGTCGCTTCCATACATAAAAGAAACACAAGAGTCCAAAAGGAGTACTATTCCACGACAATCCGTATTAGAAATTGGCCACTCAAGCTCGAAGGACAAAAGATATCACCCTCAATGATAATATGTTTGCCATTACGAAAGACAATACCAGGGGGGAATGAAACCAAGCACTTTTCAAAGAGGACGTTTACTTCATCTTCTTCTTTTTTCTCCCTCCATCACCGTTACAATTGGAGAAATTCAGTACGTTTCCAGTAATTCATCACAATCCAATTTCACAACTCTACACATTACTCTTGTTTTTTTTTTGGTAAGGGACACATTACTCTTGTTTATACCCCAAAAAAAAGGGGAAAAAAAGATAGTAGCATGAGATCGATGTACGACTACAGGGCTACTTTGGTTTTTATATCTGCTTAAGGTCAGTATGCCCGTTGGTCGCTAATTGAACGTAACCTTTACCACCGTCGCTCTTACCATCCTCAACAACTTCCATCTTCAGCTTTCTCGCCACGGACCTCCACCCCGTCAAGCTACCGAAAAGCCCTTGCATATCCTCGAGGGTCCGCCCCTGTGTCTCCGGCAGCACCGTGAAGAAGAACGCCCAAGCGACGGCAGCCACCGCTGCGTACAGGAAGAAGGCGCCTCCGATTGTGATCCCCTTCGAGAGTGATAGGAAGGTCATCGTTATGAGCCCGCTCGTGGCCCGGTTCACCCCGACCCCTATGCTCGCGCCCTGCGCACGCAACCTCAGTGGAAATATCTCTGAGCTGTAAACCCACGCGATGGGGCCCAGCCCCATCGAGAATGATGCCACAAAGGTCAGCGTCATGGCGATGCACAATCCGATGGCCCACATCAGCTTCTCGCTTGAGTGGTCGATGATCGTGAGACCGCATCCGAGGATCGTGAGGGAGAGTATCATCCCCGCCACACTGGCGAGGAGCAGCGGGCGCCGTCCGACCCGGTCGAGGAAAAACGTGGAGACGAGGATGAAGATCGTCTTGCAAAACCCGACGGCGATCGTCGCGAGCAGCTTGTGGTCCGATGACTTCACGCCGGCCTTATCGAATATGTGCGGGCTGTAGAGGACGACTGCGTCAATCCCCGAGGCCTGTTGGAAGAAGTGGATCCCGACCGCGGCAATCAGCACGTGGCGGACAGCAGGGGTCGGGTGGAGAAGGAGCTCCCGCCACACTCCCTCGCCGTGGCTTTTCTGACGGGTGACGATGACGACGTCGTCGTTGCAGGTGTCTGGGATGCCGGCAGCGGCCTTGATCTCGGCGAGGCGGAGGTCGGCCTCCTCGGAGGAGTCGGAGGTGCGCTGAAGGACGCGCTTGGCGTCTCCAAGTCGGCCCTGCATGACAAGCCAGCGGGGGGACTCGGGCATGGCGAGGACGCCGAGGGCGAGGAGGACGGAGGGTATGACCCCGATGCCAAGCATGAACCGCCATCCAAGGTTGGTGGGGAGCTTGGAGAAAGCGTAATTGGAGACGTAACCGAGCAACACCCCCGAGTTGATGAACACCTACAAGAGAGTGCATTAGTTAATGGATTAATCGGGCATAGGCCATGAATGTAACAAAAAATGGTATAACCTAGTGAAACATGTTCTTAGTTTGTATGATTGAGGTGTTTGTTGTTAATTTATACATTCGTTCGTTACATTTCATAGCTCAATTAGCCTAAAAAAGGAACAATACTAGGAAATCAAGAGCAGTGTCGATTAGAAAATGACCAACTTATCCAAATATATGTTTGATTTCAAGTTCTGTAAGGAAGCAAAACGTAAATGTTCAAGAATTATATACTGCGAAGAAAAATTACCTCCGGGAACGAGGTAAGGAAGCCGCGAGCTGATGCCGGCGAGACTTCAGCGGTGTAGACAGGAGCGATCATGAGGGCGTACCCGACGCCAATACCGGCAACGAAGCGTCCAAACATGAGGAAAGCATAACTAGTGGCAAAACCCATGAGGATGGCGCCGACGAAGAAGATGGCGCCGGCGATGACCATGGTGTAGCGGCGGCCCACCCAGTCGGAGGTCCTGCCGGCGACGGCCGAGCCGAGGAGGGAGTAGAGGTTGATGATACCGACGAGGACTTCGACCTCCACATCGTTGAGGTGGAGTTCTTTCTTGATGTATATAGCCGCACCACTCATCACACCAATGTCTGAAACGCGCACACACCATCCATTTACAACAAATAAGCTTGTCAAATTATGAAAAGAATAAAGAGCCGAGATTAGTCGAACCGAAAGATTAAAGAGATTAGATGCTCACCGTATCCCAGTAAGATGGAAGTCATGGAAGCGAGGATTGCGCAGGCGAAGGCGTACTTGTTCCGGGGCGGGCGTTTCTTCGGAGCCTCGACATCTTCGACTGGTGACTTCCCGGGTGGGACGACGTTCAAGTTAGGATCCGCCATAGCCTTCTGCTCGGCCATCGTTCTCTCTCCCTATTCCAAAGCTTCAATCAGAGAGTGAGAGAGAGAGAATCAAGTGGACAAGAAGATGCGAAAAGGAGAGCATACCTGCTTTACATATATAAGAATCACCGATGTTTGATTTTTCAGAGATGACTAGGATGCATGCGTCTACTCTATCCAATAAAGACAGAACGTTGACTCGTTGACAATACTAGAACCATTGGATTTCCAAATGAATTAGCGTGGGAGATTTTCGCTTGTTCCTCGTGAAGTAAATTGACGCTAACATACTTTAGAAGTAGTAGCGGCAATCATTGCACCGGGATGTAAGGATAGTGTTTGAATTGCATATGTTGCTCATGAAATTCTTTTTATCATCAAAACTATTGGCAAAACAAACGTTTCTATAGTAACAAGGTGGCAGGTAGGAACGACCGAAATGTGTCCATTGTTAGTACGATGTATCGAGACAAAACACTTTTCATTTTATCACGTATATCTTGACTTTCCGTTTACACAAAAAATAGCAAAGTTGTATCGTTCATTACAATAATCGTGTAAAATGAAAGAAAATTATCTTTTGCTGTAGGATGTGTTGAACATAATTGGAAGATGATTAGAATATCGTGCATTATTTTCCCTGATTGTGGGTATAATCTCGATTGATTATAACTAATATTATAATTTAATGTGACTTTAGAATCTTATACATATTATAAATACTAAATAGGGTAATGTATTCTTATTATAAAATATACATAAATTATATTATCTTGCAACTTTGTCGTCCTATAAAGTCATGCACGTGGGGTATGCGCTTGCAGAATACGCCAGGCAAAGAGCCAAACCACACTCTGGCCTGAAAGTCTCCACATGATCTCGTCGGTCGATGACGCCAAAAATCAATCACTATCCTTCGAGCAATGCCCTTTCGAAATGTTTCTTACGGCGTTGACCAGAAGTGGAAATTTGAATATTCAGAAAAAACTGTTCGAAAAACCATTAAAGTTGTTCTTGGGTCAACAATGGCGTGCTGATCTTGCAAACCCTAATCTCTGACCTTTAGCTCTTGCCATGTCCGCGAGCACCGGGATTCCTGCGTTTACACAGCCTCCATTATTGTCGTCCTTCGGTTTCTTGACGTTTTGTGTTTGGTTCTCATGGTGATCATTTGTCTCCATGTTGGTGGATTTTTCTCCACGGTACTAGGCGATGTAGGGTTAAAGTCACGGCACAAATCATTGAAATCCCCACCACGCTCTATTACTTTGCGGGAGAATTACCCAAAAAAAGGTTCAACTTATTAAAATTTTACCAATTCAATCATAATTTTTTTTTATTAATTAAATCCTAAACCTTTTATATTGATGTCAATTCACTCTACGGAAATCACTAAAATGGACGCCGGCCATCATACGTGGTGCGATCGGCGCTAACGTGAACATTTTAAATAAAATTTAATAATTTTTCGAATTTCTTTTTTTCTTTCTATCTTTTTCTTTTTTTCCTTTCTTCCTCTAGTTGATTGTTGAATCTCAGCGACCGGCAAGAGGCCTCGCTCGCCACTGACGAGAGCGAGGCTCGTCAGCCATTGGTGAGAGCGAGGCTTGACCTTGCCGTTGCTGGGTGAGGTCAGCCTCACCAGTGGCTAAGCAAGGCCCGTCCTCGCCCAACAACATAAAGGTTGAGCCTTGCCGGGGGTGGACAAGGCTTGCCATCGCTAGGCTGGCGAGGTCCAGCTTTGCCTCGCCAGTGGTTAGGCGAGGTTTGCCCTCGCTATATCTGGCAAGGACAAGGCTCACCCCCGCCTTTGGTCGATCATTCAGGTCCGAGAATCGGCTAGAGGAAGAAGGGAAGAAAAAAAAACGAAAGAGAAAGAAAAGAAAAAAGTAAAATAAAATTCAAAAAATTATTAAAATATTATTTAAAAATGTCTACTTCAGCAACGGCGGTGGCTGGTCCAAGTTAGCAATTTTCGACCAAAATTAGCTGGACCGCATATGTGATTGACTAAATTAGACAAATCCTGATTACATGCGGATTAACGTGATTGACTAGATTAGAAGTGATGTGAATCACCTTCCTATCATTTGTCGAAATCTGTAATTTATTCCCTCCCTTACTAGGACCTTTGGACTTTTCTTGTGTTAGAGTAGTAGCCTCCGAGGGATATATCCAATTCGATTCTTGTTTGCTTTTATTTTCAAAGTTGTTCGAAAGGATCGGCAAAATGGTTCAAAGAGAGAATATCTAATTAAAAATTAGATGACAAAATGAGCTCTCTAGAGTTGCGACACGTAATGCCGGCCAAGCACAGACTTCAAAATTCCAACCCATACCAAGAAAAAGAAATTTTCATTATTATATAACCAGATAATTTGTGTGGCTCTCTTCTTGACTCTAGGTAGTCAAAAGATTGACTAAGAGAGTGCAGCATAGTCCTACCACTTAACCCTATAGTCCGAGATTTGACCCACACGCAACGCAACTTAGAAGTTTGAATATTCGACACCCAGTTTCCAGGAAACCTCCTTTGATAACCACGTAATTATGCCTTACCTAACAAATAATCGTCTTTCAATTTTTTTTCCTTTTTTTTTTGTTTTCATCCGTCCTTGATTATTTCCACGATTAGGGTTTCATGTGTAGATTATTCATAGTGATAAAATGTTTTTATACATTCACAAGAGGGTCCTTGTGTATTTTCACGAGCCTCTAAATAGTCAAGTCTCTATATCTTTGTCTTACGGGTTGAACCATGTGGCATTTCGACCTTGATTTGCCTAATTTGGCTTAAGTAAGCTTTACTTGCTCTAGCACACAAGCTCAAGGATTGTAACTTTAGAGAGAGAAAATGCTTATAGAGAGAAGCTCTTGAGGATGCTTTTATTACTTAATTGCTTGGATGATACAATTAAGGAAAGACACCTATTTATGTATACTTATGGAGATCTAATCTCCTCATCTACCATCTACCTCCTTAATTACAAGAATTCTTTATAATACAATATACATTTCCCATAATACCTCTAGGAATATACAAGTGTCCTCTCGATACAAAAAAGGTTATGGCTATACATACGGTGACTCCAGTGACCTTATGTGCTTAGCACATGTCTCTGGATTATAAAAAAGAGAGGAAAATAAAGTAATATTTTGCTATACGTACCTTAGCATCGTGGGGTTTAGATTTATGCAATTTAATTCACCAACAGAAAATGAGAATCAATTCATTCTTGACCCAAAAAAATTCTAGGGAAAAATGTCTCCCTTTTCTGCATTATGTTTAAGTTAAAAAGGATGTCAAATTTTGCCAATTGGTAGATGGAAAGAAATTTTTTTTTTGGCCATTCACAAAGATGAAACGATTGACATGCATATCCTTCCGATGAAGCTTTTTTAGCTTACATATAGTATTTTTAAGTTATCTTACCGGTTTATAACTAATCTGGCATATAAGAGTATGTAATAAGTCGAATGCGCGCGTACGTACACACAAACTTGTTTGACACGGACAAGCAAGTCGCTAGAAATGCCATCAAATGACAACTTAAATCCGCGCAAATCTTGACTAGGACCACTACTTTCGAGTAAGAGGAACTTTCCACGAGGATTAGTTAACAAATATGGCAAGGTATTGACAAGCCAAAAGACGAAACAAATGTACATGCATCATCGGGTGATGTATTTTTCGCATTCTTGTATTTTGGAAAGACATTAGTGGTCCGACGATGTATTAGTATGAAACTGGATATCACCGAACGCACAATATATCTTATAATTTGTATGACGTGCAAATACAAGCAGTGCACTTTTATGGTGCTTATCAAATTCATGACGGTTTTATTTTCTAAACGATGCATTCAAACTAATCCAAAAGACTTAGGAAAGCAAGCAAATTTTCTTTATAGAGAAAATCTTAGCTCAAACATACTTGCGTTGGCATACAGGCATAATCAACTTCAAAAGTGGAAGAACTAACGAGTATTGTATGTGTCTATATATATAAGTCTCACCGATGCATATGGACGTCATGGTGAGTCGGATTTACAAAAGAATGATGTATAGTCATCACGTATAAAATGGATCATAGGGCGGCTAATCCGCATATTATTGCCAAATTAGGGGTTTTGCATTAGTAATCCTTTTTTTCTCAAGATTAGGGATAGCTAGCGAGTACGGTACATACTAATTTCCAGCAGTTCATACACGCAAAAACTTCATTTAAAGGATTGGTGGGTAAGTTGCTTTTTGCGAATCAAGCAAACATCCACATACCTTGCGACACGCATACCACTAAGAAGAGCTGATTCGACCCCAACAAAAACAAACACGGACCCAAAGTTCGTGGGCGTAAGCTTGACGTGCGCTTGAAGATGAGGAGTTTCGACTCAAGTAGAGCATGGCGATTGCGGTCTCATTGGGGAGGTTTCCAACCAAAAAAGGGCTGCTTGCTTCACGTGTGGGACCCAAAGTTCGTGGGCGTAGCTTCACGTGTGGGATTGCGGTCTTATTGAGGAGCTTACAGTCCAAGCACGTGTCGTGGATTGATGACGTCCGTTCGTTGCCTTCATCGTTTGGTGAAGAAGAGGATGCGTGTCGGTGTTGATCATGGCTTTGAAATCGTGGGTACCTATCGTTCTTTTGTCAAAAGAGCTGCGCATGTCTTTGGTGTGGTCCTAACGTATGAACAGTAGCATAAGGTTTGTGTTGGTCCTAGGGATGAATTTGGCCGGCGTATATCCCATGAAACACTGGTCCATCAAATTGACAATCACTAGGGGTGCTCATTATAACCATTTTGTTTCTCTATTTTTTTATTTTTCTGTTCCTGATAACAGATTTGGAGCATAACACAATTTCATTTTTCTATTTTTGAAACAAATTTCTACTCCAGAAATAGGTTTGGAACATAAATCATAATTAAAAAAAATCTACTTTTCTATTTCTATAATAGAAATAAAAAATAAAAACTCTTCTTATCGCTCGCTCTCGTTACTAGCCGACCGCCCACCCACCATTGCCATCGCCATCGGTTGCCTCTTGCCACCGTTTTCCATTGTCATCTGCTGTTGTTCTCCGCCGGTGGCCGCCTCCCACAGCCGTCTGCCGGCGGCTGTCCATCGCCACCTACCGCCTGCCGCCTTCTGCCACTGCCCGATGCCGTTTGCCTCCCACCATTGGCTGCCGTTGTCCACCGCCGTTCGCCGCCGCCAGCCGGCCCCCTCCTACCGTCCTCCACCGACCGCCGTCTACTGTCCTCTGCCGCCGCTCGACGTCGGCTGCCTCCCACCACTGTCCTCGGTCGTTGGCTGCCGTTTGCCGTCCTCCGCCGCCTCCCACCCTCTCACCACCGTCCTTCGCCGCCGGCTACCGTCTGCCATCCTCCATCGCCGCTCAACACCAGTTGCTGTTTGCCATCTCTAGCCGCCTCCCGCCGCCCATCGTCCTCCGCCATCCGCTGCCACCCGACGCCGGCCGCCTCCCGCCGTCTGCCCACTAGTTGCTAGGAAGGAAAAATTTTGTGTAGTTATCAAACGAATTTCTATTTCTGAAATAGAAATTTTGTGTATTATCAAACGCGTATTTTGGCAAAGAAAATTGTCCATGGAATAGAAATAGAAAAATCTATTTCTGGCCAGAAATTGATTTGTAGAACGGAATGGTTATTATTCACACCCTAAGACTAGCCTCGAAGAACAAAAGAGTGCTTTTTTCGCAATGTGCTTTCGAGTAGAATCGCAATTGATGTTTACGGGGATATACTTACAACTACAATGCACATTCGAGATTTTGTTGTATCATTTCATAAGTCACAGTTTTGGAAACGGATGGTGCGATTGATGTGGATGGATAAGATGACCATGTGCATGCATTTGGTCAAGAATGTCAAGTGCGTCGATTCACAAGGTTTGAGAAATTGAGGTTGCCATTGTTCACCAGACGATTAGGAAGGGCTGCTGAGTAGAGAGGAAATGATATCGCAAGTGTCTAAACTTAATTTTGCCCGTTTCACAAATGAGTGCTTACATTTTTATTCAATTCAGTACCTCGATTTTTAAAATTTGGCTTAATGTGGGGCCTCCATTGAATAAATTGTCATATTATGTAATTTGCTGGCGTGACTCACTTACTCGGTTGAAGTTCAGCACAATTTGGGTGATATGACTTACTTATCTAATAAAAAGTGTCATTTCCGTTTATGTGTTAAATGATGGCGTGTGTGTGAGAAATCCCGGGGGGGTGGGAGGGGGTTGCTTGTATGATTTTAGCTGTCAATGTATCTCTATTGACATCATCACTAGAGGCAACGTTGGACACCAATAGGAATGGTTAATGGCTATTTAATGGCGTTAGTATTTATATTGGCACTTTTCATCTATGATTTTAAAGGAAGCCTCACATTCACACAAATGTGAGGCATTTGATAGAACCAAAAAAAGGTTAAGTAGTCGATTACCAAACAAATCACGATCCCAAGTACTTGCGATTGCAGTGTTGTTATCCCAGAAGTAGAAGTACACCATACGAAGGATTTTGAGCATTAGTGAAGTGCCATTGGAGGAAGTCACTTTTCTCAAATGGAAAATTTTACCTTTCTGAAGTAGATTTATTATAACTGAACAAGTGCCATGAAAAAATCTGTACACCCATTTTGCATTCTTAAAAATCTCGATTACCCTAGAACCTGAATTTCTGGGTCCGCCATTGCAACAGTGGAAATAGCAAACCGAAGACCTCTTACATGGCCCAACAATTTAAAAAAAAGAAAAGAAAAGAAAAGCCGAATGCCTCTTACGGCCCACAAAGCCCACGTCTTACTTCAGGGCCCACAAAGCCCACGTCATACTTCTTAGGCATGTGCAAGACATGAACTGTTGTTCTAGGTGGAACACACAGGCTGCCAAACAAGCAACATATATGTGGCTCAAAGCCCCAAACTAGTCCCCTCTGAGCATCTGTGGTTCATAAAGAAAGTTGGAAGAGATATCTGCAACCACAACATCTGCAGGGACTGCATTCTACAGGACCCAGTGGGATATCAAGTCACCACCAACATTTAGGTGGGAGGTCCCAAGCTAATCTGTCTACACTTAGCAATTAGCATGTTAATTTGTTGAAGCAGTTGGTGTAAAAAGTCCATTTCAGGCCATTGCTGTAGACTTTTTTATCACTTGAACGGTTTCTATCCTGTCACTCCCCCCCCTGTAGAATCGTAGTATCATCTGCACTAATTTCCTTTATCAGCATGTAACGGTAATGGAAAGAGCAGCAGATCATGCTTTAACAGTGGTTAGTGACAATCAATCACCGATGTATAATATGCAAACGTTTCAAGATCCTTAACCAGGACTCCAAGTTGGTGAGTATAACATATATGTTTATATAAATTAAGCAACACAAAGCTTCAAGTGTCGCCATTGGGGTTGATTTAATCTTGAACCGTTTGCTGAGGATTTATGGGCCTTCAAGCTGGCAACCAAGCTGACTAGACTGATCCAAACTTGAGCACACTAAGTCGAAACATTTGAATGATAACAGTAATGGTTTGATTGGATACCTCAAAGTCTACCATGTCTACTTAGCAGGTTGATATATTATTTTTTGGTTCCACGGATCCTTAGTGCAAGACATGATGATCTGAGTCAAAACCAGCTATCACAAAATGCTATGATGATCTAAGCCAAATAGAAATGAATTGAAATAGCACGTATATTGTGGCAAAACTATTTTCATTCATCTACTAAGCACTGGTATGTTTTATATCTGTCAGCTACAAACTAGCATTTCTGGGTTTTCTAATGCTTGATTGAAAGCTAAGGATGATAAGCAGCTTTGTCTGTTGAATGACATAAGCAAAGCATTATCTTGGTCCTTAGCCAAGCCTCTTCTAATTAATGTAAGTATGTAATCCATAGATAGTGCATCAATTGGAAGCATGATTGGACCATCACATGGAATCCCAAACTCTTCTTCCAATACCCTGAACAGCCCCTTCACTATGTCGTTGCTGAGAAACGAGAGGGGGATCATGAAGCGTCTCTCATCTGTTGTATAGACAACGAAGTGACCCTTCTGAGCAACGGATGATCTATTTTCATTTGTTGAAGCTGACTTGCTGTTCGTCCGATGAAACGAAATCCTTCTTCTTCCAATTGTGGCCATCTTCTGCCACTTCCTTGCCATTTGAATTAGCTTCTTTGTGCTTATCATTATGCTCAACTCCAAGTAATTCTTGATGGAAGAGCGAACTTGCTTTTTGTTGAATTGGAGTGCTATTTCTGCTTGTGCAAAAAGTATTGGCCTTTCCCAAGTTTTAGACTGAGAGAGCTAACGAATTGGCATTCAATGCATCTCTTTCCAATGTGAAGTCACATGGTTAGCAAACCCATGTGGTCATGTTGAGAAATAATTTCACTGAGTGTTGAGATTTTGGTTCTGTGGGGCTCACGAGTACAAGATTGCATAACAGAAGAGAAGGATTCTTTTGCTATTGTGCGAGTTTAAATGCACAGTAGGGTCCAGATCAATTTGGTTGTTAGCTCGATTAACCACATTCTCTCCATGAATCACAAGATCAACCACAAATTGCTGAAGGTCACAGGGTCCACTGTCCATTCTTGCCGGTTCTTGTATTACAATAACGACAGACATTGAATAGTTTATCAGAAATTTCCGGTCTCATTGGCAAGCAATTCTGCTGGTCCCAGAAAATTCAGAAATTTCAAGCACATAATTAGTTGATATGTTGGGTCTTCCTACCTTCTGTCGGGTTGCCAAAAAGACGAACTAGATGGCAGTATGAACTGATGTAATTGAACCAATGACACAAGCAAAGGTGTATATCCACACTTGTTTAGGCCTATTGAAAAACAAAGAAGGAAGAAAGAAACCATCCATTAAGGGGACAAATAGTCTAAATTGTTTTCCTTTTTCTGCATGTAAGATATAAAGTGGTGCTTCGATTTTTATAAAGGTCACTGTGTTTCTTTTATTAGTATATGTGCAATGTCATTCCTTTGACATTTTTAGAACCTGAAGACCCTGCATTACGCTCTTACGTGGACTACCAATGGCACATGACAAACGAAAGCTTCGACAATCTGAGCCCTTCAGATATTGCATCGAGTGATGCCAAGATCTAGAAACAACCATCAGACTCGGCAAGTGTGAGCCACATAGTCTAGGACTTGTTTGGTTGAGCTTTAGACATCTTGGGACCAGCAGGAATGCATTGCACATGCCGAAAACTTGCCGAGGCATGCACTCACAAACCACCAAACTGTCTTCCTAGCAAAGAACATTTCATGTGAATAAAACGACTCTGTAACTCAATTTCATCATTTGTATGTTGTTGCAGTACATGGTGCTACAATTATCTCAAGCAGCGGAGATGTACTTGCCGGGAGATGAACTGACAGCCCAACCGAAACTGATATCGCCACCACCTTAACATTCTCCTTCATACCCAATTCACGCGGCTCTGCACCATCACCGGGGGACTCCCATTAATGCAGTGTCCTCCTGATGCACCACTATTTAACAGACCCCAATTAGTCCATTGTCTTCAACTCAACACAACTTTGGCATTTCAAAGCCCTCAGGTTTAGAAAAAACAATCTCCTATTTCTTCATCCGCATTCCAATACGGGGAAAATGATCAGCCCAAAGGACTTGGTCAAGATTGCGAGAAAATGGCAGAGAGTGGCTGCCATGAGAAGGAAAAGGATCTCATTTCCACAAGTTGAAGGAGACGAGGAAGTGCTAGCTCATAGAGGACATTTCGTCGTCTACTCAATTGACCGAAAGCGGTTCGTGTTTCCAATAAGGTTCTTGAACAACTGTGTCATCCGTGAGCTGTTCAGATTATCCGAGGAAGAGTTTGGGTTGCCAAGCAATGGACCGATCACTTTGCCGTGCGACGCCATGTTCATGGACTATGCAGTTTCAATGATCCAGCAGCATGCCAATGCGGAAATCGAGAAGGCTCTCCTTATGTCTATTACATCCAACACATGCTCACTATCTTACCCTCTCCAGCAGAATCACACTGGACAACAATTGCTTATCTGTAGTCATTGAACCTTCGTATTTTTGTTTTTGCCTCTCTTCTTTTGAGGCTTTTAGGATGTACACAGTTGAGAGAATTGCATGAAAATTGCAGTTCCTCATTCGTTGTTAGATTTTAATGAAGACAGATTGTTCACTCCTACGATTAGCTTACTTTTCTTTGTTGAGTGGAGGCCATTGGATCCCAGTCAACTCCTATGTCAATAGGACCGACTATTCTGTGAACTTTGACCCGCCAATTTTATCCTGATAGATACTAGCATCTAACAAGCCAAGTTTCAGTGAAAAAAATTCAAATCATGGATCCAATCAGCTATAATATATTTGACTCCAAATTTCCAATGACATCTCGAGAAAGAAGAAAAGTGTTTAGAAAGTCATGGGAGAATAGTATACTTAAAAGAGATTTCTAAAACACCGATTTCATTTCAACTTATTGCGAATGTTATCCTTATAAAGGCGGAGCCAAGGGAAATACATATAGGCATACCTACTGGTACAATAATACGAGCACCCTAGGATCACTAGATATAAAAAACTAGGAGCATCTTGCAAGATGCTTTTTCAGACACAAGGGCAATAATACAACGTTTTGGATTACAAAATTTCGAGCGCATACTTATTTGGTGTAGCTTATGAATGTAGTTAGCTAGTGAGTACGGCTCGTACTAATTTCTAGTAGCTCATACACAAAAATTTAGTTAAAAGGGTTGGTGGGTAAGTTGCTTTTTGCTAATCAAGCATCATCCCTCATTCCTTACGACGCTCGAACACAAACAAACACAGCCAAAGTTCGCGGGCGTAGCTCTGCGGGCTTGGGATGTGATTTCGAGTTGGAATAATGGCTTCTTGAACGCACGTTCATGATTTTGACGTAGCACTTCGTGAATCCATGCTTTAGGAGATGGATGCTGTCATTGATACGGATGGATAAGATTTGTGCGTTACCAGTTGCAAGATTTGAGAAAAAGAGATGATAATTATTCACCGGAAGATCCGGAGAGGCTGCTAATCCAATGGGTCGACGTCGCCCCTAGTGCAACCAACATTCTTGCAATCAGCGGATAAGAAATGGGTCCTTGTGGCCCTAGGGCATGAGTCGAGTAAGAGTACATGCATAATGATACCACAGGTGTTTGAACTTAATACATCCTATTAGTTAAGTAGCCAATTTTTTCTCATTCAATCAAGTATCTCGGGTTTTGGATTTTGGCTCTATATGGGGCCTTCATCAGATAGAGTGTGATGTCATGTGATTTTGCTGGCGCGACTTGCTTATTAAGCAAAGGTTAAGCACGATTTTGTGACATGACTCGCGTATTTAGCAAAAGCCAGTTCATCTCCAATTAGCTATTTACGTGCATTGGACACCTACGTGGACAGTTCATAATAATGTAACGGTGTTAATGTCCACGTCGACATTTTTCGCATTCGATTTTAACGGAGTCCTCACGTTCATCCACATTTGAAAAATTGAAGTATTTCGTAGAACAAGAAGAAAATGTTAGGTACTCGATTACAAAAATATGCAACGGTTCCATGTATTTTAACAGTCAATTGTTTTACGAAAAATACCACCAAAATCCTCAAATTATGCCACTTGTGACAAATTTACCCTGAATTTTTTTTTGTGACACGAAAAACTCAAAACTATACCACTTGTGACAAATTTACCCTGAACTGTTTTTGTGACACGAAAAACCCCAAACTATGCCACTTGTGATACATTTACACCACGATACTTTGATCATGGACATTTTTCGTCTTTTTCCTTTTTATGTTTTTTTTCCTCTTTTTTTTTTCTTTTCTTCTCTCTTCCCTCCCCGGCCATGGCAGAGGGAAGCCGATGAGGGTGACTTCGCCCGACTCAGGCGAGGGCTGCCCTCGCCGGCTTCCCTCCGCCATGGCTGGCGGAGGGAAGAGAGAAAAAAAAGGAAAAAAAAAAAAAGAAATAGGAAAAAGACGAAAATGCCTATAAGCCAAAGTATTGTGGGGTAAATGTGTCACAGGTGGCATAGTTTGGGATTTTCCGTGTCATAAAAACAAGTTTATGGTAAATTTGTCACAAGTGGCATAGTTTGAGATTTTTCGTGTCACAAAAAAAAGTTTAGGGTAAATTTATCACAAGTGACATAATTTAAGGTTTTTGGTGATATTTTCCCATTGTTTTAAATGAAAAATTTGAACATTTTACAGTAGAATTATTATGACGTCTTACATGGCCCAAATTTTTTTGAAGAAATAAAAAAGCCCAACATCTCTTACGGCCCAATAAGGCCTACCTCATGATCTCTCCCGGCCCACAAAGCCCATGTCGTACTTCATCCGGCGAATCGAGAGCCCTCTTGCGTTGACGACTCGACATGGATTTCCCGATTTTTCACTCACTCGTATTTGGAAAAATATATTCAGTGAGATTTCGGTCATCGCTCTCTCGCTTTCTCGCTCCTCCTTCCTCGTACCAGTGTCTGGTGAATTCGCAGCGTTTGCTCTGGTTTCAATGGCTCTCGCAGGCGAGGTTAGCAGTCTTTCTCGTTCGTAAAGTCGTTTGATTTTGCTGTTGGGTGGATCGCCCGTGGACGATAACGGATTTTAGCCTGAAGAAATTGTTCCGATTCCTTTGAAATCGACGTTTGATGCGAATGGAGATTGCGAACGGGATGCTAGTTTGCAATCTCCCCTAAAGTTCGTGCATTCAGCGATTGTCTACATCTTTTGAGCGCGGTGCTGATGTCTATAGTCCAGTTTTCATCAGATTCTGTGGTGGTTCTGTTTTTATCAAAGCGTCTCCCCCGAGTTCATCCTGCATTAGAAGTAACCGTCACGGTTTCGTGATGCGATCGGGATTGGAGACAAGGTCGTTTGTCACGTGTTTCGCTGCTACTTGCGATGCTGTAGTGATTTCAGTAATATGGCTTTGTCGCGATTCCTAATGTCTCCTGCCCGTGCGGATCCCTTGTTCGGAAAGAAGTTGTCCCCGTTGTGCTTCGGCGATTGGAATTTGAAATGCGTTCATTTGACTCTGCGGAGGATGCATTGAGTTTGTGTTGATGGTCGCGTTTTACTTGAATCAGGTCGGGTTACGTTTGCTTCTCTGCCCAGTTACCTCCAACGTTGTTATCCGGACTGCATGGTGAGTGCTCGCTCTTATAGTTTTCCTGAACACGGCGATCACTTACATCTGTTGTCATCGTGTGAGTGGAGATTTGTGCTGAGGAACTGTTCTATTTGGATGGTTTACTCAACTCCTTTAGTTTACACTTCTACTCTGGGTGACTAGGATGCTTCATTAATTGCTATACACTCTCACGAACACTACATCATTATGTTGCTCAAGCAGCTGTTCTGTGGGGACCGTGTTCCCTGTTTACTCAACATTCAAAGCCATTGAGGAGAGGGATCGGAATGAGCAGCAGAGATGGCTTCTTTATTGGGCAGGTTGGCACCTTTTCCGTTTTTACATCCTTCAAATGCTTTTAGGTGAAAACTTTTAGAATTTTATTGGTGTTGTTTTGGGGCCTTCACACCTAGTCATTTAGCTTTCCATTCTAGAAGAAGGTTGATTGGAAATCTTTACCAAGAACTATGTGTTATGTGGTTGTAGAGATACTTTGCAAGTGTGGTTGTAAAGAGCAGGATGGGTGGGTAGGTGGTTCTGCTAGTCTCAGCAGCATATCTAATATGAACATGAGGCTATGCAAAGTGGAGAATTTAATTGCTTGAACACTGTCCATCTAACCTAGTAGTCACCACGAACTGTGGTTTCATTGTAAAGGCTGACAATCTGAATTGCATGCCCACACTCCTTGTCCTATCTTACAGTAGCTGTTGACTATTGCAGCTTATGGAACTTTTAGCGTTGCAGAAGTGTTCGCAGACAAAATTCTCTTCTGGTGAGTCACTGAACTCCAATATTGTCTTTCCCGGTTCTTTGGGTTTTTACTCTATGTTTATTTGTTGAGGTCACAGCAGAATGTTGGCCTTTTTTATATAAGAATATCCTTTCTCGAATTTTGTTTGAAACTAATTATGATATACTGCCTAATTGTTGTCCAAAATGTGGAAATGTAGCGAAGTTTGACTGCTGTTTATGTCAAAGAAAGATCTTTTACCTAAACTTTCTTTTTACCTCCATGCTCTCTAAGGTTTATCAGTAATCCCTTGTGCAAACAATTGATTTTCCCCTGTCAAGGGCTTATTCTAAATGGTGAACCTATTTGTCAACATGCACCGCCAGAGCTTACTAGCATGAAAGCCTTCTCTGAGATTTTTCGCCTCTATGGAAAGTTCTTTCAGGCGTAACCATGACATGGGGTCATGAGGATGTCCAGAAGTCTGGCCTACTTTTGACCCTTGAAATATGCTGGATGGACCAAGTTCATTGTTTTTTAACCTTTCCTTTAGCATTGTCCTTTCTGCGGTCAAGCAAGACTGCCTTTTACTTGTTCCCATTCTTACATTCTTGTTTTTGCTCAATGTTGCGTTACTATTTTATTTTGAATGCAAGAATCTGCTTTTTGGTCTTATCCGTTGGATGACTTAGATCTAAGAAAGCTATTGTTGCTATTGTTAGGTTTCCACCTTACTACTACATGAAGTTCGCATTTCTGGTCTGGTTACAATGTCCATCAGGCAATGTAAGTTATATCTAGCCATACGTTGTACATGTACTTTTTTGTCTAAAAAGATAATAGCATTTATGGTGACCCGATTTAAACAAGGTTGATTAGAGTTCCCATTATTTATACTGAAATATGTAATGTGTCAATTAAGCCACTTGAGTGCTTCTTGCTTTCATCAGGGTGCCAGGCATTTGTACATGAACTGTCTACGTCCTTTCTTGTTGAAGCATCAAAGAAGACTGGATCAAATAGTTGGACTGATATATGGTGAATTGGTAAGTATTATACTTTTTAGTGACAGTGTGGCAGGATATGGATATGCTTGGTTGGGAACTCTGACTCTTACATAGTTGATCCCTAATGCCATTGGTGGGCTAGGGGATTGGGCTGCCCTGCCTGCATGACCGGGGTGGCAGGGGGGTGCTTAGTGCTCACTTAATACTTATTGAGGTTCTGTATGACCCATGAGTTAAGGGTTTATCGGAGGGAAAGTAGAGGTTGTACCAGTGAACCGAATCCTCGCGAAGCTCCTGTATGTCTCATGCTTTAGACATCCTAAATTGAAGAAAATTAGGAGGCTGAGAGTCATTTTGTTAATATTTTACAGTGGTCTTACAGTAGTCTATTGCTATCCTGTCATTGTCTCACAAAGATAGAACTATTAACAGTTCTCTTCAAGTTAAATTTTTTCTCTCGTACCATGCCCATTTTCTAATGCGTGTCGCCCTTGAGCTTCTAAAACTGCAGCTGATGGGTTTTGAAAGCAGAAATTGCCACTAGAGAAATTTGTCGATGATAACTTTATACGTATTGTTAATTGGTGAAAACTCTGTTTCCATTTTGCTGGCTCATTCTGTAATATGGACTTTGATAAATATTTGAATAACCATGTGATTCGAAATACACGGCTCTAATTGATATTTGCACTTGCAGAACAAATTCGTGAGTGCACACGAGGAAGAATTTCTCTTTGCAAGAAGACTTGTTATGGGGATTTACGCATCAGGTTTTTACTTATGCCAACTTGGACTATGGATTTCTATCTGTGACTAGTGATGAGCCTAGACGTGGGCTGATGAGAACTATGCAGTGCCAAAGATTTATCAATTTTCATTATCTGAGTTTTACACTATTTGCTATTCATATGCTTGTCATCTGAAAGCATTCAAATTTATACAAGGTTTGTATCTTAACGCTGGTTTATCCTGTCTGGTGTCTGATACGGGTTACGTTTTTGTGGCTTGGATCAGCAAACGGGCTTCTGAGCGACAGTGCTCATCCACGAGAAGGGCAAAATATTGCTGCTATCGAGGGTCCGGGAAACCAAAATCAAGAGTCAGAATCAGGACACGACGATTGATGCTTCTTTGCCCGTAATATACGGTTACTTTGCTTGCCTGTATATATCATGAAGTTTTAGGGTTTGACATTTCACAGAGGTTAACCAGGAAGAGGGCCTACTTGTGTAATTGCAAGTTGACAGCTCTGAATTGGGATATGAGCTTGATTAATCGAGTCTAGTGGATATTTAGCGGGTTTAGGTTGGGATCCGGGAGGTTTAGCGTCATGAGTACTTTCAGGATTTCATATCGAGTATCGTCTACACTTCGTAAATATCGATGTTCGCTATTGTGAAGGGTATGCTGCAAGTAAATGCAACTTCCACGGAAATTTATCTCTGAACTGCTCGATCCAGCTTCTCTTTTGGCTCTTCAAATAGCTACACTATATTCAGCGTCGACGATCCAAAACATGGATCATTGAAGTTCCAACACAGTGGTGCCTTTTGGGAGATGGCAAGCTCGGAAAACAGTTGAGCTTTGCTTCTCAATGAGAAAGCGAAGACATACAGTTTTCTCTTTACCCTGGTAAAAGCAAGCAATGAAATAACATTTGTTTAGAGTCAGATTTGTGCATGGTCGTTGCTCATGACATCCTGGATTGATCCCATCATCATTATAAAACGAAATACATCTGCGGTCATCGACTTCCCTCGGCTTAAATGAAATTATTCTTGAGAGTTTAGATGGCAGCTTGTCTCCATGGACATGGAAATTAGTAGTCACCATCCGTTGAAGTATTCATCCTCTCACATCTCTGGACTTTCATGGACATTTTGTTATGTCGAAGTCGCATCAATCTATTGAGATCAAATCGTGGACTTATCTAGGGAAAATTATTTAAAAAGTCCTAATTAGTGAGAGTAATTGAATGCCAAAACCCTATTCCTCGTAATTCCTCTCTGCCCTCCTCCCTTTAGGAGTGAGGCACCAGTCCGTTTTTACTCGAGAATTGAACTGGATCGGACTAGTCGATTTTGGATGGTTCCTGCGAAAATCGGTCCGATTTCTAGTTTCATAAATTTGAAACCAACAATAGCCGGTTCAGTTCTCGGTTTCTTGTGTGGAAACGGACTGATGGAACCCTTGTTTTTTTTTTTCCCCTTCCTGTAAAGCTGCATTGGGGAGGGTAGAGGCAAAACCCTAAATTGATACTCTCTCTAACCTTTTGACACACTCTCCCACCTTGTTTCCATTGTCTCCGACCATTGTTCTTGGTCTCACCCTCCATCGCTTGCTCGGTGTCACGCCAGAGCGCAACGCTGTCACCTCCCTCTTTCACTCTCGCGTTCTCACGATCTCATGGTCTGTCATCCATCCTACAGTTCACTCTCGCGCTCTCACCCTATATTGATACTTTCTCTAGCCTCCCTTGAACTTTGATTAATCTAGTCCACTGGACATTTAGTGGGTTTAGGTCGGGAATCAGGGTCTTTGGCTACATAATCTGGGCATAGGAAGTTTAGCTTCATGAGCACTTCCGGGATATCGTACGCATTATCGTCCACACTTTGTAAATATTGATGTTCGCTATAGTGAAGGGAATGTTGCACGTATTTGCGACTTCCACGCAGGTTCATCTCTAAACTGCTTGATCCAGCTTTGGCTCTTCAAGTAGCTATCCGATGTTCAGGGTCAACGATCCAAAACATGGATCTTTGAAGTTCCAACGAGGAGGTAGTCCCTTCTGCGAGTTGGCAAAGCTTTGACAAACAGTCCAGTTTAGTTTCTCAACGGGAAAGCAGAGACATGCAGTTTTTTCTTTCTTTTCCCTGATAAAAGCAAGGGATGAAATTTAACAGCTGTTTTAAGGCCAGATTCGTGCATGGTCGTGGCCCATGACATCCTGCGATTCGGATCCCATCATCATTAGACAAAAGTAATTCATCTCCGGATCGTTGACTTTCATCGGCCCAAAGGAAAGCATTGGCTTCAGATGCCAACTCGTTCACCATTGACTGGGAAATTGTCAGTCACCATATAACGTATTCATCCTCTAATGGACTTTATCTACTTCTGATCTGGTGTTGTAGAGAATGAAAAGGAGATGGGTCTTGAAAGAGTTTACCAGAACTTCACCGGAGCTACTCATGAAATCTCATCTCAACATGTCCGCTTCGAATAAATTTAGAGACTTTGAATGATTTTTGGATTTTCTGGTCTTTGATGTGATCTGGTCTACACGCTTGGTTCGGCGAAAGATTGAATGATTCCACCGTACGAATTGTGGGGCCCCAGTTTTCGCGCCTAGCTAATTGATGTAAGAAGTTCCCGCAGCAGACATGGGGTGCGTGTATCGGGGGTCAGTTTTGTCATTTATAGCCATCTCACCTGCTCCTCCTCCATTTAACTTCACGAACTGCGGACGCATAAGATAAAGAAAGCAAGACAGAGGAGAGAGAGAGAGAGGATCAAGCTCGAGTCGAGTCTTTTCTTCTCTTTTTTTTTTTGTTTTTGTTTTTGGCCAAGTGAGTCTTCTCATTGGTGCAACTGGCGCTTTTGGACTTTTCTTCCCATCCGAAGCGTTCGGCGAGTGACCATGTTCGATCGCTCTCGGGGAATAGAAGAGAAGGCTGACCTCTTGCATGATCCGGACGTTAAACCCTTCGAACCCGGTCGGTGATGCTCCGGTTGAATCAGTAGTTGTGCATTTTCTTGAACTGGGTCACACCCATCTCTCTCGTCTGACCCCCTAATTTCGTTGCGCTCGCGTCTCTCACCCTCAGCTTCGGAGCTTTCGCATTCAGTTGAGAGAGAGAGAGAGAGAGAGAGAGAGAGAGAGAGAGAGAGAGAGAGAGAGATGAGTGGTCGAAGAGACGGGCCCTTGATGCGAAGCGGCGGCTCCTCCCACCCGTTCCGGAAATCAAGAATCGCCGCCGCCATTGCCGTCGGCGTCGCCATCGGTTGCGTCTTCGCTTTCTTGTTCCCCGATGGGCTCTTCTCCGTCGCCGGCCCTCGCCGCCTCGTCACAGCCGATTCTAAGGTTCTTTCTTTTTTTAGCTTGGCTTAATTTCTTTATATTCTGTTTTCCCCCGAACTGCAATCTCTGCGAATTTCGATGGTCTAGTTGCTCTGAATTGCTTTAGGTTGAGTAACTTCCTGGGAGATCGTGAGGGTAGGTTGAAGGTGACTGTTTTATTTGATGTCATGGCAATGTGAGGACAGGACGATTAGGAGAACAAAAATGTGGAGATCTTGCATTTTGTGCCCCTCATTTTATAGAAACGTGAATTTCTCGCTGTTCGTTAATGTTATCTAATTTTACAATCTGGATTTTGATTTGAGACTTATTGTTTGAAGATTCCTGTTCTCCGATGTTACTGTGATTTTGCATGAGGTTTAGGTTAGGATTGCCGGAGTTAAGACATCAGTCGAGGTATACTTCATAGAAAAACTGAGTGTGTACTTGGGATGCTTTTACCTGAAGAGTAAATGGACTTTCTAGCGAGAAATGAAAAATTCTGGGCTTGTTTTTCATCTGATGGGAAACGGGTTCTGCTTCAACATGCTTGCCCATCATCCTCTCGCTACATTAGTTATTTCTCTCATGTGCTCTGCAGACATATAGGTCAAAATGGTTCCTTGTTATGTTACATCATTTGTTATCAGATTGAAATATGTGAACGAGGGCCTGAGAGCTGTGGGTGAGACATCAGCCTTGAATGGAAATGGAGTTCATAAATTTGATGGAATGATGAGCAATAACTTGTTTTTCGTGTTATCATCCTGCAAATGCCATAAGCAATTTCTTTTGTTGTCTGCCTGCTAGGGAGGATCCTCTTCCAGCTCTTGTGAATCATCCGAGCGAATGAACATGTTGAAGTCGGAGTATGTGGCTGCTTCGCAGAAAAATGCTGAGCTGAAAAAGGAAGTTAGGGAGTTGATGGAAAAGCTTAAGTTAGCTGAACGGGGGAATGATCAGGCTCAGAAGCAAGTTCTTGCGCTGGGTAAACAGCAGAAAGCTGGGCCATTTGGTACTGTTAAGGGTTCAAGAACCAATCCCGCTGTTGTCCCTGATGAATCTGTGAATCCAAGATTAGCAAAGATATTGGAGAAAGTCGCAGTTAATAGAGAGCTCGTAGTTGCCCTGGCCAACTCAAATGTGAAGGAAATGTTGGAGGTTTGGTTCACCAACATAAAGAGAGTGGGTATACTTAATTATTTGGTTGTTGCTCTGGATGAAGATACTGCTAAGTTCTGTGAGTCGAACCGTGTGCCTGTCTACAAAAGAGATCCAGATGAAGGCGTTGACTCCATAGGAAGGAAAGGAGGGAATCATGCTGTTTCAGGATTGAAATTCCGCATTTTGAGGGAATTTTTGCAGTTGGGATATAGTGTTCTTCTCTCCGATGTCGACATAGTCTACTTGCAAAACCCGTTTGACCATCTTTATCGGGATTCAGATGTGGAGTCCATGACAGATGGTCATGACAACAGGACTGCTTACGGGTTCAATGACGTCTTTGACGAGCCTGGAATGGGTTGGGCCAGATACGCTCATACGATGCGCATCTGGGTTTATAATTCTGGTTTCTTTTATATCAGACCAACAATCCCTTCAATTGAGCTCCTTGATCGTGTAGCTGCTAGGCTTTCTCGGGAAAATGCCTGGGACCAGGCGGTTTTCAATGAGGAACTCTTTTTTCCTTCACATAATGGGTATGATGGTCTACATGCTGCCAGGAGGACGATGGACTTTTATCTCTTTATGAATAGTAAGGTCCTCTTTAAAACTGTCAGGAAAGATGCCTCCCTCAGCAAAATTAAGCCCGTGATTGTTCATGTAAACTACCATCCCGACAAGCTCCCGCGCATGAAGGCGGTTGTCGAATACTATGTTAATGGTAAAGAAGATGCTCTAAAACCCTTCCCTGATGGTTCAGGTTGGTAAATTGCCGTTCTGGTATTCAAAGATACTTCTTAGCACCCGTTGTCTTCTTAGCTGAAACTTGACTTGTTGGGAATCGACGGAATACCATTTGGATCTGAAAACTTTTCCTGTTGGCCTCATTGGTTTCCCTCCATTTTTTTTTCTGTTAGAATATTACAATTTTTCACGGGCTGTATCTTCAAGTAGCTTAGGATCTGCTGTTTTGTGTAGTATGGATCTGTGGGTGTGTTTTCTAATCATCTGGTTGTATAAAAAGCCTACTTTCCACTATGAGCTATGGGGTGAACTTTTCGGGTCAAATCTACTGATCCGGAGTCCTTTCCTTTTGTTTCTGAGTGTAATCTTTTATTCTGGTAGTAAATCAAACTGTAGTTGTAGTCTGCACATCCTCAGTCTAGACTTTGTGATGTCCATACTCTATAGTAATTTTACCCAGGAGATCGTTTGATTGAGATGAAGAGAATTGAAAAATGACAAGGTGGGATAAAATGCCGCTACTGTGTCTGTTTAGTTTCGCCGAGCCCCCGCTCCTTCTCTGATGGCCTTGTTCTTTCTTGGACGTTGCCCTGCTCTGGTCATTCATACCTAGCTCAAGTGAAGTAGAGCATGTGAATGCTTATGAGCGAGGTCCTTCCTTTCCAAACCGAAGTGGTTGTTCTACTCTTGAAGAGCAACATTCCATTCTCGAACCGGAACATGATGTCTCATTTATTTCGCATGTTGCATTAGAAATAGAGCGGAAACAGAGGGATTCGCGTTATAACACGACTTTGAATTAAGAAGAGAGATTTCAAAAAATGGGATATCGGTGTTCGTTTCTTGCTCCGTTCCTCGAAATGATGGCATGTCACACTAATGCTTGAATCTATCACCTGTTCTAATGATAGCCAATTTCTATGATAATAATCACGGTCTAGCACTCCCACCTATTCTCTGAAATTATATCCTCCAACACTACGCAGTATGTACTGAGCTAAGTATTGGGTTCTTCACAAGTAAAAGTATTTTGTGCTTGAATCCAAACCATAGCCATTAATTACACAACCCCACTTGAAAATGACATTGATGACTGAGATTGTCCGATGGACAATGTCCATGAAGATCTCAATATATTTAAGGAGCAACCAAAACTTCTTTCTCGTCGGTCGGAGCAATTATCTTTCGATCTTCCGAATATTGAGTAGAGATCAAATTACAAAAACAGATCAATTTGACAATCTTCTATTCAATACTCAAACCTCACAAATTGACTCTTTCTTTTTTGTCTCAAGAATGAATACATCCCATTTACTTGACAAAAAAAATGAAGAAGGAATATGTTCTAAATTGACTCAAAAATATTTGGGTTAATATCACGAAGAACCCCAAACCGGTACACCCATGACAAATTTATCCCGAACTAATTTTTTGACCACCAAAAATCCTAAACTGGTACACCTCTGAAGAATTTACGCCCAACTAATTTTTTAACCACCAAAAACCTCAAATCAGTACACTTGTGATAAATTTACTCTCCGTTAAATTGGATTAATAGCATGAAAAATCACAAATTGGTAAATCTGTGACAAACATAGGGGTAAAATCCCCTACTAGTATACTCATTAACTGCCACATGTTATCTAAGTTAGCAATTTGATAGTAAAATCTAACGAAAATTAACGGTGGGTAAATTTATCATATATGTACAAGTTTGGGATTTATGGTGATATTAATCCAAAATATTTTGCCTGCACGGACATCCAGTTTTTCCTTTTCTTGTTTTAAAAAAAAAAAAGGAGAAGAATGTATGCTGGAAAAAGTCTCTAGTGGGGGTGAAAGCGTGTGGTTTCATGGAACAACGCAATAATTCTCCCGAAGAAAAAGGTGAATGGCAGCTTCTTTATGCGTTTCCTCTGTAAACAAAAAGGAAGAGACGACGTGCGAGTGCGAGCTTCTCTTGCACAAATCCACCCAGTCAACACATAAGTTTCCAACCCGGTGTCCGTCTCCATCCATCCTCGTCGTTATTTTACGCCAGAATGCCAGCGAATGGTCGTCCCCCGAATTCCACACAGCTCACACCTGAGCTCATCTTCAAGGACAGAGCTCAACTCCACCCACTAATTGTTCCATTCCTCGTTCTTTAATTCTCTGTCGTCCTCCTCGCCTTCTTCTTCTTCTTCTTCTTCTTCTTCTTGATTTTCGGTGCTCCCCAGTCGACCAATACGTGTTTCTTGAATCACCATTTCACTTGGGGTGGCACCAGCATCATTCTCTTTCTAAGAATCCTACACTTTGTCAAATCAGGACTAGAAACTTTGGAAATTTTTTGGTTTGCAATTCAATGGGTAAAGGAGGCGGTTGTGTGCCGAGCAAGAAAAGATCTGTCGAGTCCCCTGATCAAGATCCTCCAAACCCAGAAAGGGACGGTCCTGTTCCTGCCCAGGAGCGAGCCCCGCCAGCAGCAGCAGAAGTCACTGCCCCGGTCACGGAGAACAATGCGCAGACGACCAAGAAGCTGAGAATTTTCATAATCTTTTACTCAATGTACGGACACGTGGAGCTTCTGGCGAGGAGGATCAAGAAGGGCGTGGACTCAATTGATGGGCTCGAGGGCGTTCTTTACAGGGTGCCGGAGACGCTGACGTCGGAGGTTCTGGAGCAGATGCGGGTCCCGCAGAAAGATGATGAAGTGCCCGTTATATCCGCGGAGAAATTGGTGGAAGCTGATGGGTTGTTGTTCGGGTTCCCGACCAGGTATGGGTGCATGGCCGCGCAGATGAAGGCCTTCTTCGATTCGACTGGGGGGTTGTGGCGAGAGCAGAGGCTGGCCGGAGTGCCTGCCGGGTTCTTTGTGAGCACCGGCACTCAGGGCGGAGGGCAAGAAACCACGGCGTAAGTTTTTCGTTTCGTTGGTTTTCCTTATTGTGAAAATGAGTAGCTTTTGCTAATAGTCTGAGTTTAGTGGCTGCATGAGAAGACTAACTTGAGCTGGCTGATTTCGTATCGTCTTGTTCGTAGTTAATTCTCGGATTGGTTGGTTTGCTTGGTGGTCTGATGTTCATCATCTTGGTATGGCTTGTTTTGAATGTGTATAAATGGGTTGGGTTAAGCGTATCCTTAAGCGTAGAATCAACTGGATGAACGAAGAAAATCACGGTGCTCGAAGAGAGTCTAGAGATTACATCTTCCCAATGGTTAAAATTACTGCTTTAACTCATACTTAGCTGATCATGCATGTGCAGGATAAAATTCTGATTTAGAAGAGACTTTGCGCTAAACGTTTATGTGTTTCCAAAAGTCATTAGTCAATGCAAATCCAGAGTTCCGAAGTGATCTTCAAATTATAGAATAATCTGTCGCAAATACAGGATCCATCTTAAGTTGATAGATAACACATTTGCATTCTAAGGATGTCTCGATAAAGGAGTGTTTATCAAAGTTAATTCCACTGCATAATTGTTCTGGTGAGGTCTAGACAGCAGAATCAAGCATCTCCAAATACATGCATAACTAGAATTGTTCTGATGCTCTAGAGCATCATAAGTTTATTGCGTCAGTTCAGTTGCCTCATGCGATAGTCTTATGAAGACTAATTGGGTTGCTTGGGAAGCTAATGAAAAGTCTAATATGGATACAATATCTGTAGTGTGCACAATGGGTTTGAATACATTGATACTGGGGAAAAAAATGTGGTTTCACTCATTGGAGTTCTGTATGATGTAATCTCCATATAGATTGCTTAGAGGTTTTCTTTATTCTTTAGGTAACCATAACAGAAAGATGTTCAACAGGTCGAGTGGCCGAGAACTATTATTGATGATTCTTTTTCTTTTTAAGCATCTAGAGTCCTCAGTAACTCTATCATCTAGAATCATATATCCTCAGGTTGAGTTCGCACAATAATTCCTGAAATACTAGAGAGTCTACTTATGTGTATTTTGTTAAGCTGATTGAGTCTCTATCAGCAAGAGATTCTAACATCCCATCTATGGGAATCTGTACTTTTTGGAAGAGGGGTTACAGAGAATCTTAGTTTAAGAAAGACAGCAGCCTTGATTTGGCAGTTGTGATGTCGGGCATTCTCCTTCTCACTTTTTAGACTAGAAAACCAAGAAAAAGCCGATTTGCATACTGTTTGGGCTACTTTCAAATTATAGTGTAGCAGCGCTTAACCTTGCAAATCCAAATGGATCCTAAGTTCTAGCCTTCCTAACCTGGTACATAGATCTACTGATTCGTACAACTTAAAGAAGCAGTTGCATTGGGTACAATATAGAAGATGAAACGTATAAGAACTATTCAACTTTACTTCCGAGGATATGTAGAATTACTTCCAATTCTTGCCTGATATGAGTTATAGATTAAATCTAAAATGGCTTTCATGTTTTATCAACATTTAATTTGATACCTAGACCGTATTGCAAACCAGAGTTATATGAGTTTTAGTTCATCTGTCCCAGAAACACTCATCGAGCAAACAAAGAAGTTATATTATGAGCTAACTTTGAGAGAACTTACTTTCTTGCCATAGCGTTTCTTTAGAAGAGTCTGATGGGAGGAGTCTTTTAAATTTCAATTTCCATGGAGCTAACGATGCCTGTACATGCCTCGCAGATGGACAGCAATTACTCAATTAGCACACCACGGAATGCTCTATGTGCCAATTGGGTACACTTTCGGGGCTGGAATGTTTAAGATGGATTCCATAAGAGGAGGTTCTCCATATGGTGCTGGAGTATTTTCTGGTGATGGCACAAGGGAACCGAGCACGACCGAGCTGGCCCTTGCCGAGCACCAAGGCAAGTACATGGCCTCAATTGTTAAGAGATTCGCCATACCCTGTTAATATATATGGAAATAGATCATTCAAAGCACATTTTGTGACATTGCATTCTCTTGTGCGATTTGTATCTGTCTTTTGCTTGGGGATCAGAAATGTATTATTTGATTCTTGTTAGATCACCTGTTCCACACTCATCTGGGTATGGAAGTCTGTTTGATATGGTCCCTCTGTAGCTCAGTTGAAATTTTTGTGTTTGATTTTATTGTAAACAGTTGAATTAAAATGCTATTCAGTATAGTCTCCAATTCGATATATGCTTTCTTTTTGTCAATGGATCATGCAGCTCTCTCTCTCTCTCTCTCCCTCCATCGACGTGCGCTCAGCCGCGTGTACAGTCGTCTCTTCTGAGACTGGCGTGAAATGTCTTCTGGTGGAATGGATATTGGGTTTATGAAAGCGTCTACATCAATAAGAAATGAAAGACGATCTCACTTCCGCAATAATAGCATTATATATGTAGAGGAATCCCGGAATGCCGAAAAGGGCTGAGCCAATCGCTCTTTTTATCAAATAATTGATCGAAGAAAGGAAATCAAAGAAGAAATCTGATGAAAGAACCGCTTTGGCGTAGGTGATGATCGGGTGTAGCTGGCCTTCAGGTGATCAGTTTAATTAAATACTCCACGTAAAACAGGTCAGGAACTACCCGGACAAGTCCATAAACGGGGCACCGGACAGATACCTGAGAATAACAACCTTGTACTTTTGACAGGCCATCAATGGTTTCCATAGAGATTTAGAAGGAAGCATTGCTGCACTGGGGCCACGGCCAGACACAGCCTTCCCATGCTATATGCTACAATTGCTCTAGTACAGATCTTAAACACCGCCACGTTGTGATTTTAAGATCTCTAGCAAATTTGACTTATGAGCGGGGAGTAACAAATCTTTCAAGAGGCAGAGGTCCTGGAAATTGTGCAGTATATGACGTCCCCAAAAAATGAAAATGTCCAAACATTTGCACTAGCTATGTAGCACAAATTTGAGCGGCAGCAAAACATGAGCTCCTCAAATTGGTTTGATAATGCACATTCTTGTCCAACCAAAGAGAAGACCTTAGTCTCCTCCCAAGATTCACATCAGGAGAAAGGAAAGGACACAGATACAAAGAACAAAAAGTTGAATTCGGACACACTTTCGTGTGGCCTTTGTCCTTGGCAATTCATGTTCAGAAAATACAACTTGACAATGGAAGCACTACATCAAGATAACAAGCCCTTAAACCCTCAAGCCTCGGCAATGAATTTGATGATTGGTAGACTTAGACAACGGTTACATACATCGTGGGAAGAAGGTGTTCCCTACATACCCACCAGCCATTGCCCGTCTCACATTAGACTCAAACATCCTCGGATTGTCCCTCAATACAGCAGCTGCATCGTGATTGAGTGGATCTTCATAGTTGGGTTGCTGCATGGGAGCAATGGATTGTTGAGGAAATGATAACCATTTAAAAAAGAAAAAGTCATTAAGAATAAATCCAATACCGTGAAAAGATGGAATAACCCATAGATAATGGTGTTAATGTTCAAGACAGGTTTCCAGTCTTCTCTTAGAATATTGAGGCAAACATTTCCTTCCAAGTCAATATTAGGATGGTAAACCTGCACGAGCAAAGCCATGTCAATACTTGAGAAAATTAAGTAGAAGACCATCCACACTGACAAGTGAGGGCTAACTTACCTTAGTTTTACACTTGACTTTTGGTGCCTCATGAGGGTAGATGGAGGACACTTGAAAAGTGAAAACAAATGTACCGCCACTGCCACAAAATGTGCCTCATTAATAATTCATTTACACTAGTACAACTGAGTATAAAACTGATTGAGCACCGAGGGAAAGATAATATACTATTATCATCTCATCCCAGAACATATTCAGTTGCAGTACTGATCTGCCCCAGAAAGTTCTAGCTTCTAGAGTCTGTAGACAAATAAGACGAGAGAATGTTCTTTTCCAATTTTATTCTCATTCTAGAGCAACCATCCATAAACCTATATGCTTAATAGTTGAAAGTCCTTCATACGAGCCACTAGAAAGAGATTCTAAATGCCAAACTTCTCTTATGCAGTGATAAGAGGCCACGGAAAAAGACTTACCAGTAATATCCTTCGTCTGGACGTATGGTCACCTCAAAGTTCATCAAATCATCCTTACCATTGGGAAAGGATATAGTACAAGTTTTTGGTAAGTTAAGCTCACTAATATCTGTAAAAAAGAAATCCCAAAATTAGCTTAAGACAAGAATATTTGCTGCTAAATATGGCCCCTAAGATCCAAAGTAACTGCTAAAATTGTTCCTCGGACACCAGACAATGGAGTCAATAAGATCCAGAGACAGTTAACCAAGCTCAAACTCATTAAACTCTTGAATTGCTCAACCAAAAAAAAAACTATTGGAATGGAATAAGACACCTTCAGAACCAGGTAAGGTTACAAGTAGAAACTCCTTATCGTTCTCTCCCCAAAGAGGACCCACTCATTCCTTAAACAAAGTTGAAGATTTGCGAAGAGCAGCAAATAATGGTTCTGTAGCATTAACCCATTTCTAGCACGAGACAGCCATAACCTTGACAATACAAATGCTCAAATCTGAATTAGGGAATAGGGGCAAAAAAAGAGTTCCCCATTATTTTCATGGTCGGAAATGTGGCTTGTGGCATCAATAGATTCAATTATAGAGAAGTACAAGATGATAAGGCAGTAGAAGACCCATCAGATCTTTACTCTAATCCATATATTCAAATGCAGCAAACAACTAATAGAGAAACAGTGGCTAGTGCTGGGGCCATTTTGACAGAACATGGTGTAGAAGCAAAGATATAGATGTTAAACCACAAGGAGGTGGAACACAAACCTTTATGGAGACGTAGTTCGCCAGCAGTTTGCTTCTTGACAGGGGCCTTCCCATTAGCATTTTCTGCAATCTCTTTTTGCTTTGCCTTCACTTTGAAAAGATTAATCATCTTTGGAAAGTATAAACCCTAAAGGCATGAAGCGGGCTCAATATCAGCGGGTTTTAATATTCGAAATACTATGACACCAGATAGTTAAAAACCGTCTCAGCACTCAGCAGCATATGTAAAGTATGAAGAAACGGCATAAAAGTTTGAAGCATGAAAAGGAGACTGATTTCTCATCCACCAAAGCTTCCACATATTTATTTAATGGGGAATTCATCCTCAAATCGGCCGTGTGTGGACATTGTCACTGGTGAAAGTTCGAGCCCTCTCCATTCCAAAGAGCTTGACGTCCTCAGCCTAGTCGGCTGCTTCCGTTCAGAGAAATTGAGGAAAAAAGAATCCACCTAGTTCACCAAGTCCCTAGCCAAACTAAGCACTTGAATTTTTATTCAAAGCACAAATAGCCATCAGAGACAACACAGCCACTACAGCATATTCAAGCAAATGAGCCGATAACCTCATCGACCATTACCCCAAGGTTCCACAAATCAGTTGCTCAAAATCATCACCAGAAAGCACACTTTACAAAAGGAACTACTCATTCGAGCTCAAAGCCGGTCATTCATCACGAATTCAAACACAGCCAAACGCCAGCAATCGCGCAGCCAATCATCTCAACAACGGCAACACATCCGATTGAGCCCGTCTAACGAAAGCCCTAGGCCAATCGCAGCCGAGCGGCGAGCTAAAGAAGGCGACGATCGAACTAACTCCTGAGCTATAATCAGCACAGACCTCGATCCCGAGCACCTCAAAACCGATCCAAACGCGAAAATCAGCAGCAACAAACGCCGGCGGCATACACCGACCAGCCTAGCGCCGATTCGGCAAGCAAACGCGCATGCGCAATCGTGCGCACGCGCGGATTAGGCAATCGAATCGAAGCGCGAAATCGAGACCAGAAAACGAGCAGATCCGGCGTCATCGAGCTTACCTTCCTCCGAGCACGAGAACAAAGCTCCCGGCGCTTCGTCGCGGAGAGAGACGGAGATCAAAGACGATTTCGAAGAGATGAAGTTTCTCTCTCTCTCTCTCTCTCTTCCTCTCTGTCCTTTTATATGTGCGATGGAGATGCGCAGTGAAATGCGTTTGCTTTTTCGCTCTTCTTCGCGTCAATTGTCGTCATCCATCGCACGGCGAATTCTTTGGGTTTATCATAATTTTCCGCTTTCGACATCGGCGACGAGGGGGGCGGGGGGCGGGGTCTCAATCGCCTGCTTTTTGCATGGTGTCGCCTTCCGCCGAGCAACCAATGGGAGGCCGCCACGTTCGCATTCGAGTCATTTTGGTCAAATACCTGGTGGAAATGGATAGATGGACTTGATATTGCCATTGGCTCTGGCGTTTTCCTTTTCGGGCAATAATTACGGCGTAGGAAAGAGCGAAAAATCTTTAAAATGCTTTAAAAAATTTTAAAAAAGAGCGACGATAAAATCAAGGTACGGACGAGGGAGAAACAAGATTTGTCCGACAGTGATCTTTAATCATTTCTTCTTCTTCTTCTTCTGTTTTTTTGAGTTATGATGACGAAAAATTCCTGCTGCTATCTCAATGGGCATGAAAATCAGTGGAATTACTTCCGTAAAAGTTCAAATATTTCTTGAAAATTACTTTTAAGATTCCCCTTTTTTTCGGATTGAACCTCGCTTTTTGATTGGCAACCGAAATAATAATGTAATCCTTTCGGGAGTTAGGCTATTTTGTTAGATTCATTTACAAAGGGTCCGTGGATATCGATAATTAGTAGACTTATTCGTGATTCTTGATCGCAAATTTAGGCCCGCGAGGCCCAATTCGTCGGTGATGAGTTCAGCAAAGTGAGCTCCAACCGGGAAATGTTTAACTCGACTTGATTTGGCTTGTCGTCGGCCGCTTCGGTCGTGACTGGGACGGGTCCATTGAAGAGGGGCTTCATAGCCAAACAACATGCATCGTGGCAACGTGAGGCTGAGCAGGCTAGTGCTGTGTTTTGACGAAGCCTAAGAGCACAAGTTCAATTCCAAAACGAAGTGCACTCAAAACAGATCTCATTACATGACATTCTTACACAACGTGGAAACAACAACAATAATAGTTGGAAAAAAGAAGCAACTGAAAATAACAACGTTACGTCAATCCAACACATAGCAAAAGGCACACAGACATCACGCACGATACGAAACAACAAGCACCCAAAATGCTTTAGGCCTGCGGGTTTTATTTCAAGGCCCCGTGCGTCTACGCGGGTGCGGATGTCGCCGGTTTTCAGCAGTGGAAGGAGGGGACGAGGTTGCACTTGACGGGAAGCTGAGCCGCCAGGTCGGGGTTGATCTGGTAAGTCTGCAGCAACGTCTTGGCGTACTTAAAGAAGCAGAGGCAGTTGAGGTCCGCGTCCGCCAGAGCCGTGCAGCACCCGCGGGTCGGGTCGGTCGGGTTCGAGATGCTCACGGCTGGCCTGCACGACTCAAAGCCCTCTTTGGACATGCCGCACATGGCCGAGCTTCCGGCAGCTGCGGGATGGCTCGCCACGGCGGCTAGCAGGACCAGAGCTACAATGACAAGCTTGGTGCGCGATTCCATGATATGATTCTTCGCTCTGTTACACTCACTCTCTTGCTCCGGCGGTGTATTGAAGTGTGCGGTGTGTGCTAATGAACGAGCTTGAGCTTCGTTTATATAGCAAATTGGCACGTGGGTTGGTGGTGAACAAGTTAAACGACCCGAGTTGTATAATGTACACAAAAGTATATACATAAATCTGTGAAAACAAAAAGATTAAAGAAAGATCGTTAACATTGGTTTCCTTTAGGGGTGAGCAGTTCCAGGATCGATCCAGATTCCACCCAGAACCTATTCGTCGGTACCGATTCTCAAATTTTTGGAACCTAAAACCTATCATGCATACTCTAAAACTTACCATGTCATGGGCTCCAAGGTCTACCTAAATTTCACTGTATTCTTAACGATTTCGATGAATCTCATCTCTAATGACCATTATTTGCTATTATAATCAATTGACCACAATCTATATTTAGACACATGAAGAATATGAAATATTAACAAAGTAAAAGTCTCAGTCATGGATATCGCCAGAAATGAAAGCTCATACTAGTGGTTCCAGATTACACATTCATCATCGGACGCCATGGAATACCAAGAATCTGGAACTTACCCGTCAAAACCGGTTCTCCAATTTTTGAAACCCGAAACCTACCCTACATATCCCAGAACCATGCTGACCCCTACTTTTCTCACATGGCGACACAAATACGATTGGTTCGTGGCTGTCGATCACCGAAGAATCAATGCATTTACAAAGTCTCGATGACTACAGGCCATCGATAAAACTGGAGCCTCTCGTGACATGGAATCAAAGTAGATAAGGAGCCATCAGTTTTTAAGCATTGATCCAAAATCGAGGATCATTGCGATGGGCCACGCGGGGTCACGGGCGGACCTTGGTCGAGGATAAAGACACGCTTTATTTGTGAGTTAGTGTGGAATTGAGGGTAACGTTGTTGTCGTTGTCCGAAGAGATGCGCTTTAAGAAAGTGTTTTGTTCGCAGGGTGTGGCATGTGAACCTCGTCCCGTTTGCCCCTTTGCTCTTCTAACTTTGCCATTTTTAAAGTATTACCATGGTGGTGCTGATCTATAATAGTATACTTCGAGCCAAGAACCCGATGCACCTGTGAACTTCTTTTTGACTATTATTGTCCTTTTGCCGTAAAGATAGACACGGAAAGGGCGTCTAATAAAATTGAGTTTGCAGCGGAACATGGGGAGTGTTGATTATAATATGGATCGTTTGTTTGAGTGCAAACACTTGTTCGAGCGAAAAAAAAATTCGCGAATTAGTTTTCTGGACTTTCATGCGTTTGGTTTTTTTTTGAAATTGGCCAGTTGACGGAAAGCAATTTACGGTCAAAGAAAATATGTATGTTTAAAGTTAGGAAAATGAATTCTCTAATTTGGAAAGGGGAAAATATTTTCGTGAAAAATGATTTCCCGGAATGCATTTTTCTTTATCGTGAAGTTTTCCCCAAACTAAACAAACCCAACTAAGGCCTAATACCCTAAAAAACCCCAACTTTAACTCCAATCCCAATTCTATCCTAATTTTTTTTTCGTCTCATATAAAACCCCAACTTATGGTCCAAGAAGACGTCTTTTGGAGATGAATTTCCATGTCAACCCAAATGACGTCTTATTGGATTTGAAATTTGGGTGAAAACTAGAACAATTAAGGTTAGTTTTCTTCAATTGCTCTTGTTCTTAAAAGAGCCTTCCTTCCATCTCACTCGAGATCTTTGATTTTGCGCTCAATTTTCAATCTCTCGTGCTCAGGAGTTTTCCATCTCTCGCTGTCATTGAGCTTGCGCTCGAGACGCTTCAATAGTTCGCGCTCAGGAGTTTTATATCTCTAGGTAATCAAGAGAAATTTTGGACATTGGGTAAACGGGAGCAGATTTGGAACTCAAGTAAACTTTGGTGATTTTTTATGAGATAAAAAATTTACAAGGTAGAATTGAAACTACACCTAAAGTTGGGGGGTTTTGTGGGAAAAAAATTAGGTAAAATTGAGATTAAACCTAAATTTTTGAATTTTTGAGGGTTCTAGGCCCCCTTAGTTACTATTTGTTTCCCTATTTGACAAATGCCATCCATAAACAAGTACTGTTAAAGAAACATGCGAATGTACTAAAGTAGTACTTGGTCACTAGACGGGCTTAGATGGACCGAGTCAGGTAACTAGCCAAAGGGGATTGATCCATGCCTACCCATTATTTTTAAAAATATTTAAAGGAAAAAATTTATACAATATGATTCAATGTGGACAAGCCTGAAGTACTATTAAAGAAACATGTGAATGTACTAAAGTAGTACTTGGTCACTAGACGGGGCTTAGATGGACCGAGTCAGGTAACTAGCCTAAGGGGATTGATCCATACCTACCCATTATTTTAAAAATATTTCAAAGAAAAGATTTATACAATATGATTCTATGTGGACAAGCCTGAAGTACTATTAAAGAAACATGTGAATGTACTAAAGTAGTATTTGGTCACTAGACGGGGCTTAGATGGACCGAGTCAAGTAACTAGCCTAAGGGGATTGATCCATACCTACCCATTATTTTAAAAATATTTCAAAGAAAAGATTTATACAATATGATTCGATGTGGACAAGCACGAGTGAGCCTGTTGCAAGCGAGCTCGAACCTAGAAATGAAATCACCAGCCGGGGCCGACACAATTTGCATAGGCCGGACTAGAATCGATTTCTTCAGGAAAGAGAGGAGATTTGGAAAAAGAACAACCTCCCGAGGCTAGTCCGTTTTCTTCAAACATTGGAACTCTATCCCCGGAAACAAACTTGCTTCCTAAGTTGTGGAACCAACAAAAAGCGTGTCGTCCATTATTGGAAATTGGCAACAAGGGCGGTCACCTTTTGCTTCGGACGCGTCCCTTTAAAAGTCCGTGATTGTGGTCGTGGCTAGCTAAGGCCGGTGGCTTGCCTTCATCCACATACCATTCTAAGAAATTTTAAGTCGATTGCTTTTCTAATTTTAAAAGGTTTTTCTTTTGAGAGATCCCCGGTAATTCCAATCTATTGCAGCACGGAAAGTAAATGAGATTCACGATACCTATACATTAGATTCACGAGATCCTAGTTATAAGTAATAATATATGTGTTTCAGACCCATTCTTTTAGACTTTGTCGTTGATGCAATTATTAACAAATATTTTATGATTGGTTGTATTCAAAATCGAATATTTTTAATTCGTCCTCCTCAAAGTAATTCTATATATTTTTCCAGAGGATTTAAACAAAAAATTAACATGATTGCGTTTTTTTTTCGAGAAATTTATTGAAATGCTCTTCCTTTGGAGCATGATGACATGCAAGTGGTTTGATCTCGATGCTTTCATAAAGCGCACGTGACCGCATGCATCTACATCCTGACGACTTTGACGTGGCGTGGAATGTTTTCTCTGTTTCCGTTAGGCGGTCACGTACGCCACCAATAACAAGCCGACACGTACTCGGATCGCGTCATCCCGAAGCCGGTGACGGACGCCAAAGCGACAGCTGCTCGGTAACTCGGCAAACGCCAAAAGGTGTTTCCATCTACGAAGGCAAAAACGACGGCGCTTCCTCCTTTCTTCTCTCTCCACGTTGGGGAATTCGTCCCCCGCACAAAAACACCCTTCGCTCGGCCGGAAATCGCCCAACTGCCCCTTCTCCTCTTGCGTGCGGCCGCCTCCCGAAAATCTTCATGAACAAACTTACCAAACGACGCCGTATTTGGGAAACTATGTGAGAAAAACTCGTGGCCACGTCTCATTGGATAAGAAGAGGAGAGCCATCACTAGAAAGCTTCTAAGTTATAATCAGAAGGGATATGTGCACTAGAAGTCCTAAAACTTATCACAAAAGTGCAATTGAGTCCTAAAATTTTAAAAAAGTGCAAGCAAGTCTTAAAACTTGTCACGAAAGTGCACTTGAGTCCTAAAACTTTCAAAAAGTGCAAACAAGTCCTAAAACTTGTCACGAAAGTGCAAACAAGTCCTAAAACTTGTCACAAAAGTGCAAATAAATCCTAAAACTTTCAAAAAGTACAATCAATGGAAGGACTTGATTAAATAAATCCTAAAACTTTCAAAAAGTACAATCAATGGAAGGACTTGATTGAACTAATTTGACAAGTTTTAGGACTTGTTTGCACTTTCGTGACAAGTTTTAGGACTTGTTTGCACTTTTTGAAAGTTTTAGGACTTAAGTACACTTTCGTGACAAGTTTTAGGACTTGTTTGCACTTTTTGAAAGTTTTAGGACTAAATTGCACTTTCGTGATAAGTTTTAGGACTTTGAATGCACTTATCCCTAATCAGAATGCGGAAAAAAGGGAGCACATCTTTCACGTGTTCGGTCAATTTCTATGGAAAGCGTGGATTTGCAGATGCGTCCCTGCCATTTGATGCAAATCAAGTCTTTCACAACTAATTCTTTCTGATTCTAGCCTCGTGCCTAGTTTGCTCGCACACTAACTCAAATCTACTTAAGTTGAGTTAAGCCACAAAATTAGAGTTTACGAAATTAAGCTCAATCGAGTTCGGTTGCAGAATGTCGAGATGGGTTTGAAGCTTGCGTAATCTGGCCGACTCAATTCAAGGTTGATGTGAAAATACAGGTGACCGAATGATAAAATGAACCGGACATCAAATTTCATGTGATCCGATGATAGTGACCTGCTCCACGAAGATAAAGGCTGTGTCTTTGTAGGTAACTTTCGAGCTTATCCAAACTAACCTCCGCGTTTTTGGTACACAACTGCGTTTTTGGTAGACAACTTTCAGACTTACCCAAACTAATTCGCGCGTTTTTTGTACTCGCCTTCAGACTTACCCAAATCAGCAACAATGGTCCAACTATGGACTTTCCGAATTCGGACTTCCCTTTCGATTTCCAAATTCGGGCGTTCCATCTGATGAAGCTGAACGTCTCGAATAGGCAAACTTTTGTTTGAATCAGGACATTCGGGCTCAAATTCGGGACATATCCTGTCAAATCTCTGGTAGATTTCAATCTCCACGCGCAATTGCGGATTTGGCAAATTGATGGCATGGAGAGGCAGATATGGGGTTTTACACTGTCAACTTGGACAGATGTTTAAAGGCATTAGCAATTTTGACTGCCTTCTCCATTTGGTTTTGACTTTCTTGCGCAGCAAGTCTCAGGCTAAGGTCATGAAGACCCTATAAAGTGGAGGGCATATTCACCTCCTCCATGCTTCACTTCAACCTCCTCCTTCTTCTTCTGGTGCTTTCTTTGGCCACACTAAGCAGCGAGTTGATCCGAAGTTCCACAGATTTCCGGTAAATCCCCTTCATTCTTTTTGCGCTCACATCATATCAAGTTCTCCTCATTATTGTAGTTGACACATTTGTAAGTGCAGCGTATTGCATTACATTGATAACGAGAAATGTAGCCCATTGTAAATCTCTTCGCGATTAGTCGCTCTGTCGCCAAAGGGCGTTCTTGTAAGCGCACTGCTAAAGTCTATACGTTAAGGTACATTCTTTTGATCGGAACTTGGAATCGAGTGATTGGTATCGGTTTTTTCAATTATCGATCTAGCACAAACAGATGTACGAGCATAGATTTTGCCAAGAAAGGATAGCGGCAGGTCATGAGAAATTTCTCACGGCCGACAAAGATGGCCATCCAGATAATTGGAAATTCAAAGGTAGCTCCTGTGCAATTTCCTCTGGGGTCAATCCGGCGAGAACAATCACAAGGACTTTTGTGGGGGAGAAAAAGTAAGAGAAGAAAGGTCCATGTGACCGGTCAAAGCGAAGACGGAGTCCCACCATTCTTTGAGCTGAAGCTTCTGTAAACATCAGACACCAACCTAATCCGCTGCTCAGATGTTTAACCTCGTCTTTCATGCACCGTTTAATTTGCGCGTCCGAACGGTAAAACGCGAAAGCGGCACACCAAGATTTTTTTTCTGGAGAGAGAAAGGCTTGAGGATTTGAGGAGAGCAGAGAGCAGTACATTGCTTCCCGCCTTTCCATGCCCTCCCACAATCCTCATTTATTCCATGCGTGCAAGCTATCATCTTCATCATCATCATCCCTTCAACCCTTAATCCTCTCTTTCTCTCTCTAACTTCAACCTCTCCACCACCACAAACCTCCTCTTGGCTCTTATCGTTTTCGATTCTCTTCAAGCTTTCCTCCGATTTATAATCACACCTCTCTCTCTCTTTCTTTCTGCATTTTACGACCAGGTCTGCTGATTTTCGCAGAGCTTTTTGGATCCAATCCGACGTTGAAGCTTGCTTACTCATGGGGAACACTCACGCCAGGACTCCGCCGGACCCGCCCCATGCGTCGGAGCTGAGCGCCTATGAGGCGGCCTGCCTGGCGGACCCCGACCTCCGGTCCTTCGACTCCAACCTGCAGGCCCGGACCAGCCATGCGATCGGGGCGCTCGCCGCCGGCGTCGAGGTCCGGGCGCTCTCCTTCGACTCGCTCAGGGAGGTCACCGGGTGCCTCATGGAGATGAACCAGGAGGTGGTCCGGGTCATCCTGGACTGCAAGCAGGACATCTGGCGGACTCAAGAGCTGTTCGAGCTCGTGGAGGAATACTTCGAGAACAGCCTCCAGACCCTCGACTTCCTCTCCGCCCTGGATAAGTGCCTCAAGCACGCCCGCGACAGCCAGCTGCTCATCCACGTCGCGCTGCAGCAGTTCGAGGAAGAGGACCGCCAGGGCGGAGGGGCAGACAAGTACGCCAGGACCCTGGAGGAGCTGAGGAACTTCAAGGCTGCCGGTGACCCGTTCACGGAGGAGTTCTTCCGCATCTTCCAGGCCGTCTACCGGAACCAGATCACCATGCTCGAGAAGCTGCAGCTCCGGAAGAGCAAGCTCGACAAGAAGCTCAAATCCATCCACGCCTGGAGGAAAGTCTCGAGCATGATCTTCGCCGCGACTTTTGCCGCCATCCTGATTTGTTCTGTTGTCGCGGCCGCAGTGGCTGCGCCGCCGGTTGCGGCGGCTCTTGCGGCAGCAACCTCTGTTCCTGTCGGCTCCATGGGGAAATGGATTGACTCGCTGCTGAAGAACTACGAGAGCGCAGTGAAGGGGCAGAAGGAGGCCGTCGTCTCGATGAAGGTGGGGACGGGCTTGGCCATCAGGGACTTGGAGAACATCCGAGTGCTGGTCGACCGGTTGGAGATCGAAATCCAGTCAATGCTTCAGAATGCCGGGCTTGCGGTCGAGGAAGGCTCGGTGAAGATTAGGGTGGAGGAGATCAAGAAGAAGCTGAGCGCGTTCATGAAGAACATCGACAAATTGGGGGTTCAGGCCGACAACTGCAGCCGCGACATACGGCGGGCAAGGACGGTGGTGCTTCAGAGGATCATAAAGAATTCCAACCAGTGAAGGCAAGGAGCGGCGCTTCTTGTAATTTCTTTTGGTCATGAATTGGAGATAGAAAGATTGATAAGTCAAGAGGACAAGCTCCAAATAAATAAATTTCTGCAAATGATCAGACTAATTTGTTATTCATCCTGTTTCAATGTAGACCAGACTAATGCCCTACATTCGCAAATAGTTTCCTTCTTCATTAAATATTGTCACCTTGATTCGAGATCATATTAAATTAAATATCGCGCATGATGTCACGAGTATACTGATTCGTCTGTCGATTTGAATGAAGACCGTCTTGAGTCATTCGAATGAGATTGACGGGGACTTAATGAGTCCAGGTGGGATGCAAAGCAGAGAAGTTAGCTTGCACTTTGCTGGCAAGTGATCTCGCAAAAAGAAAATTCAACGATTCATCGCGTTCAAACACAGAAAAATTCAACAGCAGTTATTTTGCGAGGAACAGTCTTTCTAAGAAGAGCCAAGAGTCAAAGGAAGCTGGTCGACTAGCAATATTGATGGTTCGGATGGTGATGCCGCCAGGATTGGACCGCGACTGTCAAAGTCAAGCTCAGAGGCGGAGCACATGCGAGTACGTGATTCCTCCTCGGGCTCTTTGATGGCGTCAGCAGATCCGCTCTGAAAATTATCCTGGCCAAGAAATTTATTGCGACAGATTGGTCAACTCTATCTTTTTACCGGTTCAGGGTGTGCACATTTTAGTAAATAAATGGACTTCTCTTTGACGTAAATATTCCTTTTTTTTACACCCAAGTGACATTGAGTCAGGACAGTTGCTTAACGTGATGGATATGCGTGTTGATCTCAAACCACTTTGACCAAAGAAGAAGTTTACCCTAGACAACTATTGTCAAGATAAATTCTAGCAAGATGCAGAGAGGCATGATATGTATCTCAGAATAGATCATATCCCAAACAATCCACTCAATTTAGTATCTTGAGATTACAAATAGTCATTCAGAAAAAAAAAAAACAACAAAAAAAAGAGTCTCCTCAATCTATCTGTGTACTTTCGAGGCGTCGTGTTAATTTGAATACCAAACTAGGACTTTGTATGTCAAGAAGTCCTCTAGTAGGAGAATTTCTTTTTGCAACGGGGCTTCTGGGTCAAGGGGATGGCAAAAAGTGATCCAATAACTTTTGTGAGACTCATCAAATCTCCCGACTCATGTTAATTTAACTCCGATTAACTCAGGAAAGTGAAACTTTCTACTTTATTAAAAGATGGATGGACTCTGAACACTCAATCATTCAGTAAGTGATCTCGAATTTATGACAAAAAAAAAAAATTTGATCTCGAATCTTGATTCTCGTTTACCATTATCGATGATGTAGAATAATAAATAATTTTTCACCTGAATGCCGGAGGAAAACTTTTTGAACTATTAGACAACTTCATGGTTTTTTGTTACCCTCAAAGAAAACGTGAGTTACCACGGGGTACAGGCATGAGCTAAGGAGGTGCAGAGAACAAGAACGTGCCTTTCCTGAGTCTTTCTTCTTCGGTTTCAACCTCAAAAGCCTCTCATACCGCAACAGCTTCATGTAATGAAGCATGTTAGGGCGGTTCATGCTTTGTTCTGTCATATAAAGCAGGTTATTTCCTTTGGTAATTAGTGGCGAATGTCAGTGGCAATGCAAATCAGAAGGGCGATAGAAGAAGCACATTCGAGGCTGAAGAGGCATGCATCAATTGCTTCTCCGGCCGTCCACTCTTCCTTCGTTTTCCTCTTCGTTGGCGCACTAGCTTTTGCCGGTTGGATCAACACAGTAAGTTATGCTGAACATGCTCTGATGACATTGCTTTAATTGGATATACTTAACTTAGATAAGATCTTAATCATTTGAAGCAGCTCTTTAACTTGATGTTTAAGGAATTAGTATGTCCTGATTTGAGTTAGACCTACAGTCCCAACCCCTAGAATGTAATGGCTAAAGCAAGTAACGCATTGTGCCTTCAAGTCCATCTTTTCAGGTCCTTCTCAGATATCGATCTTTACTACATCAAAAGCACCAGATATCCCTCTTAAATGCACAGAATGGAACATGACTCAAACTTGTCCTCTGAACAATCCAACCAAACAGACCCACGATCGCCATCGCTATCATCACATACCCGGCAATATATGCCCGTCGTACTTCAGATGGATCCACGAAGATCTACGGCCATGGAAAGAGATTGGGATCACCAAGGATATGGTCAAAAGAGCTCAACGGACTGCACATTTTCGACTAGTGATTTTGGATGGGAAGGTCTACTTGGAGAAGTTTAGGCCAGCTTTTCAGACCCGGGATGTGTTCACTCTGTGGGGTATATTACAGCTTCTCAGATGGTACCCTGGAAAGCTTCCTGATTTGGAGCTGATGTTCAATTGTGACGATCGGCCTATCATCCAATTGAGGGACTTTCCCCACCCCATACCAGGCCCTCCACCATTGTTTGGATACTGTAGAGATCGGAGGACATTGGACATCGTTTTCCCAGATTGGTCTTTTTGGGGATGGTAATGGATTCTATCTCATCAATATTTAGGAATTGCTTTTCCAAATTCTCATTCCACGCACTCCAATGGAAAAAGAACAGGGTTTTACACAAGATGACATAATGTCGATAAAATGTACTCGAACCGAGAATTGCAGAGGCACGCATTCCACTACATCAATCTGTCCTAGAGTCCAATATTGCCAGCAGTGCTTATAGTATTATGTTCTTTTCACCTTGAGCTTTCACTAATACTTCACACTTATTTATGGGTAGATGCTGCCATTTGGATTGATTTTCGCTTATCTTGAAGTTCGATTTAGTTGGTTAAGTTTGTAGGCATAGTTGATCAAAAGGGTTATCTAACTAAACTGTAGGGTCGAGACGAATATAAAGCCATGGAGATATGTGTTGAAGGACATAGAAGAAAGCAATAAGAGGATGACATGGTCGGACAGAAAGCCATATGCTTACTGGAGAGGGAATCCATCCGTGGGTCAAACCAGAAAAGACCTTCTCAAGTGTAACGTTACCGAGAAACATGACTGGAACACACGGGTTTACATTCAGGTAACGTCTTGACACAGAATTTGTCGTAAGAGAGTGCTTAGGAAGTTGCAAGACTGTCTTCTTCAGAAACCCGGTGTTTCAAAACTAGGAATCGCAAGTTCTTCTGATGCCTTTAGCATGCACCCCCCAAATGACCAAGAAATACGACTAATCACGGTTCATTGATTTATGCTAGGACTGGGGTCAAGAATCTAAACAAGGGTATAAGCACTCCAATTTAGAGGATCAGTGCGCTCACCGGTACAGACTGCTCTAAATCTGATGTTGTATCTGAAGAATATGTCAGTTTTCATAATGTTATCGACCTCAGTGACATTACTGTAATGGTTAGTTCACTATTTTCAACAGATACAAGATATACATCGAAGGCTGGGCGTGGTCCGTGAGTGAGAAGTACATCTTGGCATGCAACTCCATGACCTTGCTAATCAAGCCTCAGTACATCGATTTCTTCACTAGAGGCCTCGTTCCATTGCAGCATTACTGGCCGATCAGGGACGACACCAAGTGCACCTCCCTCAAGTTTGCTGTCGAGTGGGGCAACAATCATACCGACAAGGTCCATTCTCTCTTCCTTTGTCCCGGCCGCGCAGGCCTAAGCTGCATGCCAATCTTGAATTGATACGTTCTCGATGTTTGATTACAGGCAAAGGTCATTGGAGAAGCCGGGAGCCGCTTCATATATGAGGATCTAAAGATGGAGTATGTCTACAACTACATGTATCACTTGTTCAATGAATACGCAAAGCTTTTCAGGTACAAGCCCGCCATACCAAAAGGCGCCGTGGAGCTATGCTCGGAGGCGATGGCGTGCCCCACGAACGGGACGTACAGGAAATTCATGTTGGATTCGATGACGAAGTCGCCGAGCCGAGCATCGCCTTGTTCCCTGCCTCCTCCATATGACCCTCCTTCGCTTGAAGCTTTCATCGAGAGCAAAGCTAACTTGTCTTGGCAGGTGGAGACATGGGAAGATGAGTATTGGCAGGGTGTCAACAAGATCAGCAAGAGGCAATAGGGAAAGAAAAGATATGGACAGAGTTGATATACAGTGACAATTGTGTCTGGCAACTTGTGAACTTCTCGCGTACCTTGGTGCTAATAAATCAAACATGCTAGAATTGACTTCAAGTTTGGTCCAAATGGACTGTGCTTCTAGTAAAACTCTTTGATTTTGTTCGTCATCTACATCTTCTGTGGAATCATTCATTGTCGAAACAATTATCACCCTGACATAATAATTAGACTCAAAACGAAAAGATTAATATTGGCAAGATTAATTGTTGACCGGCACGAAAAGCTCCTTTGCTACGTTTGCGTTTCCCCATTGATGTTAAAATGAAACAAACCGACTAATTTGATCTATGCACACACTTTCTTATTTATACGATATTAGATTTTTGTTGGGAAAAGTGTCAAAAAAGTCCTAAACCTTTTGCATTAGTGCCAATTTAGTCCTAAACCTTTTTTTGGTGCCAATTCAGTCCTAAACCTTTTGCATTGGTGCCAATTTAGTCCTAAACCTTTTTTTTGTGCCAATTAAGTCCTAAACCTTTTAAATTGGTGCCAATTCAATCCTAAACCTTTTGTTTTTGTGCCAATTTAGTCCTTCCGGTCAATTTTGACCGGAATTTGCCGACGTGGACGCCTGCCGGCCGGCGGCCGGTCACCGGCGCCGACGTGGACAACTTTAATAATATTTTAATACTTTTTTGAATTTTTATTTTTTTTCCACTTTTTTTTTTGGCCCCCCCCCCTCCTTCCTCTGGCCGGTCGCCGATCCGGCGACCGGCCAGAGGCCAGAGGCCGGCGAGCTCGACCTCGCCGGCCACCGGCGAGGCGGCGGCCTCGCCGCCACCGCGGCGGCGGCGGCCTCGCCGGCCACCGGCCGAGGCGGCGGCCTCGCCGGCCCACCGGCGAGGCGGCGGCCTCGCCGAGCGAGGGCGAGCCTCGCCATGGTCGGGCGAGGCTCGACCTCACCAGATCCGGCGAGGTCGGGCCTCGCCCGACCATGGCAAGGCTCGAGCCCTCGCTGGAGGCCACGGCGAGGGCGAGCCTCTCCATGGTCGGGCGAGGCCCGACCTCGCCCGACCAAGGCGAGGCTCGAGCCCTTGCCGGAGGCCGCGGCGAGGGCGAGCCTCGCCATGGTCAGGCGAGGCCCGACCTCGCCGGATCTGGCGAGGTCGAGCCTCGCCCAGCGACCTCGCCGCGGCCTGCGGCGAGGGCGAGCCTCGCCCGACCATGGCGAGACTCGCCCTCGCCGGGCGAGGCCGCCGCCCTCGCCAGTGGCCGGCGAGGTCGAGCTCGCCGGCCAGAGGAAGGAGGGGGGACCAAAAAAAAAAGTGGAAAAAAAAAGAAAAAAAAAAAAAAATAAAAATTCAAAAAAATATTAAAATATTATTAAAGTTGTCCACGTCAGCGCCACGTCGGCGCCGGTGACCGGCCGCCGGCCGGCAGGCGCCCACGTTGGCAAATTCCGGTCAAAATTGACCGAAAGGACTAAATTGGCACAAAAACGAAAGGTTTAGGACTGAATTGGCACCAATTTAAAAGGTTTAGGACTTAATTGTCACCAAAAAAAGGTTTAGGACTAAATTGGCACAAATGCAAAAGGTTTAGGATTGAATTGGCACCAAAAAAAGGTTTAGGACTAAATTGGCACTAATGCAAAAGGTTTAGGACTTTTTTGGCACTTTTCCTGATTTTTGTTAACTGTCATATCACTCACTTTACAGTACGGTATTAATCTTACCCGAGCCCCATATTTCATATGCACGTTACCCCGAAAAGGTTAGCTAAATTATCTTAGACTTTCATGTCAAATTTTGGTTAGATGGAATATGAGTTTCATAAAAGAAAGAATTTTCTTGGGCTTGTAACCATAATGGACTGCCGATTGTTCGGTTCGTTTGATGCTCGACCGGCGGTTCGATTGATAGGCCGTTCTTGGGCTTCGGTTCGTTTGATGTACTCGACCGGCGGTCCGAACCGGGTTCTTGCTCCGCATCAAACGCAGACCTGCGCTGGAAGAATTTCCAGAGCTTGGACAAGAAGCAAAGCCTTGGTTTGGTCAGCTTCGTCTCCCTCGCTCATCAACTCGCTCCCTCTCTCTCTCTCTCTCTCTCTCTCTCTCTCTCTCTCTCTGCGCCATGGATATCGACTTCAAGGATTATCAGCTTCGCTGCGAGCTTCATGGCCACGAGGACGACGTAAGTTCATGCAGCGATCTCCGTCATTCCTTCATTTCGATGGAATCGCGCCGCATTCCATAGAATTGAACGCATTCGCGACTCTGCTAATCCTTAAGTGAACGATCGTCGATTCGCGGCGCTCGTAATTTGTTGTGTTGCGGTGTGACATTGCATGTCGAGGCTTGAGTTTCGTGGACTCTGTCGTTCCTTTGTCGTGCTTAGGTTCGTGGCATCTGCGTGTGCGGGGACGGCAGCATAGCGACCTCGTCGCGGGATCGGACGGTGAGGCTGTGGACCCCTGGCTCCGGCGATGAGCGCAAGTACGAGGTGGCGAGGGTGCTGTTAGGGCACACGAGCTTCGTCGGCCCCCTGGCGTGGATTCCGCCAAGCGAGGAGCTCCCGGAGGGCGGGATCGTGTCCGGTGGGATGGACACTCTTGTGATGGTTTGGGATTTGGCGACCGGAGAGGGGCGGACGTTGAAGGGCCATAAGTTGCAGGTTACTGGCATCGCGTTGGATGGCGGTGACATTGTTTCTGCTTCTATTGATTGGTGAGTCGAAGTAGATGATAATGTTTCCGGTATCCTAGAGGAATTGTGCATTGTTGGTATATGTCTATTATGTTGAGTGATTAAGTGATTAGCATCATAAGATTGCTAATATGTGGCTAATATGTGGTTCAATCCGTTTGGGAGAAATCTAACCTGCTGAGTGCCTGTTGTTACTTTCATGGATCAAAAGTAGTGGAGAAGTAGAGTACTCCATCTTTACTGGCTTTTAATTGTGTAGTGCAAGTTTCATTTTTCTTCTCAAATCTCTGCTTTCGTATTGCGAGAAATATCAGAGGCCCATTAAATGGCCTTCGTTTGCTGTGGTTCAACATGCTTTGGGGCCTAGTTAATTTCGGTCACTTTAACTTTTCCATTGGCACTTTTTCCCAAGTTTTGCTACATTTGACTTTCTTAGACAAGTTGAGTAAAATGGCCTTGGCTTGGTTTCAAGTATTTTGCTGCTTGCGCATGACATATTGCCTGATGATCTCATACTTATTTGCAGTACCTTAATAAAATGGACGAATGGCCAGCCTGCTGAACACTGGGAGGCTCATAAGGCCCCCATACAAGCAGTTATAAGGTTGCCCTCAGGGGAGCTTGTTACAGGTTGGGTTCTCTCTGCTTGAGGTCTTTATTTTACATAACTTCAAAAGACTAAGGATTATTCTTCTAACCTTTGGGAGCTTAAGGAATTGGAAAGGTTTAGCATATCCTTCCTTTTTTTGTTATGTTTCCCCCAGAACTATCTGCTATTTTTCATTGTTAGAAGTAATGATTACTTTCTCCGATGAAGTTGGCCAAATTTCAGTCAAGAACATGTTCATCCGCATGATTTAGATTTTAGAGTTTGTAAATGGAAATGTTCCTGAACATTGTTTACTGGGTCATTCTCCTAATGAATCATCAACAAATTTTGTTAAAGTTCCAGAAGTGCACTCCACTCGAGACTGGACTTCAGCATTTAGGGGAGGTCTTGTTGTTCTTCAGTTTTTCCGTTTAAATTTTAAGTTTCCTTTGATTTAGGTGCTTCTTGGTCTGTTCGATTTTGTTTACAAATGATTCTGCGATATGTGGTCATAGACTCACATCTTCAATACTTTTCTTTGCACAAAACATGATGGATTTTTTTTACTCCTAATTAGCAGCAGTTTTGCCGTCGGACTCATCTATAGATGTATTGACATTCTTAGTAGATCAAGAAGGATCTTATTGATAAGCTGTTTCTCTACTTTATCCAGGTTCAAGTGACACAACCTTAAAGCTATGGAGAGGAAAGACATGCACTCAGACTTTTGTTGGGCATACAGGTTAACCTTTCTCTTTCGTTCTGTTTCTATCCGCTCCAACTTACTAATTTAACAAAAAATAAAGAAAAACTGCTAGAGCTAGCTGAGTGTACTATCTTAAATAGTCAATAGCAGTTTAGTAGTTTATAATGCTCCTAAATCTGCTATGTAGCTGTTGAATTTGATAATAAGCAGTTTGAGAGAAGCCCCCTGTTATGTTGTTTCTTATCATCTTAACTGTTTAGAAATTGAAGCAATTCTTGTTTCCTCTCTTTATTGACTGGAAACTACCGGTTCTCTATTGTGTTTATGAAACCTGAATTGCATGGAGTCCTTGTGAATTTGTATAAGCTATTATTCAATTGTTTGAAGCTGAACATTTTGGGCCTCTGCTGCTACTGTACCGATGTGTTTGAAATGATAGAAGTTCCTTCCATCATGCTCTTTTTGTTTTTTTTTTTCTTCGTGCATTCGCCTTTTGAAAGAAATGAACTAGGTTGATGGCTATTATTTTGTTCCATGTACTTATTCACTGGTGGATGGTGCAGATACCATTCGAGGCTTGGCAGTGATGCCTGATCTGGGCATTCTATCTGCATCACATGATGGGTAGGTTCATTTTTTTTTTCTGGTGATTCATTGAATTAAGTTTATAGTATAGAAAGTTCATCTGTTAGTACTCACTATGTCTAAAGTCCATGAAAGTAATTAGTATATGCTCTTGCTTCTTTGCAAGTTTTGAAGTTTATGTAAGATAAAATCAAGCAACAGAAAAAAGTCACCTTCAAACTTTCAAGTCCAATAGCGCTTTAATCCTTAAGATGCCTTCTTAACTCGAATGAGGATTTCTAAAATACCCTACTGGCTGACGGAAAGGTTAGCTGGGAGTAGAAACAAACTTGCATTTATGCCTACTTTGCAACAATTGAGAACAAGAGAAGTGGTCTCCTGTATAAGTTGACTTGGAAACCTAAAGTGACACGGAAATAAGAGGAGAAGTAGCTGTGGAAAGGAGGACCCAGTCGAAACCTGGATCGCTCAGATCAAATAAATTGTGAG